ATTTTTATATCGCAAAAAATTAAAAAAATATTTTTTTACATTTTTTAATAGAAAATTAATAACAAACCATATTTTTAATATAATATATTTATGATTTAATTTATAGTCTTTGATAAGATCTATCTTTTAAAACAAAAATGGCTGCTCCACCTCTTTTAATTTCCGAGTTATCTTGATTTTTACCAAATTTATCGCCGCATTTGTCAATTTTCGATGTTTACTTTTTCCTCAACCACGTCAAAACTACAATACCTGCACATTTATACCCTAGCTCCGTTAAAACAATCGTAAATTTCCTTTTAACGACCCAACATTCAAACCTCTGCGATCTTAAACAGCTGAGTTACGCCGCTGTTTTCAACGAATAATATGAATAATAATTAAACCGCTAGAAGCCGGGAAGCGACTCGTCGCATTTAATGCTCGATTAAAGTCCACGTTCAAGTACTTATACACCTACACACGTACAAAACAATCATCCATTATGTCAAATCACCTTTTACTTTGCAACATTTACAACGCTACAAAGTTACAACGTTCAAACATCGCGTCTATTTTTAATGCCGCTGCATTGTTAATATTAATTTTCAACTTGCCGCGATGGACAGGGCACAATTAATGCATTACAATGCATCGAAATGCATATCGATGCCGATGCTAATGTTATTATATTGTTGCTGCGCCGCTTAATCGCTCGACGGTCAATGTTAATTATTGCTAATGGTAATGGTAATGACAGACCACAAAACGACCGCAATGGAATCAGTCACAGACCGATTCGTTGCCGTTGTGAACGCGAATTAATTTCGCCGACGACGAAATCATTTATTGTGTTCGTTTTGCAACACGTAACGCAGTTACGAAGTGCCGGAGTATTGCGAAAGTAATCGCAATCGGACAATTAACGTCGAACGTCGAACGCTCGCACAATGCACGAAGCAAAAAGTGATAATTGTTATAAATGATAGATGCATGTGTGATTGTTAACAATGAGACGTTTGATTGGCTATTATTTGCATTTTTTTATCTGTATGGTAATTTTTATTTGTTATTTGTTAGTTGTTAGTTTGCACTTTGGAGCGCGCCGTTTTTTTTTTATTGTTTTATTAGTCGCGTTGCGTAATTTTCGTGTCATCTTTTATTTCGTGGATAAAGTTTAGTATTCGACTTATACTAAAGAAATATAAGACTTTTTTAGTTGAAACTTGGGTTTTATTTCTTTTTTCGTGGAATAAATGCGAGTTTTTAATTATTTGACTAAAAACCTGAGCTAATGAAGGTGTAATGTTGGTTGCCTATGTCTAAATCTTCAATAACTTTGATAGAATTATGGTTAATATGCAAATATAACATTATTACTTGAAATTCGTGCTTGACAAGTGTTTAATTATCTTTATTCAAAGAATAAATGCATATTTGCAATTATATTGCCTGAAAACCTGATTAACCTCTTTAGTCTACCTCTAGTACTAGTGTAATGTTGGTTGCCTATATGTAAAGTCTCATATTTTACGTAATCTGAAGAAATACAATTTATTTTTGGTAAAATCTCAGTCAATATTAGCTAAAACATTAACTGCTTCAAGCAAAACTAAACAAAATCTTTAGATTAATTATAATTCAAGGTTTTTCCGCCTTGTTCAAGTGTCGATACTCTATAAACAAGCTGTTTATCTCTAATTTATTGCGTTTTGCTTTTCCATTTGCAGTTATTTCGTCAAGTTCCCTACAACTGACCGTTCCGGAAGAAAAGGTGTGTAGAAGGAAACTTGTAGCGTTTTAAGCCAAATTTTAATGACTCACTGAGTTGTAGTTACTTAACGATGCATGAAGAAAAAAATTAAGCAAAGCAAATGAGAAGAGAAAAAAACACTGATGCTGACATTGAAAATTTTTGACTGGAATTGCCTTCGGTTTGAAACAATGTTAGACTACCGGAAAGGATTAAATGTCAATTTATTAAAAGTGAAATTATTTAAATCACGGTAACTCAATGCGTTGTAGAAGATTATTTTTTTGCGTTTTACGGCGTAGTTTTGATGATGCACATGCTTCATTATGCAAATCTATTAATAATGCACCTACTAATTGAATAAGAAAACGCACACGACATAAACATTTACAATTCGCGATTTTCAATCGCTACTCGTGCTTGACAAGACTTTGGGTGTGTGTATTCGTTGAATAAATGCAGGTTTGTAATTATATTGACTGAAAACTGATAAACATGTTTGTGCTGTGAGGTAGCGAGTTGTTTTTTTAAGTATTATGTTTATTTGTCATTTATAACCTAATCAACACTTTAAAGTAAGAAAATGCAATATTGGTTGCCTATAACTTCAGAACCAGTAAAGCTACATTATTGTTTCAATCAATAAATTATTTTATTTTGCTCAGTAAATTACCGAAAAACTAATAATAATAATAATAATTTACTTTGAAATGACGAAATGTAATGTTGGTTGCCTATATCTTCTAAACTAGTGGTGGTAGAAATACCATTTTTGTTTTAATCAATAAATAATTTTATATTTTCTTGGAAAATCAACGAAAAACTGATTTAAAATTTATTATAAGTTGTCAAATGTATAAAATTAAGTTGAATGACATATACACTGATAGAGCGAGAGCCAGTGACGGCCAGACTTTCGTCATTTTAGGAAAGATGAAATTTTGTCCATGTGTTTCTCCAGCACAGGTAAGAACGATCCCCAATTATGAAACCTGGATCGTGGTTCCTTTGGCAGTTAACAGCCAACAAAGATGTACACATGATGACCTATGTTTCGTTATTTTAGCATACTCCATTTTTGCATATTTTGTTCGTAACATTATTATAACATGCGCTGCTCATTGCCAGTCACCTGGTATGGTTCCAACCCTAGCCAGACACCCCTAAAGTATTTTTTTTTAACTTTTTTACTTTCGTTATATTAGGAAAGCTGAATTTGATACACATTATACAGAGAGCTATGAAACTGTGTTTTCCAGCACGCCAGACAGTTTGGTCGGTTCTATCATCCTGCCAGACGCACTGAAAGTGTATAAGAGTTGCAAAAATTGAATTGTTTATACATGAAAATTTCGCATAATAGTAATTTTATTTCAACAAATATTTAATAATAATCATCACTGTTATCGATATCTCCATTTTCGCCATCACTGCAACTCCAGTCCGATGTTTGATCGTTATCAATATCGCCTGCTCCGTCCGTTTATACAAAAATAAAATAAAATCAAATTAACTGAAGCTTTTAATAAAAAAAAAATTGCGCAACTTTGATGCTAGCAGCTTACCACCTTGCAAGAGTGAGCTACTTCAACAATTTTTGCGAGCGTATCATATATGTTGTATATGGATTATTATTAAATATTTGTTGAAATAAAATTACTATTATTCGAAAATTTCATGTAGGTATAAACAATTCAATTTTTGCAACTCTTATACACTTTCAATGCGTCTGGCAGGATGACAGAACCGACCAAACTGTCTGGCGTCAAAGAAAACACAGTTTCATAGCTCTCTGCATAATATGTATCAAATTCAGCTTTCTTAATATAACGAAAGTAAAAAAGTTAAAAAATATTATACTCGTAGTTTAGGGGTGTCTGGCTAGGGTTGGAACCATACCAGGTGTCTGGCAATAAGCAGCGCATGTTGTAATAATGTTACGAACAAAATATGTAAAAATGGAGTTTGCTAAAATAACGAAACATAGGTCATCATGTGTACATCTTTGTTGGCTGTTAACTGCCAAAGGAACCACGATCCAGGTTTCATAATTGGGGATCGTTCTTACCTTTGCTGGAGAAACACATGGACAAAATTTCATCTTTCCTAAAATGACGAAAGTCTGGCCGTCACTGGCTCTTGGTCTATGAAGATGAATACATAAATATGTTCCAAAAGTGATTTCGACACTTTCAACCTTTGAACATCGGAATAAATTAACAACCTGGGTGGGTGAGTGTCAAAATACAAATGTCATTCTCTTTGTCTTGATCATCAACAAGTTGATTTTAATGTATGCGTGCGCTTTTGATGTTTTATTGGCCGTGAAACGTGCCGTGAATAATTTTCACGGACATAATAATATGTGATTATCACACACAATCACACACAGTGGAAATAATTTATTAAAAACTATAGATTATCCACAAAAAAATTAAACTTTCAAACTAAAGTTGAAAAAAACTATACTTAGCTACAGACTAATAAAAAAATGTGTGATTGTTCAACAGATTGTTTGAAATTGAAAATTTTGCCACCGAAATTAGCAAAACAAATGTGCACGCGCAGAAACTGTGCAAAACCATCGATACATTTGAAATCACAGTGCAAAATCGCTTGTGTTTTGAAGGTTTAATAATGAATTTTAACAACCGGCAAACACCAACGTCAATGGTTGCCAGTGATATGAGTTATCTTAATTATTTGCATTCGTAATGAAATATTATGAGAATTATATGCGCAAAATTCATGTAATACTCGCCGATTATGTTTTAAGTCTTTTTAAATCGATTTATATGGATGGAAACGGCCAAAAATAAAAATGAATGAACAATATTGAGAAGCGAGCGAGAAACACGCACGTCAGCGGCAATAAATTAACGTTTTTAATAACTTTTGTAACCGACTTCGACACGTGAAGTGTTTACGTTCACTTGAAATTTACTAATTTGATTTTTACTTATTAGCACATTGCATTAATTTAAAAATTAAAAAATACAACGAAAACAAAGCAAATGTTTATTTTGAAATGTTTACTATTGCTGATGTGCGTAATTTAACATTAAGTAATATTAATTACTTTAATTACACAAGTTTTAATGTTTTTTTATCATAAAATTACAAAAATTTATTTTTTAGATTAAAATTCCATCATTTTTTATATTTTACAAAGCTATGCAACACTTTAGACTAATGAAACGCAATGCTGGTTGCCTACAACTTCAAAACTCTCACTGAAAGAGAAATAATTTTTGTTTTAATGAATAAATAACAAAAACTACAAAATTTTAATGTTTTAAAACAAAATTCCTTCTTGTACTTACAAATTCTTACTTAATCAACACTTTGACCCAATGAAAAGTAATGCTGGTTGCCTATAACTTCAATACTTTAGTCTTTAGATCAAGTTCAGATTAATTTTATTAATAAAATGACAAATTAACATAAATCTAATGTTGCAATTATCCAGTCTATCCCAAAACTAGAACAACGACATAATTTTAATTCGTCACATACAACTTTTTCTCATTAACGCATTAATTAAGTGAAATATTGAGTGCCGATTGCAATCGGTGGTTGCACACATGTTGCAATTATTGCCCACGCTCTAGGTTCACACTTGAAGCTTGAAACTAGTATAAATTCGATTCGGATTTCAATTCGCAGACCAAGGTCGGAGGTTGGCTCGAATTACCTCAAAGAAGAAATACGGAGCAAGGTCGACACTAGGCGACTAGAGTAATTCAACATGGCACCTCGTGTACTCGTACCAAACTCATTGTGTGCTCAATGCATGACCTATTGTTCTAATTCTTACCCAAAATTACTGCCAAGGTGAACAAAAAAGTGTAAATAAATGTTTATTATGTAATAGTGAATATCTGGTGATTAATCTCCTTCCTCTTCTTCTTCATTTTTAGGTTCTTCAGGTGGGGGTGCTTCCGGAGGTGGTTCTTCAGGTGCAGGAGCTTCTTCAGTACGTGGAGGAGGAGGTGGGGCATCTCCTTCACCTTCAGGTGGAGGAGGAGGTGGGGGTGCTTCAGTAGTTTCACCTTCAGGTGGTGGGGGTGGAGGTCCTTCTCCTTCTTCACCTTCAGTAGCTTCTCCACCTTCTGGTATAACAGGAGGTGGTGGAGGAGCTTCTTGTGTGTATTGCATCCTTGAAGCTGTAATCTTTGCGTTTAATTTACTTGTGGTTGACTTGACTTTCATTTTACTTGTACTCATTGATGGTGGTGGGGGTGAGGTTGCTTTATCTTGACCTTCACCTTCTTCACCTTCTTCTTCGTCTTCAACTTGGGGTAATTCACTCATTTCCATTGGAGGTATGTCTTCCACTTCACCTCCTAGGTCTCCTAAATCTTCTTCTTCTTCACCGTGTAACACACCTTCAAATATCATCTCTTCTTGGTCTTCACCAATTGTATCTTCAATAAAAGTAGTGTGTCTTGGTTGAAGGGGAGCTATTTCCGCGTCTTCGTCCTCGTAGTTTTCCGGGAAGAAATGCGAACAGTCACGTTCTCCTGTATCAACGTTTGAGGACATGTAGGTTGGTCCTAGTTGGGCGAAGGCTAGAATAGGGTCTGATTTTCTTTTTGCTACTTTGAGGACCAATTTTTCTCCACTGGAAAATAAAAAAAATATGTTTAGGTGGTATTTAGAAGGTTTTAAGATCTTTAGGTATTGATATATAAGGTAAGAAAGATAAAAGGCCTCTACCCCCACCCAAAAGTGAAGGTTAAACACCTCTACTCCTTGTTGAAGGTGCAGGAGATGCCCCACCTCCATTTAAAAATATATTTAGGAAGATTTTAGAAGATTTTAGATAGTAGAGAAAGTGAAGGATTTCTACCCCCACCTAAAAATGAAGGTTAAACCCTCTACTCCCTGCTAATGGTAAAAGAGACTCCCTACTACCAAATAATTTAAAAACATATTTAGGAGCTGAACCCTTGACATACCATCAAATTTTACTTACTAATTAGTCCCTGTGAAGTGTTTCTAATACTGTTTCTTCGTCTTAGCAATAAGTTTAGCCTCATCAGGTTGATCCGAAGTGAAAAACCCAAACGCCAGAATCTCACTCTCATACTCATCCATAACCTTATAGATATCATGCTTCTTAAACACTTCAAACGCAATCGCAAGATGCGCAGGCGCTGGTTCCGGTTCCGGCAATATCAGCGCAGATGTAATCAAGGGGAAACAATATTTCAACGCTGTAGACTTAACCAAGTCATTCGCAGGTGCCCATAGACCCCAAAGATCCGCCTCGTCTACTTCTTCCTCCACAACTTCCTCTTCAACCAAATCTTCAATCTCAATTGTAATAGCCGTTGGACTAAAGGTGGAACTAACCCGTCTAAACTCATTGGGATCTATTACCTCAGCCACCTGTTCTTCTTCCGCTTCTTCCTCTTCAGCTTCTTCTTCTACCTCTACTTCCTCCTCTTCTAGTTGATCAATACCTTCATCTAACTCCAACATGGCTTGCATTTGTTGTTGTTTTATGGCTTCAGCTTCTTCCTGGATCTTTTTAGTTACCTGGGATTTTAACAATGAATAAGCAGGTGTCCCTGGTTCCCCTGGAGCAATTTTGGTTGCTCCATAAGCAAATTTTAGTATAGTTTCATCCAAAGGACCAGGATTCATCTCTTGATCAACTGTTAACATCAATGCTAGAGCACGTTCACTACAAAGGTGATGTTTGCATGCTTCAGGCATCTTATCAGGTGATAGGAATTCTATATCTTCAATTGCTTCCTCTGTAAGTTGAGGTCTTTCTTTTTTGGAGATAGCTATACCCGTATGAGGTAAAAATTCATCCAAAATATCACTGCTTTTTTTAACAGCATGCGGAAAAATGATGATTAATCCAAGATGCGCCATTGTATCCAATATATTTTTAGCCTGAGCAATTCGTCTGTCTTTGAGTTGTCTCTGGGCTTTCTCCACTTTAACCCTTTCACGGTCCTGTTCAATTTTGGCGTGTTTTTCAAATGTTGCTTGCTCCTGCTCGGAGTTTTCTTCTGGTAAACGTTGGGGACGTGTGCGTATTCCTTCCAAACATTCTTTTCTTTAACCATTTCATCCATAATCATTCTTTGTAATTCGGGGCGTTGGACCCAAAAGTAAACCTACTTGTTGACCTTTTGCGATAAACATCCATGTTGGTTCAGATTTATTACGAAAACGTTTCAGGGCTTCCACATTATTTGATCTAGCCTGTAAAAAACATTACAAAATTTATTTTGGATGTAAAATTAATTTAAATTTATTTTGGGACCATTCCAAGATGGAGAAAATCTCCCCCACTCTCAAGTTTTATCTTCTTGAGGTTTCCCTGCATTGCCAAGCATGGACCACACCATTCCGAGTAGATATCCACCACGAGAAGACCATCTCGCTGAAGAAACTTCTCCCATTCCTCATCGGAGGTGATATCAATCTGTAATTGAACTTGTTTTGCTTTCGCCATCCTGTCAAGACACTATTTTGATTAATACTCAATTGTTTGATCAATAGATTTACATACAAACTTGATGAAATTTAATTCAAAACTTCTTTTACTATATGCAACCAAAAATACACCTTTAAATGCACTAAACTTAAAATCTTCAAAATATTATCACTTTTATTTGTGAAACTGATAATTTTACACTCAAATTGCAATATCTATATATTGACGAGTTGATAACGTGTTTTCTATAAGTGTATGAAGTCTACGCGTCTTATCTTTTGACTTGGTTAAGTGCATGCGTCATCGATGAGTTCAATTTTCAAGTTTGGTGATTTGCAGTGATAAGCCCGAAGCTCCTAATTAGATAATTACCTGATGTGGTCCCGACGTACCCAATATGTGATCGCTTTCTTTGGGAAGCGGCATAGGGTATTCGAGACCACATTGAGGCACTGTGTTTTTTCTCTCTTATCTGTGAAGACTTTTTTTGTGCGTGCGCTTTTGTTTTCGCGCAGTTTCCTAATCACTGTCGTTACGTATCAATGAAATAAATTTGAACGTATGCAGTTTACGCTCAGCTGATTGTAACTGATCGCTTACTCGTTTTTTCACTTTTGAGAAGAGAAAAAGTTTATGGAATTGTTTCTTAAGTGTTAACATTGACTTAAGTTATCTTAATTGACTTAAGTAATTGACTTAAGTTATTTAATTTATGTTTAAGCATAAAATTACTTATAAAGTGTTATTCTTTTATTGTGATGACTTTATTTTTGTTTTACTTACTTAAAGCAATGCTTTCTTTACTTAAACTATTTTTAATTGAATTATGTATAAATAATAGTTTAAATTAATTAGTTGCAAATGTCTTATCGCACGTATAAGGGTCTAGGACATAGTTTGACGATGGAGGATGCTTAGATTCGTGTGTTCGAGACTCCTTGCGTGTTTTAAGTAAATATTTCTTTAAAAAAAAATTTCACTTTAAAAAAATTGCTTCACACTAAATTCCCGTTCAAAATCCACTAGTTAATTAGGAAGTTTTTAATATTATGTGGATATTTGGGCTTTAAATTGTGCGATATTAACCTGCAATTTGCAATGATAGTTGCACTTTTATCTTATAGTTAAGATAATGACGATAAAGACATAAGCGTCTAAATTTAAATTGAATTTCTGTTTTTTTAGAAATGTTGTTAAATAAACACTGATTTAATAAAGGGAATTATATTTTTTTATTATTTGTTTAATTTATGCGTTAATTTTATTAATTTTTTTAGTTTTTATTATAGTTTTTTATAAATAACGAATTTATTTACAACTTACATAAATGAAACATAGGTTGCGCTACGTGTACTGTAATTTATTTTATTTATAATAAAACGATATTTGGTTTACAAAATTGTGATTTTGAAGATATGGAAACGTTGAGACTTTAATAATAACATAATATAACGTATTGCCCTAAATTATCTCTAAAAATTTGAATTTTGTAATTTTATTGTTTTTGTTGTTTTATTTTGTTGTTTTTTATCAGACTTAAAATATAATGATAAATTAATAGCGAATAAATTAATTAATAAAATAAAACAATTCAATTTTGTTATATTACTAAAATAATAATAATAAACAATGAATTAGAATATAAATAAGAGAAAAGAATAAAATTTCGATTTGATTTATTTAAATTTGTGCACAATATAAATAACATTGTACTCAAAACCCAGCATTTATTCTAAAAACATCAACATTTAATTCTACCTGCTACAAACAAATATCTTCCATCATTCTGATATCAACAAACAAGTTTTTGTGATGTGAACATTCGAAATGAATCCTAGATGACGCTAGAATGCACTATTTGCAATAAAATAAATCAGGTGATGTCACAGCACAAGTTTATTTACATCAGTGAGGTGGTTTGATAGTGGTAGTGCGTGTACATCCATGTCCGTGTGAATTCAGACGGTAAAAGCGGCATTGAAAATGATTTGATTGTCGCGCGGCGCAAGAATATTAAAAAATTGCTGTAAAATTGACATTTTTTATGATTTTGGTTTTATTTCATGAAATACAGCTGTTCGCTTTTTAAATCATTTTAGTTTTATTTGTTACAACAAACAGCTGAGCAGCATTTCATCCAAATATTTGCTAGACAGGTGATTTCATTTAAAATGTTGAATAAAATTAAAAAATAAAATTTTTATTATTTATTTTGATTTTTGAATGTTTACTCAAATTTTTCATTAATTTATAATTTATATAAATTATTTTCTTTAAATTAAATGTAAAATATTTAATTTCAATTTAATAAACACTCACAATAACATGATTCGTGTTTTTAAAATGTTAGAAAGTGAGAAAGAATACATTAAATTCAATATGTGTATTTTGTATTGTTTACACCTTGTCGATTTCGGGTTTATCAATGCGTACTTCACATCACCTGATCGTCTTCGCGCGCATATCAGGGTGCGGGGTGAGAGGTAGGGTAATACTGCTTAATCGCAATCTTGCGCAGCGCACACGCAAGAGTATCAGTCGAGTGACAACGTTTGTTGCAGCGTGCAGCTCCGTTAAGCGATCGCTGAAAATTCACAAAATCTGCAGAAAAGTCGAGTTACCAAGTGAAAATCATTGCACCTTACCATCACAAGTAAGTCTCTTGCATTATATATTCATATTTCATTGAATAAACGTATAATATTTAAGATTTTTAAAAAATTGCATGCTGCAGTTTTTTTTATATGGTGTCAGATAGGGGTTTGCTTATCGCCGCGAAAGAAACACAATTTTAACGTTAGGAACAACGAACCTAGCTCATTTTGAAGAGCGAATCGCGTACATTAATGAATTCTAATTAGATTTTTCTTAAATTTATTAGTTTTTGTGTAATTCGAGTAATTTGGTTCTGCAAGCACCAGAATCATCGCGCGTACGTGAAGAGATGACCGCTGCTTCACCTTCGCAGAGCATGCGCGGCGTGCGCGTTCATCCTATCAGTTGTTTGTTTACTTTGCACATTTTTGTGGTGTTCACTTTGTGGCAGAATAGTGCCAATAGTGCAGTGCAAGTAAAATAAAAGAACATCGCGAGGTATTGAAATTTTGATTTCAAGATTTTTACACATTCAAACAATAGTAGTAAGCCGGCTTTATAATAAATTATAAAAATGTTTGGTTTATTTTTATACAGTGTATCAATTGTTACGGTGTGGATGGCAACCCCCTTTACTTCCGATGCTGGTTTGGTTTTCTAATTGGACTCGTGGACTTCGTCGACACATGGATGACTAAGTGTCATTCACCTTATCGCAGGTTTGAATTTTGAATTGATTTAATTTTGAAGCATGTTACTTGTTTTTTTTAATTCTACCTTTAACGGCATCCGCGTCGCGAATACTGTGAATAAAACTGTTATACTTTTAATTCCAATTTCATAAGCATTCTTATATTTGCAACGAATTAAAGTAGGTAACAAAGAAGAAAGAATGTGATAAAGAATACATTGAATTGAGTGTGTGTATTTTGGATTGTTTACGTCTTTTCGAATTCGGGTTTATCAATGCCTACGTCATATCACCTGATGTTCTTCGCGCGCATGCCGGGGTGCGGGGTGAGAGGTAGGGCAACACTGCTTAATCTCGCGCATCGCACACTCAAGAGTATCAGTCGGGTTCGAACGTTCGCTGCAACGTGCAGCTCCGCTAAAAAATTGCTGAAAATTCACAAAATCTGCAGAAAAGTGTCGTTACCAAGTGATATTCATTGCACATTACCATCACAAGTGAGTCACTTGCGTTATATGTTAATTTTTTTCAAATTAATTTAAAATATTTAAGATTTATAAAAATTTGCATGCATCGTGTTTTTTTTATATGGCATTAGATAGGGGTTTGCTTATCGCCGCGGAAGAAACGCAATTTTAACGGTAGAAACCACGAACCTAGCTCATTTTGTAGAGCGAATCGCGTACCTACATTAATGAATTCTAATTAGATTTTTCATGAATTTAGTAATTTTTGCGTAAATTTGAGTAATTTGATTTTGCATACCCGAAAACGTGGTGCGTACGTGACGGGGTGATCGCAGTTTCACCTCCGCAGAGCGTGCGCGGTGTGCGCGGCCGTCTTATCAGTTGTTTGTTTACTTTACACATTCTTCTATCGGTGACTTCGCGGCAGAATAGTGCCAATTGTGCAGAATAAGTAAAATAAAAGAACATCGCGCGGTGTTAGTTTGATTTTAAGATTTTAACATTTCGACAATAGTCGTTGCGTTTTGTGATAAATATTATAGTGAGTGTTTCTATTTATTATATTTATTTTTTGCTTTTATCATATTATATATTTCTTTGTGCTTTGTCATATTATTATTATATATTACATTTTCCTTAATTCTAGGACCCTGTGACCCGATCTGATGAGATGACCAAGCCATGAGGGACTAAGTATTTTCCATATTATTCTAAAAATGGGAACAGGTTTGAAAATTGATTTACATTGCTTTAAAAGTCGGTTTACTTTTGAAGCGTATTTTATTTTGTTCAAATTCTACTTCTAACGGCACCCGCGTCGCGAATTTTATGCCATGTTTGGACATAAATCGTAACTCGTATAATTCGAAATGAAGTGAGAAGTGAAATGCGCGGTAATCAAATCATAGGTATTGTAAAACAAAAGAACTTCAATATTTATATAAAATTTACTTATATTAATTGTTCTTTCTGCTTGTCTTCCAGGTATATTTTCAATTTACTTGGCATTTATTTGTAACTCGGGCGCGTTCGTTTTCGGTTTATGTATTTCTTGTTTGTACTAATATGTCACACCACTTCTTAACCGTTTATTCTTTATTATTTTTATTACTTCCGATATTTGAAGGATTTCTGAACATTCTAAATTAATTTGCTTACTGAATTCTCGGTTCAAAATTAAATTTTACACATATTTTTTATGATATTTTTTATTAATTATTCGTGATATGAATTTCACTTATGTTTTTAAGTTTACACGTTTTACACGTTTTTGAGGACATTATTAGAGACTAACTATTTTGTGTCTTGTGTAGTCAAGTTAGGTGGTTGAGTATTAGGTATAGATGTAGATGTAAATGTAGATTTTTGAGGGGTGTTGTATGTTTTCTTTAATGTTTAGGTATTTGTCGTTTGAGGTTTCACGTATTATTAAGGTTTTTCTATTGTATTGTGTTGGCGCCTTTGTGTTAGTAGATGTTTAGCGTAGTGGTGTAACAGGTAAACTCAAAAACATAACGGTAATTCATATCACGTACAATTAATTAAAAATATCATAAAAATTATTATGTATTACATTTTCAATAACGAAGACAGAAAAACAAATTTATTTCTTTTAGATATATTTTTTTAGTTGAAATTTAAGTCACTTTACTTTATGTTCTTGCTTTAAAAAAATCACTACCCTCCTTCCTAAGTATTCCCGCTAATCTATATTTACATTTGCAGCAATAACGTTACTCGCGATGACCTGGAGAGGTGTAACGAAATACTCATCGAGTGCGTGCGGGTCGCGACGCGGTCTATTTTAACCATTTTATAGAATCTCGATCAATTAGCTACCGAAAGAGGGTCGTGCCTTGTCCCCTTTCACCTGTTAGGGAAAGTACGCAGTGTTTATAAATATTTATAACTGTCGAAATCCATTCCGAGAGACATTCCAATCCCATGAGGGACGAGAGGGGATCCAAACCACTTCAAGCAACCTACCAGCGTTTTGGACCCAAGTTTGGAAAATATCGACGCATCCTCCTGAGAAACTCTGTCGTAGGATCCCAGTTTCTAGGAGCCGGATGAAGGTAAGTCGTGGTGATGACTTGGACCGGAGGGTAGTCACGAGTGCCCCTGACTGGCGGATGCGCAAAGCATTTTGCTGCGTATGTGACAGCCGAAGGGGAGACACACTCGGGGCTATGTCCTTGGTACAGGGATAGTCCACCCAGCATTGCTAGAATCGCCGGATGTCTTCAAGGGGGGTGAGTACACCTGACACCAAACTGGCTGTCTTGTATCTTTATGCGCAAACAAATGCACGTGCATACAATCATCATAACTGAACTCGTCGTCTATCCCGGAAAATACGTTTTGTTTTGTTTTCGCGATTCGCAATTCGGCTTTTCAGGCGCGATCAAAAAAAGAAAGAAAACATAATTTCGATCAACGTTTCAATTTTTTAAATTCGGGATACTACTATATAAAACGCGTTCAATCCAGTCGCGGTTTTCGCGTTTGCAACTCGGGTTTTTCAGGCGCGATACACACCGAAGGAGGAATACCAAAAATCGTGGATAACATAATGTCCACCAACGTTTAATTTTTTGGGAGTTGGAATACTCCATTAAATCCGTTCGTTTTACTCGCGATTTTCGCGTTTGCAACTCGGTTATTTCAGGCGCGCATCATTGCCAACCACGGCAAAACATCAATCATTTGAGTCAACATAATTCGCGGCCGTATAACTTCGCGTTCGTTTGCAATGTGTGAATGTGTAGACTGATGAATGGAACCCTATTTTTATTATTATTGTATGAATGCATTCATTGATTTGTTGTATTTATTATATTTGTGTATGTGTGTTAAATTTTGGACGATGTGCTTGCACATGGTACCAAAAGCCCGTTGCCCACTGGCGGTGCACGGGTCACAAGGCTTATTAAACTCAACTTGGTTATACCGCGGCGAAAACCGTTTCGCCACCCCAATCACAGATCGTCAAACGCGGTCGCGAGCATTATATTATTAAGAACGATAACAAACATTTTTACAACGGTCTGTGATTTAGTTAAGTATGTTGTTAGGCAGGGAAAAAGGCAGGTCAACTAAAATCTCGCGATAGAATTAAGAATCCTATCCACCAACCTTTTAGTGTGTGAATGATAATTATGTTATATATTTACATTATTTGATATATTTGTGTATACTTAATCAGTTTTCCGCTTTCAGAAGTCACCGCGAATGTTAGTACCGCGATATTGAGTCCGTGTGCAGGCAGGGTCGTATTAGGTCCAAACACATTTCCTAGTTTTCCTCACCTATTAACCAAATATATAAACTTAAAACAACTATGGTTGTCTTGATTTATTTGTCTGTGTGAAAGGCTCTACTAAACCAATTCCACATTTACTGTTATTTAAATATGTATTAATCAATTTTTCTTTCAGATAAAATCTGTATCTACTAAAATAAACAAATGCCTCTGAATATGTCTTTCAATACCTGAACTTAATTAAAAATATTTAATTTGTATGATCTGTTTTAGGTAACTGAAGATACATTTTTTCGTTTTATGTTTGTTTGTTTTGTTTCTGTCTTTTTTTATTTCTGTGTTTTTATTTTTCATTATGTGATCGTCTTTTTATGTTTGCCTTTGACTCAACGGTTATTTTCCTCCTTTTTAAACAAAAGAAAATAGCTGTTTAGTCATTAACCCGGCTCAGGGGTTGTAAAATGATCAACCACCTGAGTAAATCTTGTCAGGCGCGTCCATGTCGCGGGGGTGGGCACCATTTCAAAATATTTTTCATTAAATTTAAATTTACATCAATATTTTCAAAATTTCCAAAAAAAAATGGTGGCTAAGTTCTGACAAGGACCACTATTCAAATTAATTGACGTTTGTTAACATAAATCACACTATTTTTCAGACATCAAAGGAGAGAGGAAGAAGAAAACAGCATTCCAGGATATAAAAATGAATAACTTGTTAAATTCATAAATAGTTATATACTTGATCGATGGCAAAGTTATACAAAAAACAAATGTATTCAATTTGCAATATAAAACCGCCGTGTGCCAAAGAGGGCCCGGCGCAGAGGGAGAGATCTTAACTACAATAAGTATCAAATCGAACCTTTTACAATGCTCTTCATCATAATCATCATCCACGATCAATAAGTTCAACTATAAAAGTTTGAGGAATAATCAAATAACAGCTTTGTTTTATTCGCAGCGGCAAGCGCCTCTCGCAAGCGGAACCCTGTCTTCTTGTTTCTTTTTTTTTTGTTTCTTCACAAGCTGCGCTCGCCTATTTACAGACAACTTCGCCACATTCGCGAAAGAATTATTTGTGCTTACATACTTCATACAATCATTAACTAGAAGCACCATAAAATGTTTGACATTAAAATTAATCGAGTGAATATTGTCACTTTGTTCTTCATCTTCATCTTGGGACTAATCGTGAATTACGTGTACGAATTACTCTACTTATTATATACAAATAAAGAGAACAGAAAAACTTGGGTTAGGTGTATGTTCGGTTCTGCAAAACGCCAATAAATATGCGGTGCATGCAATAACATGATCACCTCCTCACTTGGGAATCATTTATAAGTATATATATGTATATATATATAAAAAAATTGCAAAAGGTATACGTCCGTAGAAAAACGTACAAAATAATGGCACATTGTTCCTAAATAACGTTATCATCACATTTTTGCTTTATGTCTCCTTGGATTTGCTCATTGTTAGTCATAAGTTGATGCGAAAGCTCAATGCAGCTTGCTAGACAAGTGCGTCGTCTCCGAACGCTTCGGGGGCGGTGGTGGCGGCCGCTTTGAATTACGTCCGTCATTTCCTCCTTGTAAATGCAAAGGACTTGCAGAATATTCAGCAACTTCAGTCACCTCGGCGTCTCGATAGACATTCTCGTAGAAATTATTGGGACCGTAGTGTTCTTGTACCCAGTTAGAAACATTCGTCTCTTTGTAATCAGGCAGAGTAGCAGGTGGATCTCGGAATCCTAAGACCTCATGCGGTGTGGTGTTTGGTTCTTCTAGACACTTCTGAGCCACTTGCCACTTTTTCCGCATCACGCGCTGAATCTCCTTGAGGAAATCCACTGGGGGATCAGCTAGTTTTTTCGGGCTTGAAAGACGAGTGTTTTCCGATCGTCGTGGTGGGGCAGGTTTACGTGGCAGTAAAGCTGGCGCCTCTTGCGGGATTAAATTAAACGAAATCTTCTTGGTTTTTACTGGACTTGTGATGCTGGTGGCACGGCGGCATGAAGCGTAGTCGGAAGACTGCGTACGTAGTGACGAACGCAGTCCATTGGTGTTGTTGAATGTTCCTGATGGTGAAGAGGACACTGTTTGACGGTATGCTAGTGGAGTAACATAAATCGGTGCTCCAGCATACTCTGTATTTCCATTAGTGTGGAAACCAGGGGATTACTCATTGTAGGCGTGCTACAATTTGAATTCGACGAATATCGCACCGGTGAGAGCACAGACGGAGTAGTTTCAGGACTCATCACCGGCGTGCAATTCGTAGGAGTGCAATTATTACTCTCCCGGTGTCGACTTTGTCTCAACGTGTCATCATCCTGCGGTAGAGGTGGTAGAGACATCAGAGATAGTTGACTTCCGGTTAATTCAGACTCGTGTAGTGATGGCAAGTCTCCAGGGTTCGGGGGCGGTGGGAGACTGTCCAGGGAAGTCGTTGAACAGTATAATTCCGGCGGTGGTGGGGGTAACTCTCCTTGGATACTCTCAACGAGACTCTGTATTTGTCCCACTGAAGGTGGTGGTGGTGGCGGCGGTAACGAAATCAACGAATCAGACATCCCCGCAGCTGTTGCAAGCGGTGATAAGGGACTCGAATGAATTCCCTGCGGTCACTCGGTGTGGTACATCCACAACTATCTCCACTTCGTGTGCTAACAGACTCAATAGACCCACGTTTGTATGAGTGTTGTCTTTTTAGCGTTTCTGACATTGAACCATCATCAGAATTCGATGATTTTCGACGACTGTGTCGCCTTGTGAGTGTGCCTGTGTTAGTATATGAAGGACTATTCGGAACATGGTCTGTTTCATCTCTTTCATCCCTGGTTTCACCTACTTCTTTTAATTGTCTTGTGATGTTTGTTAATGGTATCGAAGGCTTCATAGACGGCTTCCGTTTGATAGTTCCGGTAGGGAACTCGGAATCAAACGCATTCTCACAGCTGGACGGCGCACCGTCTGACATACAACCGCTGGAACTTGAGCTGCTTGCTCGACTCTGCCGCCCGGAACTGATCTCGCTCGGGGTGCTCGAGCATGCTTCACTTTGTGTCATATAACCCTCGCTGGGTGCGTAACTCTGACATGGCGTGGTTACATTACTCTGCGGGATGGAACTCACTGAACAGCTGCGTGCATGCGCTAACAAGTCTAAATCCTCCTGCGCTAGTTCCTCCATCAGGAAGCGGTAGTTTTCCATTACTTGTTTGCCTACCTTGGCAATGCGCATGCCCACCATCCATTTGTCCAGGGTTTGTTTATCCTCACAACAGAGGTATTTTATGTACTTGGTACTCTTTGGTTCCTGCAGTCTCGGGTGTTTGATAGCGAAACAAAAGTCCGTCGGGGCCTTGAACTTCTTCTTCCAGCCAACACCGTAGTAAATTTGATTCACGTCGAATGTGGCTAGGCAAACCAAGTCTTTGGCACTTTTAGCTTTTCTTTTTGCACGTAGTACAAACCGGATGCACGCAGGACAAAATGGTACTTTTTCCAACCTAGAAATTAAAAAATACATAAATTAAAATTATTTTGAATTGTTTTAATAAAAACGCGTACCTTTTTGGAGTCTGATTTTAAATACAAAGGTCCTTCGACTTCAGGCATGCCACCACCTCCAGGCCCAACATTCGATGAGAAAAACTCTTCTAAAAGCAAATTCCGCGCATGTTCATCGTGTTCCACCGCACCACGTGTACGATCATTCGCGGCGAGTATAAAACGCTCCGGTTGCATAAACAGCATGGTTTTATCAGGCCTCTCGGCAAAGTAAATCTTATTCTTTGAGTCCCTCGTCCACAACATCAGGTTATCCACGAGGAGTTCATCATCTTCATAGACACGCTCCATGTATAAATCGGGTAAATGCTCGACTAATCCCCATTTGGGATCCATTGCCACGTGGTTTTTATCTGCGACTGTTCTCGTCACATATGCACACGTCATTTTCTCATCTACTAATAAACTCTTTGCGGAACCATCCATAGTGAAGACTTTCACAAACAATTTCTGAATATTCGCTTCTTTAATCTTCTCCATCGCCATGCGAATCTTCTCCGCTTTGACGCGACTTGCCTCATCAGACATGAGAAGTAATGTTGTAGGCGGTTTGACATTACTACCGCCGCTACTCGCGGAAGATTCGCTCGAGAGCATGCTGACGGTGTCACTGAATGCGGAGTCGTTATCCGGCGAATCAGTCCGGTCGGTTTTCTGCAACATTGTGGAGTCGTCGTCCATTTTCAGACGGCCGGCGTCGGACGAGATGCGCGCACTCATCGCTTTCGACACATCTGGAATTATTAAAATACGTAGAATTATATATCAGTATATGTGTGCGTGTGACTGGATGTGGTTTCTTTGAGTAAACATCATGACGCCAAACACTTACCAGACTGTCGCTTGCTGTCACGCGCGTTGCCGATTTCCTGATCGCATTGCGTCTCCAACGCGCAGAGCTCACCGAGGATCGCGTCTAGGTCCACTTCGGGACTGTCCTCTAAATTCGCCATCGAGAAGCGAAAGCCGTCGATGCGCGGCGCTGCAATGTCCTGATTCAGCGGTTTGAGGGACGTTGAGGATGTGTTGAACGATGAGTTGGACGTACCTGCGTCCAAACCCTAGAAAAAAATGAAATTATTTTTAGTAAATTTTATCATAAAAATGTTGTCATAATTAGGGGTGAGTGTGACTAAGTGTTGAGGGAAGCGCAAGAGCAGAAAATTACATTTTCTGAAAGTGGAACGCGCACGTGAAATGAGAGCATCGCATGACCGGGACATGCAATAATGGGGTGGGTTCAACAAAGCGCAACGTGACCTTTTTCGTAATGATACAAACAAGGGCCGCCGTTGGACACGCAAGTCAACTACTAACCACGCACTAGTGTATACTTAGAATAAGAGTAGTAGATATGTAGGGATATGATAATATTGCACCTTTCCAAATTTCCACACTTTGAACATGATGCTGAGGGGACGGAGTATAATAGCACGTAGAATCTTACGCAATTCCACACGTACACTTGGCAATCGAATTCGTCGATGGCGGCACACGACACGTGCATTTCTATAGAGGGTTATTTGTGAAATTGCATAGGCGGCATGCTGGAAATTCCCGGCGGCGGCGGCGGCGGCGGTGGTACGGAAGGAGGACGGAGCCGAACTGGGTGTGACGTCACCGCGACAGACACCCGGGAGCGCGCTAGCTGCCGCCGCCGTGTCGGCAGTACCGTACTACGATTTTACTACGCCTGGCTGGCGGGGGTGGCTGCGGCGGCGGCGGCGGCAACCTGGAATTTAGCGCACCGAGCGAGATAACACGAGATGAGTGGGGACGTTTTGTGGCTACGGTGCGGCAGTTACCACACACAACACACACACGAAATTTCAAATAAAATGCATCAATTCCACGTACGTAATTACTGTAAATGGTAAATAATACGATTTGCAATTGTAATCATCGAAAAAAGAAGTCAAGTTCAACACGCCTGGCGACGTAACAAGCAAAAACAATTAATTAAAAAATTGAGGTCGTCCACCTTTCGAGCACAGCGCAGCGCACAAACGCATGGAACGATGGATGGACGACCGGAACAACAGCCACGAATTCGCCACAACATGCCATCGAGCAGGTCGCACACGAACGCTCTTCGTTCGCCATGTGTGAGGAGCGAGTAATTAATGGACAGAACTTGGCCGATCTTCCAGTTCATTCGGTGCCAAGTGTATTTTCCACATTGCAAAAACAACTTCCATGTCTTATATGAGAGCTATAAATCATGCGCTAAGGATGCGTCTAACGAGGAAATCGCCTACGCGAGCAATAGAATTAATCTATGCGGATTCCCAGCGGTTTAACATTCACAAACACAACATAACCTCAAATGCACAAGTGCAATATGTGTGTTTGGTTAGAGATCAAGATGAAACTACCAATAGTAAATTGTAATCGTGTTATTTCACGAAATTCAGTCAGGTGCAATTGATCCAGACAGGATAAAGCACTTTGAGCGTTTAATAATGTACACCCCACCTGCGCTACCTGTCGGCCGAACCCCTAAATTGATTGCTTCCATATTGGATTGGATTTGTGCATTGAGTTGCCTATAATCTCATCAAAATGACTCCGCAAAAAAAAACAAAATTTTCGTTTTAGTTGAACAACTTTGTTGGCTTTGGACTTGAATTGAAGATGTTGATGTAAATGATGCACTTGGTTCTTGAAATAATACAACGTTTGGCTATTTTTGGCTCTGCACGTCGAGGCGTCACTGCATTTTCGTGTCGGGACGCATCCATAACGTCGACATATCAGCGACAACTGCAAGTTTAGCTTTTTTGCTCGTTTCGCTTGCCTCCAACGCGCTTAAATGCGTATAAATATATCACGGCGAGTTTAAACTTTGCACATTTCTATCGCAATGAGACAAAAACTCTTGATTGAACGCAATAGTTGCGTTGTTTTATGTGTTGCGGCCGCTCAGGGTCGTTACGATTCGATGCCTTCTAGCATCTAGCACACACAGGCGGCCATAATCAGTAATCATCCGCACGAACACAGAACGCGAACCGTTCTTATAGCGCGCTTAATGTTGATGTTGCGTTGAAAAATGATTGAATTAAAAATAATTAAAGTTAATTGCGAGGAGTTTACATCCGAGGCCTATGGTATACCAGCAGAAAACGTCCCCGCCGCCATTAGTGACGCGCGCCGCGTTACAAAATTAAACATTTTTCGACTGCTGGTTTTTATATGTATAGTTTTCATTCCAATCACCAAGTGCATGTTTTCGGATGACGTCGAATGCATGCGATGAGTCATCCACAATTGAATCATTTAGGGTGCTCGTGATGAGGGAGAGATGATGAGGGGTCGGCCGGTGATACCGCACCCCCAAAAGTGACTAATACAAGTGCATGCATGCTGAATGCATCAGTGACTAGGCAAAATATCATGACTTTTATTTTATATTGAAAGTAATGCGTTGAAGTGAATGCGCAAACATAACCTATATGCAGATCTATGCAAAATGGATGGTGAACGTGACGAACGTCATAATACCGCAACTTTCGTAAATCTCGTGTGCGGGTTTTTTTGTTTTTCAATGTGCAGAGACATATCGCGTTACGCAGCGCGACACGCTATCAGCACATTTCCTGTTAAGTAAGTTAAGTAATGTTAATAACACAAACTTCCAGTAGCGCAACATGATATCAATATCTTTTTCATTTACGTTTGAAAAATATTTATTTTATTAGTAATTTACCGATTCTTCCGAACAATGCGAGACGTTATCGTCGCAACAGCAGCCGCACGATGATGCTATATGAACTTCCTGTTTGCGAATCGCAAGCGTCGCATTCAGCTGACTCAGGCATTGAGCGTGAATGGCGTCGTTGTTGCTTTTCCGCGATGATGAAAATTTCGCCGGCGATCGACGCAACCAATCCATTTTAATTTACCCAAATTACTTCATATTTAAATGTAAGTTTGAAAATTTTATTCAAAGTCTAAGATGTTGTTGAATTTGTAGACGCTGGGCAAAGTCCAAAGAGCAACAACACCGCCGTGCGGTGTAAGCCACTACCATCTGGTCTCCCGAGAGCTTTTCTCACGCTTTGCACACACTTCACAATGCACACATAAACATAAACAAATTAATAAAATTCGTTTATAATCAAAACAAACATTTGACGATTTCAAACATAATTTTGTACTAATACAAGTAGGAATAATAAAATGTATGCGGCGAGTTGAAGAGGTCGCGATACGCGCACATTGCCCGCCTAATGGTAACTGGCGTTTGCCTGCTGGAAATATGTTGGCTGCACCGCGACGCGGAGAGTCGTAACGAGACGCAAGGCGCAAGTAAAACGCTTGTGTACTCCAGCGCACATGTGTTGTACTCGCCGCCATCGCTCGTTTACATACACACACACGAAACTATTGAGATGCAGTGCAGTAAATGCAAGGGAGAGGCACACAACTCACAAGTCGACTTATTGAAATCGAACAACATGTGCCCCAAGTGGTAATACGGTCATAAAATCACATTATATTGAATATTGACACTTTTCCAGTGTAATACTATCATAAAAACGCTTCCCTAACACGTCATAAACATGTTGATAATATTTATTGACGAAAAGAAAAGAAAATGGAAGATTTGTTCGTTTTGACAGCAAAGAAACATAATGCTATGTTGGTTGCCTATATATAGATCATGTCTCTTCCGTTTGCGAAGAGGGACGCTACTCAAAATGGTTCTGAGCTCGACTTCCTGACAATCTGTATAAAAACTTGACATATTTCCATTTATGAATCACTTTATAAGGTCTTGCAAAGCTCGCTTCGGAGATGTCTTAAGTTAAAACTCTTTGTTGGTTTCTTTACTAACCTTAATATAGGATTGTAAACTGAATCGTTTGAAGGCGCCAGCGTTGCGATCCGACTGCGAAAAGCTCATGCTTCGGCTGCTCGCCATGCGCTGCATTCCTTTGCCCGGACCACCATCATTATCAACAACGCAATCCGACGCGTTTTGGCTGCTCGACAGCGCGCTGTTGTGCACGCGGATCAACCAATAGACATCACCGTCATTATTCGAATTTGTTTTAATTGCATCTTGTTGTTGATAATGTTGTTTCGAACGAAAACTCCCGAACATACGCTTCATTTTGTTGAATGTTTCGTCAAATTAATTTAAATTAAGTTAAAAATGTCATTTTTTGGTTTTGGCGTGTTTTTGGCGCGTTGTGGATGAATAAAAGAACGCACCTTCACCTCTCACAGCAAAGCACACACCGCACGAAGAGCTATGGAGCAACTGGTGTGTCGGAACGTGAGCGTCACGATGGCATCCACCGCCATCCAGTTCTGTGCGTTCCTCTCCACAAGTAGAACCGACCGAGAATACCGCCGAGAGTAGAGCAGGTATAGAGCGGACTCGAGGTTGAGTCGTATTTGAATGTGGTGAGTGGAAGTAGGATGCGAGTTTTCTGTGTGTGTTTAAAAAGGGCTTTGCCTCTCGAAACGTGAATCCGCGCCTCGTAATGAAGCGGCAATCCGTGAAGAACTAGTCGCTGCAAAAACCTTTGACCCTTTTCGGCCCGCAGCGCTGTTACCATGGCGCCTGCACATTGCACAATTAACATAATCAACCCTAAAGTGTACAAGTACCACATTCTGCTTTTATATACACGAAATGTCTAAAATTTCATTTTATTTTTGTAAAATTTGAAAATTGATTTAATATTTCAAGTCCCTTTGGTTTTGCAAAGATAGTGACGCCTTGTGACAGATGGCCAGGTGTTGCAGAGAGGCACAAGCGCACACGCTGTGGACGCATGTCCATATGGCGCGAATCGATGCAGCTGCCGCTTGCTTTTCCTCTTTTCCTCTCTCTGCGCCACACGTCCCCCGAAAAAAGATTAGTTTACTGAGCTAATGCGACGCGAGTTGCTCAGCGCGTGTCGCGACAAAGACCCAATCATTATAAACCTATGCAGAAGAAAGAGAAGAAAATTTTGAGAGGTTTTGACGCTGGAGGAAGAGCGGAAACTGTAAACTGAGATGCACAGCTATACTAAAAGCTCAAAAGCATGAAAAATAGACAGAGATACAAGTGGAACATGGTATTAGTTAATAAAAACAGTTGCACCCTCGCGCATCCTAATTTATTTTGGACGTGTAGGCTAGAAAACGACACTTCTATAGATTCTGAAGTGTAAAGGTTCTAAAATTATACTTTTGAAGAGTTTTATGGGTTTTTATATAATTTAGGAGCATTTTAAGGTTATTTATAAAGAATTAATGATTGTGCAATAATATTGAGTGTATATAACTGAATTTAGGTTAGGTTTCTTTTCGTTTTATAAGATTTTGAACGTTTTGATTGATTTTGTGCAGTTTTAGTAGATTTTAAGGTTAGTTATGGATAAGTAATTGATTGTGCAATAATATTGACAGTACATAACCTAATTTGGTTCTAAAATTTCGCATTAATACAAATTTTGAAGGGATTTATTGCTCGTATATAATTTTAGTACATTTTAAGGTTATTTATAGAGGAATCATGCTTGTACAATAATATTGCCAGTGCATAACCTCAATTTAACACTAAAATTTTGTATAAATACAAATTTCCGTGATTTTTATTGTTTTTATTTAAATTTGATGCATTTTAAGGTTAATTCTAGAGAAATAATGATTGTGCAATATTTTTGTCAGTAAATATTCTAACCTAAATCAAATTTTTGAAGATTTTTATTTTTTACATAGTTTTAGTCCATTTTAAGCTTATTTATAAGAAAATAATGATTGTGCTGCATATAACCTAACTTAACCTATGTTTACTTCAGTTTTATGTGCATTTCGGTATGTGTTTGCCGAAGATAGACAGGTGGCACGCGTGGGCGATTTACCGTAATGCGGCTTGCGATGCAGGCGCACCGATAGTGCCTATGAAGTAACTCGAAAGTAACTGCAACGCGATAAGCGCAGCCGCACGACATGGAAAGCAAAATAAACGAAGTACAAACATCTCGGTGCACGTTCCGAGTTCATTATAACGTCGCGTGAACTCGCAAAAAGAAAACTTATAGTCCATAACGAGCAAAACACCCACACAAATGACTAATACACAAAAAATACATAAAAGTAAATCCAGAAATTGTAATTTTCTTGCATTTTTGCATGTGCACCTGGTGGAGTGGAGTGATTCAGTTTTTACCTGTTTCCTATTATATTTTCACATTTGTATAAATATTCTATTATACAGCATGATGTGCACCCTGCACACGTTTCTCATTTGTATGCGCAGCGTCTTCCGAAGCGAGTAAAGTGCACCTGCTTTGCGGTGTGTTCGCCTTGACGCACACTGCACTCGTGCCACAAATGTTGTATTTCGGCAGCGGCAGCATAATAAATATATGATACATATAAAATCAAGCCGCTGTGGACGAATGAGAAATGAGAAGTAAGAAAAAATCTTACGTGACACGCGCGTGCGCCGGTGTGATTTCGTCGGTGATTACACCACGCGAGGAAACAAAAAATAAAAAATAAAAAATCAAGATTTAAGTTGAAAGGAAGCAGTAGCGGCAGCTGCAACAAACTATATCAAGAGACAAGTTACTCTAAAGAAGTAAAATTGTTTGTCCTGCTGTTGCCATGCGCAAGGATTGCAGGAGATTGCAGGTGCCGAAACACCTGAACCAATCACAGTCTCATCATTACACCGCCGCAATCGCCAAAACCAGATGTAATTTATCATCGTGTTCGTAATAAAGTAATCAGAGTTAAAGATCTGATTCGAATACGAAATGAAAGTGGACAATATGATTGTACAAGCTGCTTGAGATTAATAAAACTCTCTACCTACACATTTATACACTGTGCAAGCATAGTAAATAATATATTTCAATTTGAAGAATAGAATTAGAGAGGCAGGGCTTTTGACAGGACAAAAGCACGCACTCCTACGACACCCGTGGCGTTGCCATTGACGATTTTCTTTGGTGACCCACCAAAGTGGAATAAGATTTATTTTTATTATAAAAACTTCTGAATAAAAACGTAAAGTAAAAATAGCTACAAATCACGAAATAAACAAGAAATTAATTTACTTTTATGTTGAGGATGTTCATATGTATAAGTTAAACAATGAAATATTGTTGTGATTGATGGCCGGAAACGGAAGTACCTCTGCGCACCTCTTCTGTGCGTCTGAAAAGTTGAGTTGAGTTTAATCGTTTGTCGAAACAAAAGAACTTTTTGTGGTGTGGTTGTGTATGCATACCGATTTTTGAATACGCTACCGCCATCACTGTATTAAGTTGTGTATGATTACTTCGAGCGTTGTCCACTAGATGGAGTTAAAGTAGTCGTACGCTTTTTATATTTTTACTACCATTCGATTTATGGTCACGTTTGTGTTAAGTGGTAGGCAACCAAGAATACAAATCAACATTTACTAGTATGTATTAGTATTTACTAGGAATAGAAATACGCTGCATAACTCAATGAAAGCTGCTCGTCAGTAACGAAGTAAAGTGAAGTTTGTAAAATCGATAACTTTCAGTTTTCCGTTTGCGTGGCGCGCCGTGTTTGTCGTGCCTTCGGGTGTTTTCCACGCTTTCCCCCGGTTCGAATGCGTTTATTTCGAGTTTCCCAGCACGCTGCTTAGTTATTTATTTATTCCTTTTTATTCGTTTTATTTCTTTATTTCTTTGTGGCGCGCGCGGGGCGAGAATTTACGACGACATAACGCGAGTTTTCCTCTACGCGCTTATAGAATTTTTCGTTTTTCCCCGTTACGGAGCGCACGTTCGTGTTTATTCAATCAAAATAATCGGCGGTAATTTCGTAATAAGAGCCGCTTGGAAATACGTAAATTACATCGGTTTTTCGACGTGCGACAATTGCGTACTGCTCTGCGGCTGTGGCTGTGGAAGAGTTTTACTTTCGTAATTTAGTTAATGGCAGGCGGGAAAATTCAGCGTCGTCGTCGTGAAAAGCGAGATTTATTTCGTCCGTATGCTTATCGCTTTCGGCTTTTCCTTTTCGTGCACATCCCGAAGGAAAAGTTTTCCCCTCGCGCGAGAAGTGGTTGTTCACGAAACAAGAAACGCGTTTACATCGAAAAGTTTCGCTTGTAATGTTCGGCAACTAACTTTGTTGCCGATTTACAACTTGAACTAATATAATTATTCAATCGTGAATGTAATTATTTACGTGTAGTATGTTTCACTGAAACCTAACCTGAAATTTGTGCTATTTGGAAAAATGTTGTAGAAGTTGTGCGCTATGTGCACACCGCAACCCTCTTGCTGTCCCGTTGTGAGGCGAGGGGCAGCCATAACAAGCGTCACTGCCGCCTCCGACCGCCTGCGCGCTCTGTGCAGTGCAGTGTGCCGGCAAAACCGAGCACAAACGGATCGATAATATGATAATTCGGTGCGCTTCATATCGGTTTCGCTTCTCCAACCGCCGCCACCGCCTCCACAGCTTGCATAATACATCACATTCAAGATGTACGAGTACACATATACGTTCAATAAGTAAAATAATTTATTTACAAACGTAATATCCACTTAAATTCAAGCAAAATTCGATTTTCTTAGTCTATATATTTTTATGTGAGATTTTTATCATCATAGCGACACGTTTCGCAAAATAAACCCGGCGATAATAAACCAAAACCAATTTGGGGTGAAATTTCCCTTCTTATACACCAGCAAAACCAACAAAAGAAATATATAAGGAAGAAAATGTGAGATACGTAATTTCGGCTGACCTTTTCAAGCCGCAATCCGAAATCTCGACTCTCCGACCAATACATGCATGACCGGGAAATCTCGAGGAAATGCGGATGACTCACCCGACTCTATACGCGCGATCATTTCCTCTCGAGTGCGCGCTCGCGATGCCAACAATACGCGAATCACTAAAAGCACGCGCTTGTCGACAAACAAGATGATTCATTTTCGATTCCCGTTTGCAGTTGAGCGCAAACGATCAATGGGGATTCAATCGCAAACAAACGAAACCAGAGATGTGCAATCTGAATGAAATCCGAGTAGAAAATCTTACCTAATTATTGATTATTTATTCACTCAAATAGAATAATGTAATTGTAAGTGTAATTCAAATGAAAATTATTATTCCATTGGAATTTCCGACGTAAATTACAAAATTTCACTTAGTTATTACACTGCAACCTTCAGAGAGTGCAGTAATGACTAACTAAGCTAACAAAGCCAACAAAGTTTTAGGTGCAGGTAGTCAGGAAGCTACGAAACTAGAGCTAATTAGTTTCCGGGCTGCATTTGCAGTCTACACTTCAATTTGCGGTTTGTAATCAAGTTAAACAGTAAAATTTCACGTTTTACCAATGTTACAACAGCGCCACCTATGCATCTGTCACAAAATTTTATTATTTTAATATTTTATTAGTTTTTAATCAATTTAAAAGCGTATAATGCTCGTTTTTCACGTAATTAATAAATAAATGTCCGATTGTACGACGTTATGCATTTAAATTTTTTATTCGATGCATTTTAAGCTTGTCTCGCCACAAAACAATGGTGAATAGATAATAAACATTGTATATTATTGTGCATTATTGTCCACTCGGGTTGATTATTCCGTTTTGTTCTTGTTTTCTTTTTTTTAAAACAGCTTCATTCGCCTCGTGTGTGCATTGTTCGTGTCTGCGTGTATGTTTGGTTGTCTGCTTTTACATTATTCACGTGCGGGTCAACTCAAACGCTACTTTACATAACCTTAAACACAAGAATAGAATCACAAGACGGCGACGAGTAAACTTGCGTTGGTTGGAAGATGTGTGTGTGTGTGGGGAAATATTATTAACCCCGACGATATTGTGTACTGTAACTTGGTGAGTATCACATAGATTTGATCATGTGCTGTATGAGACATGTGTGTGTTTTATGTCAGGATGTGAATAATGCTGTGGCGCCCGTCGTCCATCGTCCCTCCAGTCACGCATGGCGACGCATGTCTCGAGTGCTGACCTTCGATCGCACATTTCAGCATTTCACATTTGTTCAACGCATCATCGGATGGCACAAATACAGTATGCATCAAACATTAACATCCACATCAACATCAGGCAAGCATAAATTAAATCTGTACGAAGATTGAAATATAGAGCAATATATTTTTAGATTCTTCCATTCTCCATGAATTTAATGCTTTGAAAGCTTTGAAGACTGAATTTCGCAGAATATCCACGGGATTAAGAACGCTCGCTGTGAATGCGAACATCTTTTATCACTTTGCGTGTGTCAACGCACACATCGCCGCCGCCTAAGTAGTCTTCAATCATTGAATTATCGCAAATCGTTATTTATTAAGTCGTAAACGTCTTGTGCATCTCTGTGGTGAACCGCAGACTCAACGAAAACAAAAGCTAACCTCACTAACAACGCACGAAAACATAATATTATGTTTTGTGTTATTTTTAAGTCATGCACGTTGCATGTGTGAGTGTGTGTTGTATGCAAAACGTGATGGCCGCCGACGCCATGACACAATACACGTTTGTGTATGTAGGTACTCGTATGAAGAATGCAGTGTGCGAAAACGCAAAACGAAAAGGGAAAGAAAGTGGCACACTCCAGAGACACCGAGACGGCTCGAGACTGGCTTCGACCGAATCGAAATCAGCGATAAAACCGCTTTATATGCAAGTCGTGCTCGAGCAGAGTCATATAAAAGTCGAAAATATTAATTTTTGTAATTAGTTGCATGTTGAAATTGAACTTAAGTTGAAAATACATAAAGACATAAATTACGGAAAGGTGTCACGAGTCACGATGGATGCCGTAACAATAAAAACAATAAAAACGCGTACGTGGGCCGGTTACTAATCACAGTATTCGTTTCTTTCGGTGCGGTGCTGGGAGTTTAATGCTTCGAAACATTTAAATACATGCATATTGTAAAACGGAAACAAACGGAAACGCCAAACCCACGCACAATTTATTTATTTTAACATTTTATGTTTGGAAAATTAGTATTTTTACTTCAGGTTAAGTTAAATGTTAAAAATTTGTATAAATGTAATTTTTAGAGTTTAATGCGTAGAATTTAGTTATTTTGTATTAAAATGTTTGTTGATTTAAACAAATCACATAATACGCAATACAAGAGGGTTCATTATCGCTGTGCGATATGCGCGGCGCGCAGCCCGACAGGAAAGGCGCACAGATAGCACGTACGACACTTTAAAGTCAACCTGCAGGGGCCGGAGGTTTGTCGATGCCTCGAACGGAAGTCGACACCGTCGGCCGCCGATAAGCGCGCGATGTACGCCATAAAGGTGCGACGCTCGTGTCTGTTTCATATTTTATCTGCTTCTATAGCAGCAGACGTAAAGTTTACTTAGACTTACATTAAATACATTACGCCATTGAGTAACTGACATTTGTAAGGATCCACTATCGACACAATGTCAACATTACACACACATAAATACATTCAGTTGCATGAGAAAAATAAAAATTCCTACGCAAACACTTAATGAAATTTTTGCGCAAAAGGGGGATGATAAACAACTGACCTCGGTGAGGATGCTCAGTTCACCGAGCCATTCCTCGAGCAGTTGCCCCGGGTCGGCTTCCACTTCCGGCTCATCTCGAACACCGCCGCCGCCGCCACTGCCATTAAGCGCCCCATTCAGACCGGCCGTGTGCATCTCCATGCATTTATTCATCTGGAAAATAACAAAGATAAGACAAAGGATAATTAAAGATAATTAAAAACTCCGCCGAAAAATGTAATATAAAAATTAATGCGGTTGAATTTAATCCACAGAGAAAATCTTTAATATTTAAAAGTCACATGAAAAACGTTTCTAGAAAGAAAACTTTTTCATCTAAAAATAAAATTTTCTCATTTTCCATTTAGAAAAACCAATAAATCACCACAGCATTTCTCTTTTCTGATTCAGAGAGAATTTTAAAGCGTGAGAGCTATTTTTACAACCAAAAACAAAAACCACGCATGCCCACGCGCCTGACTAGAAGTATATTTATCCAATTTTATGAATGAATTTCGCGTTGCACAAGATACGAGCATAACACGACAGCTGCGTTGTGTGTGCGAATGAGAAATGAAAATGGGAATATTGTGGGTTGTAGCGGTTTGACACGCCGTGTGCGTATTTTGCGACCTACGATCAGCCATCGAAGCGTAGGCCACAGATCGGACTATATTTATAAATATAGTTATTTATTTACAAACAAGTATAAGGTGTACGCTTGAGGTGAACGGGAGAAAACCGCTGCTGGACACTTGTCGCATTCCGCAAGCGTTTTTTCTTGTCGCCGTCGATGTTGAGCGATAAATATTGTTATAACCGATCAAATGCGAAATCATATCAATTTTAAGTCATAACTGCATATTGTAAACACAGATATAACGCGTAAAACATGTGAGACATTATTATACAGGAAGAATTGAATATTTTTTGTGATTTTTTTGCTTTAAATTCGATTTAAACAAAAACTGTTTTTGTATTTTTATGAAATTTTGTATGGTTATCAGGTATAAAATTACCTTTAAAATGATATTTTGATCAATATTATAACTTTATAAACAATTAAGTTATAGCGATGTTAGTAAAAATTTAATTTTGCAACTCTCTGTATGTGGTATGTAGCGACTTCTGTTGCTTATTAGCAACATACCAATTTGTATAGGCATGTTAGCAAACAACATCAACTAAATAATCTGTTTTATTGTTGCTTTTATAGCGCTTCCACTTGCACGTCGCGCGTTTTATTGAAAATTTATTGAAAAATAATCACAGCGAACACAACACGCCGGTTATATGATTACATATCATTCGATATCATTCCGAAGGCGTTGAATTGTAAAATGTAAATCAAATCGTAAAAGTCGTTTGCGGTGGTGGCTGCGCACGCAAGGCGGCGCGAAGGCGCGTGATAATTAATTGAAATTGAAGCGCGTTTTGCGCAATTGACCCACATCGGCGTCCGACGACGCGCGCGCTCTGCGACACTACATTCAATATACACATCAATTACACATTAATTCAATGGATGCGCACACAATGATTCCGCTCGCGCAGGAAACGCTAAAAATCTAGCACACACACATTCGGTTTTATCGCGCTAATAAATTTCCATGACAAAATAAAAATCGAATCAAATTAAATTATATATGTACGAGTAAATAATAAAATTGCGAATTGCATGCAAAGTCTAAAAAACAACTCGCAGTAGCAGGAAAGATAAACACGCGCCGCGAAGTAATTAAGATAATGAGCTGCGATTAGTGTTTGATCTGCCCGCGCGGCGGCCCTCCGCATCGGTTTGATGAAAGCGCGCGCGCGAGTTATTAAATTCAATTAGATTCGAAAAACAATGCTGACATTGCTGACATGCCGACATTTCCTACATTAACAAACATACAACGTCAGTGCCTGAAGCAAAAAAACATAAAAATGTATGTTTCTCTTAGATTAATTAATGAAACACAACTAAATTTTGGCGATGGATAAATATTGATAAAAGGAACATTTCTATGCGAAAATAATGAAAATCCGACTTTGCACTCAAAAGTTATCAACAAAAAACTGATTTTTTAAAGAAAATTTATGCAACCAAATCTAAAAAATGTTAATTTCTCTTGAACTAATTAATGAAACAAAATTATTTTTTACCCAAAGATAAATATTGATAAAAGAAACATTTCTATGCAAAAATAAACAAAATCCGACATTGCACTAAAAAGTTATCAACAAAAAACTGAATATAAAGCAAATTTATGCAACCAAATGTACATTTGAGGTTATGTTATCTTCGTGCCATAACCACAATCAAATTTACGACATGAAAAATAAACCGCCGAGGGTAGGAATTCAATTAAAACCCATTTAATTCGTTTCGTCTATTTGGCATTTCTGTTATCATATCCGCAATGGGCAAACATAAAACGGCCGGATCGCGTGGTGATATAAAACGCCCCCGAATAAAACAAACACGCTGAAGTGAAGGACATTACACATTTCACATTCCACTTGTCCACCAGAAAGAACAAATATGAATTTTGATAAATGACCACCCCTCACATGTTGATCATGCAAATTACGTAAAAGGGGTAACCCCATGTTATCCTTTTCATTCGCAAGGGTAGAAAAATAAAGGGTGCTCAAGAGTTGGAAATATGATGAAATGACACTTTTGTGTGTTTTATATACTCGAAAGGGTTGCGAATTGATATGAAAGTATCAACTAGTTGCGCTCGGTGTAATAAAATTAAAATAATTTCTATATTGAAACATCCGGCGGGCATTTTTGCAATAGTAAATATTTAGATGAAGACGCTGGGGGAGTTTGAGTGGAGTATGTGAGAATTGGTGCTTCAGTTGAGGATAGGAAATTATCAATTTTCATAGCGTTTCGGTTTCGTTCGTTTGATTGGAGGCGAACCGCCTCGAGCGGGAAGAATTTAGAGCTTAGAACCGCAACGAGGAATAAACGATGATGATGATGATGATGAGTAAAACGGAAGGCAAATATTTAGATTCCTACTGGTATGTGGTATGTGTATATTTCGTACATCCTTTAGTTAACAACAATTATTTAAACAAAAAAAAGTATTCGGTGAATTTCTAACAGAAAAACATAAAATTTTATATTTTTATTGATTTCCATTTTACAATTTAATCAAATTATTACCGAACATGTTGTAAAATAGAAATAAATAATTAAATACTGAGTGTTTCCGTAAATTTTATAAAAAATAACATTTTTTTCTATTTTAATCTTTGTGTAAACAGTGGAATTTTAATTTATTAGACACCTCATTATTACCCAACATAAATTATACCTTCAAAAATTTCACGCGCGTTCGGAATGCTGTGCTTGAATGTCATTTTGGAATTTTTTAATTTCACTGTTATTTTTGTAGCATACGAGTACAGAGAGAATGAATGCGCCACACTGCACCACACCACACCACATGAACCTATTTTCGTCCTCGATGCGATCGAACTAAAACTCCTTCGCGCAGTTCCAGCAACGAGCGAAACACGCATCGCATCCGTAATGAGAAACAAGCCCAAATACGGACGTGGGACGCGCGGACGCGCGCCGGACGCCTTTTAGGTAACTTTCATTAGGCACACATCGAAATGTGTCTTGATCCGATCGTTCTTCATCTTCAACTTCAACTTCAACAATCGATGCATTTCGTATTTGGATGCGATGATATCGTATTTAATTTTTGATTTTTACTGCGCGGTGCGGTGTTTGATTTTGGACTTTTGACATCTTGTCATTGCTTCAATCTTTAGTTAGGAACATTCTTGCGTATTATGCATTGTGCGGTGAGTGTCTAATCTCATCTAGAGTTGATTAAAAGCAAGATAAATGGAGAATTTCTGCTTGAATAATAATTATTAATATAACAGTCGAAATTTCAGATAAGATAGACTACCACATTTGTTTAAAAATGATAAGATATAAGATATAATTATTATTTGCGGAATGTTGCGGTGGTTTTTCCTACAAAAACACAAAAAACATTTTTTCGTTTAATTTTTGTTGGTTTTTATTAAATTAACGTAATAACTGATAAATATTACTTATTTTCAAACAAAATTGTTGAAATTTGTGTTAAATTAATTAAATTTTTCTGAAAATTTCAAAATTTACGTTAATATCACAAAAATAAACGCAAAATTCAAATAAAACACAGAAAATCATTTTTTATATTTAATTTTTGTAATTTTTATTAAATTAACGTAATAACTGATAAAAATAACATATTTTCAAACAAAATAGTTGAAAATTCAATCTAATGGAAATGAATTTTTAATTTTTTCTTTGAAAATTCCAAAAATTCGTTAATAAACGCAAAAATTTCAAGCCTTTTGCACCATTTGTACCTTTCGTGATGATATCATCTTAACAGGGTCTCGGCACGCCTGAAAGCTAAGTGCATCGCGTTGTGTTTGTGCATTAAACAACAAAGAGCCCCGTGAGCTTCGGCGCTTTAGCTGAGCACACCTCTTGACGCGTGTGTACCAAACACACTCCACACAGCTTCCCGAGTTTTCGGTGTGTACACACACACATTTTTCCTCCTTGTTTGGTCTCGCGCACGGTTCAAACATCTAACTTTTAACAAGGCGCGATGCAAGAGATGCAAGGCGATAATCGAACAGGCGTTCGTATTCTTCGTGTTCTCGCAAAGAACCAGCGCGCGAAAGAGGAAAAGAGAAAACGCGGCGGTGCAACTGTGCGCGCCGGAGCGATTTCCGGATGGAAATTCGCCGGCGAACGCGTCGATTTCGGCACGTGCGTGACGCCCGCTGAAAAAGGCACGTTCTGAGATTACCACCCGCCGGCGGGCGGCTTGAACGCGCCCGGAAAATGCGAATTTTACCAAGTCGCGTGCGAACGTGACGGACGCAGATGCAACTCGCCCGGCGTGCCACACGAAGAGAATTGCTTTTGACCAGCCACATCCACCCACATACATACATATTATATATATGGAAATACACAAAAATATAAAAATAACAAAACTTACCATAATTTTTTAAATTCAAATCCAGAATTTTTCCAAAATTTTTATTTTTACTCCGCGCTGGTAGTGATCTGCTTCTCTGCGGTCATCATCACTTGCATCACTTCTGTTTACTTATTGCACGCTTTATTTAATTCTACTGATCCGCTTCCAATAGATTATGTCCGGATAAATAAAAATCTACCAGAGATAAATGCAGCGCCAGCGGCTGTAATCTAGCAGGAAAAATTTTGAATTGAATAACCTCGGGTGGCTACACTGATAAAACAACAACAGCGGGAGCTAATGTAATGTAATAACGCACTACTGTGGCTACGTAAAAATAAACGTAATGATTACTACGAAGGAAAAACTACGAGAGCGGAGCGCACTCGACCGACGACCGCGCTATCGGCACGTTCGTTGCGAACTGACAGGACGGAGAATCAGAGAGAGCTCGAGTCGGAGTAAATGCTCCGACTATACTGTGGGCGACATGCGCTGCTATTGGTAGCTGTGAGTGGAAAGGTTAGTTTTGTAATAAGTAGGGGATAGCGGTCTGAAATGTAGGATATTGTGTTTTTTGTTAGTTTTTTGAGGATTACACAAATACTATTAGAGATTGAGTTATGATTCTTTTATAGTATCAATTTATATTAAATTCTGCGTCGATTGAAGTTATTTTGATATAAATTAATTAAATATTCTCTTAGTTATAGCGGTTTTAAAATTAGGTTATAAAAATAATTAATCAGTTTTATTTTTGGCTGTAATTACGTAAATATTAATATTTTAAAATATTTCTTTTAATAATTAGATGTAGAATTTAATGCAGATTCATAATTTGAAAAGAGATTACAAATATCTGTTTTACTTTCCGAGTTATTAATTCAAATCTATCAAAAATCATATTTATACCTATTTTAGACCGCTATTCGTAACTTATACAAAAACATACTCTCCAACTTGGGTGTATTACGTGTTGCCGGCGTTGCGCACTCGCCGATCGAACGCGCATCCTGCGCATGATGCGCCGCACAAGCAGGACGATAGAACACAGGACCAAGGAAGGAAGGAAGTATGCGTTATGCGGCTGTATACGCCCGATGCACTTTACTGCAGCCCTGAAGAATGTGGAAAATAATTTATACCTCTCGCATGTAAAAAGCACACGCGCAAGGCTGAGAAAACTGCAGGAAGCGGGCAGGACGTGGCAGGAAATAAGAAAAGCGCGCGTATATCAAGTTTATTATTAATAGTTGGCTGCACTTTTAGGTTATTTTGTCGTCTTGAAGAGGTTGTCACATGTTTATGACGTGCTGAACACTCGCAAGTCATTTTTTATTTATTTCTTGTCAGTTGCAATCATTTCTCTTGCGAAAAATTTATAAATTCATTTATTATTAAACATGAGTCGCAGATATCGACTGGAACAGAAGTACCTGCAGCAGTTAAGGGCTGAGGCCGAGGAGGAAGAGGATAAAGTCAGGCAGAATCAGCATAGTTCCACTGCGCCTGTGCTGTGGGCCACGTTGAATACCGGATTTTCGATTCATGATGTCGTTGATGCTGACCATCAGGATATATTGGAAATGTTACAGGAGCATTATATTCCACATGATGTCCTGTGTCGGAATACGGAATTAATTGATGATCCTGTGTCGTTGAAAAGTATGCTTGATCATATTTTGTATACTTTAAAGGATACGACGTCCATTAAAATTGTCAAAAATGAAGGTAAACTTTAAAAAACAATTTTTTTACGAAAAAAATATAAAAAATTAATTTAAATTGATAGAAAATGGTTCAGAAACACTAGTTGGAGTGTTACTACTGCGTGTATCGAGAAAAGCAGACTTTGATCGTGTTTTTAGCAGGACGATATTACAAGATGGCGATGCACGGAAGAAATGCATAGCGATTCAAACAGCGTTGAGTCGAAAACTTAATATTTACGAAACGTACAACTGTGAATCTTTTCTGAGGTATTATATTCTTTGTATTAAGAAAGAGTTCAGAAATAATGGTAATTATAACCTTATACTACACATAACCTAAAAATAATAATAAGTTAATTTAATTTATTTTTAGGTTTAGGTTATCAATTAATGCGAGTTGGTTTGGATGTAGCAAGATCTTTGAATATTCACGTCGCTAGTGGTATTTTCAGCAGTTTTAACCTACAAAGAAACGCTAAAAAGCTAGGATTCAAAGTATGTATATTGGGTTGCATACATTACAGTTGTTTGTTTAATTGTTTAAATTCTAGTTAATCCAAGAAGTCAGTTATACAAGTTGGAGAGACAAGTCCAACAACGAATTGATTTTCAGTGATCCAGGATCAGGAAATTACACTTGCGCGTTTATGATTTGCGATATTCCAGCCGAAACCATTTTAGATCCGCAAGTTGTGCATCGTTTGTCACCATATGAGAAACGAGTAGTGCCTCAGCCTAGAACAAGAGCAGAAAAACGCGCACATCTCTATAAACATATCCCGAAGACCAGAAATATACGATTCTGCGGTTCACCTCCTGATTAAATTAATAAATCATTGATATGTACAAAATAACCTCATGGAAAATTAAAATTTACATATTTAACTACTATTGAAATATACTATTGACTTGGCGTCAAGCGTCAGACAGCATATTACAAGGTCACCTTTCACTTTTCCGCACGTTTTGCAAATGGAAGACTGACATGTTTACTTAGATTTAATCTTTTTAGCTTTTATCTCATTCAGATTTCTAATTGATTCTACGAGTAGTTGTGTGCACCTGAACGAGTTTTCTATTCATGTCGCCCACTTCTCTACGTCTGTCTGCATAAAATGGATGCGACGACGGCGAATCGTCGGCCGGTTGTTGCTTCCAACTTATATCCACACGCTGTGTATAGTAGTACTGGATGCGGATTAGAAACAGCGCTGGAGAGGTATTTAATCGAAAACCGGCAGCGTATACCGGTCATTTCGGCAGCGCGATGAAATCGAAACGTTGCGCGTCGTTGCGTCTCGCCGCGTGCGCCTTACTGGTGGCGACTTTGTTCGGCAATTGCGATGTAATCCGCGGGGAAGAAGTCGAAATTGAGAATGAGGATTTACTGGTGCAGAGTAAAGATGGTACTCTACGTGGTACACACATGCAGACGAAAAAGGGGAGACTTGTGGATGCGTTTGTTGGGGTGCCATTTGCTGAACCACCTGTAGGAGAATTAAGATTTAAGGTAAAAAATTAAAAATAATTTTTCTTTGCTTTTTTTTATTTCAAGTAAAAATCGATATTTTGGTTAAGGAACATGAAATATATACTGTGGAACATCTTCCGATGAATACAGACGTGACAAAAACTGGTTTCTGATCGTGTTTCATACGTTATTTGAATCTAGAATAAATGTTTCAAAAATAGAACTACAAATCATTAAATTTTAGCAATAACTGTACATTTAAAAGCTTTTTTTCTTAACTTTCACGCATAATACAACAGATTTTTTATTTTATTTATTATTTTATTATCTTTAACATGTAAATAGGTCAACTTTACGCTTGTTAGTCGCCATTGGACACATGCAAATCAATTAAACGATAAAATAAATCATTACCACAATTACCCAACGTATACAACGCCAACCAAGTAGAAAAACAAGTGATAAATACATTTTACAAGGCTATTAACACATTAACCGTCAAGTCAACGGCTTCTTATGATATTTTTTTATGATTCCAGGCACCAGTTCCATATCATAAGTGGGAAGGTGTCCTCGACGCAACCCAACCACACGGAGTATGTCCCCAACGTAATATTTACACCCGTAGTGATATCCTTGAAGGATCAGAGGATTGTCTCTTCTTAAATGTGTATCGTCCTTCAAAACCTAGCACAAATGGACCTCTGCCTGTTATGTTTTTCATTCATGGCGGTGGATGGTTGGCATGCGCAGGAAATACTTATTATTACGGCCCTGAAGTTCTTTTGGACCGGGATGTTGTCCTAGTCATTCCTAATTATCGTCTTGGAGCTTTGGGTTTCCTCAGTACAGGAGACCTAGTGGTTCCTGGTAACAACGGGTTGAAAGATCAAGCTTTGGCTTTGAAATGGACGAAAGATAATGCTGAAGCGTTTGGAGGTGATCCAGAGTCGATTACTATCTTTGGGGAGAGTGCAGGTGGCGCTAGTGTGCATCTACATATGATGTCTCCATTGACCAAAGGACTTTTCAATCGGGGGATATCTCAAAGTGGGACTGGGTTGTGTCTATGGGCTTGTGGACATATGGACCATGGATGGGAACATGCGCAGAAACTCGGGAAGTTGTTGAATTGTCCTGTGGAGAATTCTGAGGTTTTGGTTGAGTGTTTAAGAGGGAAAGATGCTTTGGAGATTGCTTCCATGGATGAAGATTTTATGGTAATGATTTTTTTTTAAATTTTGAATAATTTGTTGATTAATGAATAATTTTAGTTATGGGATAAAGACCCAATGATTCCGTTTAGACCCGCAGTGGAACCATTACACGCCGGAGCTTTTCTTACAGGATTCCCAGCTGATTTGATTAAAGAAAAAGGATTCACAATGTTCCTTGGATGAATGGTATTAATAAAGATGATGGCGCACTGAGAGTTTCAGGTTAGGTTGCTTTAAACATAAAATTTAAGAAAATAACATTTTTTCTTTTGTTCTTTCAGCTTTGTTTGGAATTCCGGGATTAATTGAAGAACTCAATGAAAACTTTGATTATAACCTTGCTGTTTCCCTACAATACCACCAATTAGCTGATAATCCTTCCAAAGTATCGCAGGATATCAAAAAGTTTTATTTGAAGGGTGAAAATGCTTCCACTTCTACCAAACAGGAAGTTATTAATGTATTTTACTTAAAATTTTGTTTTATTTGTGTTTTATTGATGTTTTCTGTGTTTTAGATTTATACTGATGGTTGGTTCCATCATGGAGTTGACCTTGCGACATATCTCCACAAAAAACACCTTCCGGACATCCCTGTATACTATTACCTCTTTGCCCATCGTGGTGTTGGAAGTTTTTCGGAGATTTTCGGCGACAAAATCAACGATTACGGTGTTTGTCACGCTGATGAGTTACAATATCTTTTCCCTGTCGGCGACGGCCTCTTCCCGGATAAAATCAAAGATGAGAAAGATTTGCGTGTCACTGACTTAATGACAGCTTTGTGGACAAATTTTGCACGATACGGGTACTCCCCCAACTAATTTGAACAAATTTTCAGTTAATACCAATGTTGATTTTTCAGCAATCCTACGCCGGATGCTGATGCAGAGACTCCGGTTAAATGGGAAGCGGTCCGTGATGCCGGCGCGATGAATTATTTCCACATTGGGGGCGATTCGCCGCGGGAGATGCGTAACGAAGACGGATTGTTCATCGAGCGCGCCGAATTTTGGAGGGAGTTGCCCATTAGACCAGAGGGCTACGAGCAGCGATTGCTTGCACGTAGTAATGCACATCGCAAGGAAGAATTGTAGTAGGATTGGTACAGTGCGAGGCTTGCGAGTGCAATTCCATCAATTTTGTTTTCGACGAACGATGTACGACAACGACGACGACGACGGATGTTATTGCGTTATGCTGGCGGGGCGTTCATGGTCCATTGCACACTTCATTGCGATTGCAGTTTATTTGATTGATTTTTGTTTGTTTTTCGTGCATTTTTGGCTGTACATCAAATAAATCCATCTATATTTTTATATTTTCTTTAATTTCATAAAGTTTTACAGTGATTTATTGAAAATGTTTAAAAATTCATAGAAATTATGAAAGAAAATGGCTGAAATTGCTTTAAATTATTGTTTTGTTGACAGATGGCGCTGTTTAATCAAAATTTGTGTTTTTTGCTTAAATTTCTTCAAATTGTTTACTTAAAACACGTTTTCAGTCAATATCCGTGAATGTTTCCACTAAAATCTTGAAACAAACTGTTTAACCTTATTTTATCACCGTTTTAATAACAAATATTGTTTAAAAATGCATCAGAATAATGCACTTAGCTCAAGTCTGTAAGTAATTGTTATTTTTCTTAAAATTTTATCTTTTTATTTTAATTATTATTGTAAATATAAACACAAATATTAACCACAAATATTTTGATCATAAAACATCGTTAAAACTGTTCAAAATTACTCATTATTCTTTTTACTTTTAACTTTTAATAACATATTCTTAAATTATATTAAATTTTATTAAAATGAAACCTTATTTAAGCAGAAATCCACGAAATAAAAACCTAATCTGCAACGTGTTGAGCACAACAACAAAATGTCGCAAGAATTTACCGCAAATTTTGGCAGTTTGCGTCAAGAACGTGATGCTAATCGGATTTGGAATGACATTAGGTTTTCCAACGGTGTTAATCGGAGGGCTGGAAGACTCCAAAGTGGATTTTCAAATGACTCACGAACAGTTATCATGGATCGGTAAGAATAACAAAAGATTAACTCAACTTTACTGCAAATACTTAAAATAATTCATTATTTAAGGAGCCATTAACTTAATATTTGTACCTCTGGGTTGTCTGGTATCAGGACCGTACTGTGATAAATTCGGAAGAAAGAAAGCAATGCAAATGGCGAATATTCCATTAGCGTTAGTTTGGTTATTATTTCGATATTCCAGTTCACCATGGCATCTTTATCTTGCATTATCAGTGATTGGCATATTATTAGGCCTCATTGAAGCACCAGTAAGTAAATTCAATCAAAAATTTATTTTTAAAACATAAAATCGTTAAAATTTTAATTTTTTAGGTTGTAACTTATGTTTCTGAAGTAACAACACCCAACCTACGAGGAATCTTATTTTCTACAAGCACATTATTCACAATTTTAGGCACATTATGCTCATTTTTCTTGGGCAGCATCTACTATTGGCGCTCTGTCGCCCAAATCGCATTCCTCGTACCGCTTATATCAATAAACCTGCTTTTCCTCATCCCGGAATCCCCGCATTGGTTAATCAAAATGAATCGTTTCGATGACGCTCAGAAATCGCTAGCTTGGTTGCGAGGTTGGGTCACAAAGGAAGACATACATCAAGAGTATGCAACCCTGAATGCATTCATACATAACAATCCTACTTCTGAGTCCAAACCAACGAGTTGTTTCAACTACACATCACCCAGCTTCTTGAAACCTTACTTTTTGATAAGTGTAGTGTTTTTCCTGCGTCATTTTTCGGGTATAACCAATATTCAAACCTATGCGGTTGAAATCTTTCAACATCTTCATGCACCGATGGATAAATACAATGCTACCACCTTCATGGGAGTTTTTGAACTACTCGGATGTATTACTTGTGTTTGCCTGATCAGAAGATTGGGAAAACGCAAGTTGACCTTCTTTACAATGGGGTGCAGCATCATAGCCCTTAGTACTATACCTATTTATAGTTATGGATCACTAGGAAAAGACCGGAATTGGATCCCGATGAGTGGTTTATTTGCGTATTGCTTCTTTCAACATTGTTCTCTGCGTACTTTACCATGGATATTGATTGGTGAAGTTTACACACCACAGACTAGATCAATCGCTTCGGGAATATCCGCTGCTACAGGTTACTTCTTTGGATTTTTCGCAAACAAATTGTTTTATGGTTTAGTCAATGAGTTAACTCTTAATGGCGTGTTTATAATGTACATGTTAGTTTTGTTTTTCGGCGGGTGTGTGCTGTATGTGATTATGCCGGAAACAGAGGGTAAAAGTTTGGAGGAGATTTGTGAATATTTTGCGAATTCACGCAATGATAAAAATTCTGTAGATGGGGAAAGAATTGAGCGAAATAATAATAACAATAAAGAGATTAAAGAATACAAGGGAAGTCATAAAGATTTATATGCAACAAATAAGGAAACAGTTGATAGTGATAAGGATAATGATGATAATATTACATATAATAAAGTAAAAGCAAGGAGAACTGATTCCAGTGATGATTATATACAAAGTTTGAATCGTTTGGCTGCTAATGATTCAGGACCAAGTTATAAACGTTTCGAGAGTTTAAATTTAAACGATATTTAAACAACAGTATTGGAAATTATTGTATATTACTTGTAAATAATTAATAAACATTAAAACTATTAAATATCTTTATATTTTTGGTGTTAAAAGTACGAAAATTTGTTTTTTGTATAATTTTGTATTGATTCGTGTATTTTGGGTTGCCTATAGTTGATTTAATCTTAAAATAAATTTCCTAACAAATTTTAATGTTTTGTGACTAATATTTCTTTAAAATGAGTCAACTAACAAAAATTGCAGGTTGTAAATGAAACATTGCATTATCACGAATGTGTCGGCGCAAACAAAATAAATATTTCCACGTTAATGTCATCGTCAATTGGCATTGGCGTCTACCACGAGACGCTAATTACATTTAATCATTGCATTATTTACCTCGTCAAATATTTACCGGCGTTATTTCTTTGTTACCTTTTTGATGTTTTTATTCCACGCTTATTCATTTTCTAGAAAGTAGGTGGCAATAATATCACCATAAAAGTGTTGCTTGTTATAAATTTAATCTAAGGCTTCTGAAAATTCTGCGGATGTTTTATTGACGTGAATAAAATGAATATAGACAAAATGCATAACATTTGCATATTTACAAGGTCTTGTCTATGTTGGGATATATTAATAGGTATATTTTTAACACTTGCAACAAAATGCACTATTAATTTTTTATAGGCACATGTGGATGTGGATGTTCCGGGTACCAATCACGTTAATTTCGTTTCCATAATCGTGAGCTATTAACGCCTCACTTTTCCGCTTTACGTCGGCTGTAATTTTGTTTAATACGGTCGAAAGAAAATATTCCATAGGTTTATGTGTTGACCTTGGTATTTCCATGTTAACTACTTAAAATTTTAACAATAATTATGAGTTTTTAAAATTAAGAACAATAGTGTAATAATGTAATCGATAAGAATTTAGTATGCGCTCATGGGAAATTAAATTTTTGTCATTTTTTTTCGTTTTAAAAAATTTACGTTAGTTTAGATGCAAATAGAAACAAATTTAAAAATAGACAACTTTACCTCAATGTAACACGAGCAAAAGTGATAACTGATAAGGCAATACATATTTTACAATGTAAATAATGTTGGTATGTATTATTCCTTTAGTTTTTTTTTAATTTATTTTCTGCCTCATGTCAATCATTTGCAACTTATGTACGAAAACAACACAACAAGTTGCCTACATATTCGTTACATGAAGTTATGTTGAGGTTTTGTTGTACAAGAATGTGAATAAGTTAAATAATACTTTTTTATGCTTTTACTTGATGATTATGCTAATAAAATTACTTGGAAGACATGTAGAACTCAAATCAAAGCGAATAATTCACTTTTGCAGTCTGAAAATTAGAAGTAAGGAGAGTTGCCTACCAAAGGCCACCTGTGTATAAAAACAACACAACAAGTTGCCTACATTTTACATACAAGAAGTTATATTGTACAAGAATATTGTACAAATTATATAACTCCATAATAAATCAACTGGTCACAAAAAGAAATAAGTACTTATGACATTGAAAACGAATTTGGTGCGAATAAAAAATGAAATCCTCGACATACATTAACACATGAACAAGAACATGTCATTTTGTTACATATACGAGCACCAACGGCGGACGAATCAAATTATTATCCCGTGTGTCCGCCAAAGCGTGAATCTTCTCGTTTTCGGCCATTCCGCCGCAATTCCAACGCAATTACACTTCATTTTCAATGAGATAAAACTTAACTCAAGTTTAATGCGAATATAATCTCAATTAAACATCCCGGATTCAACAACACACATATAATCTGATTAATTAAATTACTATTCTTCTATTATTTCATAGTAAAACAGTAAAAAATAATTTTGCATTAGATTATCGAGTAATTTGTCATATTTTGTGTAATTGAATGCATAATACATGCCTGCAGACATATAAACTCATTATTAACATTTCTATTGTTGTAAGATTGTCGAAATTGTTTGTAAATTGTAGCGTACGCTTAAACGTGTCGATTATATTTCATCGCGTGCATTGTTAACAAATAATACCAGCCAGACACACATTCTACCTTAATTTCAAAGCTACTGAGTGTGTTTATAAAATAAAACATAAAACTCGGTGGGAAATCCACGGCGAAAATTCATATTCGCCTCACACAGGTTGAAACCACAAAGTTAAGGCGGCTTATATTCTCAAAATGGAAACTGACGATGATGGCGGTAGCGGTGGCGGTGCCGTCGCACATCCACATAAAGCAAAGTAGAAAGTATTTGGCCGGCGTATTGCCGATTGCGAACGCGCGCGGTGCGCATGTTGTATTGACTTAAGTAACACATCAAGTGACTCAACCGCAACGTGCGTCCACAAATAATAAATAATAACTAATAAATCAATAAATAAACAGTGTGTTAAATGGTGTTAAATATAATTCGAATAAAAAATTGTTTTTTGGACTTCCCGGCGTACAAATGAGGAAATTTTTACTAAGAAAATTATCAAGGTGTACGTAAAGCAATTATAAATCGCCATTAAGCGCATTCGTCGAACGTACGTCCTCGGATCCGTGTTTTATCCGGCGATACTTAAACATCAGCCGTGCGATCATATTTGTTGCTGCAACGACAATACACAATGCAGCAGCAATCGCCGCTATTGAAATCGAAAGTTGTGTAACAGCGTCCAATCGCCCGGCAATCAACTATTTCAACATTTGAATCGTTTTGAATAAAAACGCACATTTTAACTAAAAAAAAAAACACTTTAAAAAATTGTTATTTAAGTGATAAATAATTATTTATTGACCTAGTATTTTGAATTGGGTTTGAGTCAAGAACCTCATTAGTCCTACAATCGGAAAATAATAATTTAACACAAAGAAATATTCATAATAAGCGATTAACAAACTCGTAAATCTTAAACGTTGTTTATTCGCTCGTGTAAATAACGTATACTTGAGTAAACAATAATGATAATAATTATATCGACGTTGTACTATAGTTAAATGCATTCCAGCGTGCATCCAGCAGTGCATCAACAGTTAATGTGTCAATCAGACACAGAATATTCAATATAATTCGATTTTAATAAAAATTTTAAATTTAATATTTAATAAAAGTGCAGTTTTTGTGATTTATAAAAATGGTGATCAAAAGGTAAGAATAAGGATGTGTTTCGTATTTAAATTCGAGAATTGAATTTGCTTTACAAATTAGTTTGCGGTATAAATTTCAATGTTTGTTTGTTTGAAGTTCAAGTTCTCATGTCTGCATGACCTCGATTTTTACGTTGGGAAAAAAATTACATAGATGTATAAAAAAGTTTGTGTTTGAGCTTAGTGTATAAAAACATATAAGGTGAAATTTTAAGAGTTGAAAGTTTTAAAGTTTTGAGCGCCGAGATACGTCCGTGTTTGATGTTGATGGATGTGAAAACGCAACGCAAATTTCTAATTGAATTTAGTGCGAAATAAAACACATTCTAAATAGATTTAACAAATTAACACAACGGAAAGATAATTAATTATATTTGGCAAGATGAATTTTAGAGAAAATCACTAAAAATGTATTTATTTAAAGAAATTTATTAAGTGAGGTCATTTAATACAAAACCGCATTTATTTCTTGTTGTTTTTCATGTTTTATTATATAAAATTCATTAGAAATTCTGAAAATTCCCGAGATATGTTAAATTCTAATCATAGTAGGCAACCCAACACTCATGTTACTTTTCCAATGAGATTTATTGAATGTATCAAGAGTTGCCTATCACGAACAATTCGATGTGTTTAAGTTAGGTTCAATAAACGTCAAATTTTCCATTTTGTTTCAAAATTACGCATTCAAATGTTTAATTATTAATTATTTACCAATTGAAACAATGACTTCTGCAAAAATATCATATTCACTCTAAATAATTCATATTCCCAACCTTAATACAACTTTTTTATTCATAACTAGTCATTATTCACGTTACAAAGAAGTAACATACAAGAAATACCAGTTGATTTAGTTTTAATTTGTTTTTACTTACATAATATTCAAGTTTTTAACCTTGTAGACGTGTTGACGGCGGAAATATTTAACTAAATCGTAATTAAAATGACATAATACTAATTCTAACGCGATGCCGATTTTAAGGAATGCTGAGGAATGTAATTAACGGGTTTTTATTTCATTATTGCTTATCGCTTAAAATAGTTTCAGTTTCAACATAACAGTGAACTTCAATAACAAAATAACAATTGTTTTTGTATTTTTAAACTGTTTTCATGAATGTACACGTTTTGTCCGTGGGACATCTTGAATTCTTTGAATTCTTTGCGTTACTAAACAGAACAAACATTGTAATCAATTATTTTGTTTTTGTTTTTTAGTAACGAAGCAATGGGTTTATCCCAACCACCGAAATCAATGTGGATGCAGACTTTACCACAAGTCCTTGCTGTATCAGTAAAAAATATTCTCCTCTTGGCTTTTGGCATGACATTAGGATTTCCTACAATTTTAATCCCTGGATTGTTAGCTCCCGAGGAAACTTTTACGATGACACCTGAGGAAATCTCATGGATTGGTTCAGTTAATTTAATCTGTGTGCCGATTGGCAGTATTGTTTCCGGAGCAGTATCACAAGCCATCGGAAGAAAACGTGCTATGCAAGTGGTTAATTTACCATTTTTAGCTGCTTGGTTACTCTTTCGATTCTGTAATGCTGAATGGCAAGTTTTTGTCGCTTTGGCCATGACTGGTTTATCAGGAGGATTCCTAGAAGCACCGGTACGTCATTTTTTATTAAATACTTCAAAAATACTAAATTTAAACATTTCAGGTGTTAACTTATGTTGCTGAAATAACCCAACCACGTCTTCGTGGCGTATTATCATCCACAAGCAGCATGGCCGTCATTGCAGGAGTATTAATAATGTTCCTCCTTGGAACATTCTTCCCCTGGCGGACGGTAGCATTAGTAAGTTGTGTATTCAACGTGATGTCATTTACATTCCTTTTCTTCGTCCCCGAATCTCCACATTGGTTAATCAGCAATAATCGTCTACTAGACGCAAGGAAATCCCTCGCTTGGCTTCGTGGTTGGACAGACCTAGATGAAATCGAACCGGAATACAAACAAATCTACAGAGAAGTACGTGTGAATGATGATGATCTAGCACAAGACAATCCTGCATTTGATGGTGTGTCAAATGGTGTTACGCTTAATGGTAATAATCAACATAGGCAACCCAAACGACACGCGAAGAAGAACAGCAGACTAGAAACTCTAAAACTTTTCACAAGGAAAAGTTTCCTGTGGCCGTTTTCTCTGGTAGCGATTATTTTCTTCTTTAATCATGTTACTGGTATGACTACGCTGCAAACGTATGCAGTGCCTTTGTTTCAAAGTGTCAACGCACCAATTGATAGATATTATGCGACTGTTATGTTGGGATGTGTTGAACTTTTGGGATCGATTGCTTCGACTGCTTTGGTACATTACACAGGAAAACGTCTCTTGAACTTTGTTTCTGTTCTTGGGATAGGTGTTTGTTTTACGATTGTTGCTATCTACGCACAGATCAATGGTTTAACTCAGATTGTCATTCCAAGTAAAGAAAAAGTAATGGCAACCACCACGACAACATTACCTTCAGTATTAAATTCTACATTAGAAGCTTTGGTTGATGTTACCAACAGTACAACACCTAATTTACAACTGGTTAAAAACAGTCCCCACAATTGGATACCAATGACGTTTTTGATTGGTGTTGCATTCATGGCACATCTTGGAGTGCGAATTCTTCCCTGGATTCTTACCGGGGAAGTTTTTTCGAATGAAACAAGAGCTGCAGCTGCAGGATTATGCAGTGCCTTTACCTACATCGTTAGTTTTGCAACGAATAAAGCTTTCTTCGCCATTGTAGGCGTTCTAACTCTACCGGGGACATTTTTCACACATGCTGCACTTTCGGTTGTAGCATTCTTAGTTTTGTACTTCTTTTTACCCGAAACAGAGGGTAAAACTCTCGGGCAGATTAATGAACATTTTGCTGGTGGTACCAAAATGGGTGATAAGGTCTACCGGGACCGTGGGGACCGAAAAAGTGATTTTCACATGCAGCATAATCCCGGTAACATTAACTCCGCGTACAATGGCGGTGACAATTCCAATGAAAGTAAATTTTAATCCGTTTTACAAAACTAGTGATATAGTTGTAAGTAATGTAATTTATTTGATGTTATGTGATTGTTTTTAATGAAAAAATATAAAAAATTACATCCATTTAATGTACTTTTTGTTTTAATTGTTGGCTAAGTGAAAAAATCTCATTCAAAGCATCCGACATTAAAGAAAATAAGGAAGCAGAGGACTTAATGGAATCTAATTTATATTAATTACGAGATGCTGTACCCATGCGGGCTGGGTAGCTACAAGGGAGTGATTGAAAATGTGACGTAAATGGCAAATTTACGTGGAGAGACGAGAGAGGCGTCCTGTCGGGATAAAAAGGATGAAGGAGGAGGTGGCATGACAAGGACGCCCAGAATCCCGAGCTGCTGTTCCCACCCCTGGTCGCATGAAAAAACCACGAGCCGCGCCAGTCGGCCGAATGACGCCAGGGCGACGAAACGACTTAATTAACCATTAATTGCTGCTGCACAGCGGCTCCTCCACCACCTTGGCTAATCTCGCTACAACGGATTAATCCTCGTCGGATATTCGCCAAGGTAACAGCGTATTCACGCTGAATTTAAGGTTACCCATTGTCATTCCTGTGTTTGTTTTCATTTATTTTCAAGTGTGACTAATAATACATTTTTAGAATTCACAAATATGGAGGAGGATGATAATGATGAACTGCTGCAAGTGTCTGATGATGAATCAATGACTGAGAGTGAAGAGACTTGTCATTCCCTTGACAAGCCACATGAAGAACACTCTCATACTACATTCAGCTATGCATCCCATACGACTATTGAATTCTTTGTTGTCAAAGTGCTGTTGATTGTTTCATCGTCCATTCTGCTGATATTGCTGCCAGTGTATCAGCAGTCAATGGATATAAAGGGCAATGCATATACTATTTTACTATTCAACACCAGTTTCAGTCTGCTGCTGATTTTGGTGGCATTGTTGTTGAATCAGAGATTCTGCCCGAGAATCAACAACATTAAGTACTCAAAGACACCTATTAAGTATCGAGAACTGCTCTTGGGTGCTGTATTGTTAGCAGCGAGTGGTTTTCTGATTGTTTATGCATTGGACAAGAAGAGAGTGTTGTGTCACTTGCAAGATCCTATGAAAGGACTTCTGTTAGTCTTTTCATTGATTTATTACTTCTTTTTTTGCAAAAAATGTAAGTAAACACACAAAAATTACTTTAAATTTTAATTTAAATTGTTTTTATTTGAAGTAATGGGTCTACAGAGAATATTTTCATCGACAACGGTAATCGTTGGATTGTTTATCACAGTTGATTACGGTCTGTGTAATGAATTTCGTTGTCGTGGACATGAAAGAGATAAAAAGTCAGACGATGCTGGCCCATGGTCATGGCAAACGCATTCCTTGTGGTCAGCGCTGTACATTTTGGGTTTAGCGTTGTTTTCGGCGTTTTATATGCTTCTGGATAGATGCATAGTTGCCGCCAGTTTGCATTACAATGCCAGTTTAGGTTCACAGTTCCTGTCAACAATCTCCAGGCTGGTGTCATTCCAGAGTAACTCGAATAGTTCCAATGAATTAAGGCAACCATTAACACCGCTTAGTACAGGAACAGCGGTTGGTACAGGTGCAAGAAGTAGCAAAAAAGAATATTCTGCAACACACATTGCACTTTGGTTGCATTTCGTGTTGTTGGTGCTAGTGATATGTGGGTTTTGGGTTGAATTATTACCTAATATCGGAACAGTAAGTTATATTTTGTTAGTTTAACAACTTTTTATGAATGAAATTATTGTAATTATAGAGTACACATTTGGGGCACTTCCTAAATCAAACTTCAGTGGGTTTAGCGTGTGTTTTTACCCTGCCGGAGTTTGGAAATGCATCCGCAACGAATTGCGGTAATACTTCAGTGTATGCCTGGGTGTTTTTGCTGAGTTATGTGATGTTTATGCTCTCATCACTCAGATTTTTAATATTGTGTCAGAGTGCAGTGCATACAATGGCGACCATTAGTGTTGCACTACCACTTTCAGGCATTTGGTGGTCATTATTTAAGACGATAAATATTGAAAAAGGTAAAAATTCATATTTTTTAACTCCAAACAATAATTTAGTTTGTTTTAATATTTTTGCTTCAGGTTTGTTAATATGGTACCCAACAATTTCCGGTGAGTTAATCTGCGCACTACTGGGTCTTCCAATCATAACAATCGGATTGGGTTTGCTTGTAAAGTCGCATTTCTGCGATTGGCGCACGTCGCGCGAGATTGACGGCGATTCCACGCTCCGAGCGAGATATCTCGCTTAAGTCCAACCCGAACGACTTCCATATTAACTATAAAATATTCTAGACACACCACAAGTATGTTATATCTATGTTAACTTAACTAGAGCTTTATTTTATAGACGTAGCTAGAGTCAATTGTTGTCTAGACGCAGGCGCCGAGCTTTTGTTCAATCGTTTAAAAAGAAAAAGTAGTTAAAACAAAGAAACCGCGTAACGCAACGCTTAAATGTAAATCGTATGAAATTAAGAAATGTGATCGACCTCATTATACACTAGGAATATTCGTCGTCGCGCTTGAAGCGTTTTGATTTACAGAAGACTGAAGTTTTTTAGCGAATCGTGCCAAGAAAACAACTCTCGTCACACGTACACTGGTCCTGGCCACCTGTATGTTAGTCAATAACTGGAACAATTTTAAAATCACGTGACATATATTCCCCGGAAGCGATAAACGTGGCTAATTTTAAAACGAAATGATTAAAATATGTATAATCTAAAGAAAACCCGTGACAATATGAATTTTGAAACACGTTTTGAACGTATATTTGTATTTATACACACATCTAGTCGGATTCAATTTTCAATCAAATCAAAATGTAAGAAGAAACCCCTCGTGCAATACATTATTAAATGAGTACACATTTTTAAAAATACACACACACACATAATACATACATAAATCCACACACGCGTAGTTATATTATTGATAATTGATATGGAAATATTAACTATTGAATGTTTTTAGTGTGTTGTGATTACCTGTTAAGATTTGTAACAGAAGGTTTTACTCGAAACGATTACATTGTGAGCGTAGTGTTGTAATGGTAATTGTTTCGCAGTGAAGACGCACTATAATCGAAGCTGTGAGTAATATTGTTGTTATAAACACTCAAATATTTACCCCCCCGGAATATATATATACTTATATAATGTGAACGTTTGGAAGCGCCCTGATCCACTCACACGTTTCATGATGAACGTCCATTTTTATAAATGTAAACCGAAATTTAATGAGAATATTTTACTCCTTGCCGATGATAGTATATATATATAGTACATGATAGAGAAGATTCAAAATTAAATCAGGGTTGAATATTCTAACTTGTGAACGAATGCTTTCGAATATTCTCGAATGAATTTATATGCGCCGTGGTGGGCAATTGTACGGAAACGTTTAGAAATGTATAAATTATAAAAAACATGCTGTGGAATTACATTATATAATGTTGTTGCTCACTGGTTTGTGATTATTTCTATTAATTTTGCTTGTTTTATAGTTTTGAACAGTTTTTGACTTTTCCGAACCAGATGTTTTAGTTGTAAAACTGAATGTTACTAGATTTAATGTGTAATGCGCATGCGCCGGTGTACATAGTGTACTACATAGCGCACGTTTTTGTACCGCACGTGTTTCCATACGTCTTATGAGTTTGTGTGTTAACCGACGTGTTTTTGTTATTAATTATATGAAAACATAATTACTGAGGCGAAATTATGGCTTCAACGGATGAAAGTTTTCCCCGTGGTGGTTTTAAAATCAGTGCGAGTGAAGATCAAAGTGTTAAAAAGCCACAAAAACAAGAAAATGTATGTAACCTCAAACAGGATATTTGAAAATATTTGAAATTATTTAATAGAATGCGCTTTGTTTGAAGTTATTAATGTAGTTATATTTAAATTTTAGTTATTTGGTAATGTACAACCAATAACCAAAAAGTCTAAAGGCAAGAAAAAGCGCCAGAAGCAGCAAGATGAAGTTGAGGCAACTTCAGTACCAGAATTCATCAACAAAACTGATAGTTTGACTGCTGTTTCAGCTGATACACTATCAATTAAGGTAAAAACAAACTCAAAATATCTACAATTTAACATTAGATTTATTATATAAACAATTATTTATTTTTATTATCATAAAAACCTAAAATTTCCTCTTTACCACTAAAAATTCTAGAAAATCCACGAAGGAATGTCTGTTCTCGCATGCGTAACACGCCTCAACACAATGACTGTAGCCGTTGAGTTACCCGGTCGTTGTTTCGGCGAAATTCTCGTACAAAACATTTCCGCAACTTACACCAAACTAATCACCGACGCTGTGAAAGCAGACGGTGGAAAACTACCATCTTTAGATAATGTTCTACAAGTAGGAACATTCCTGCCTGTTAAAGTTATCCAAATCGAAAACGACAATAAACTCCGCATCTTTCTCACTTGCAACCCCGCCGAGATAAACGAACACTTCAAACACCCTGATTTCACTAAACACATGCTCGTCTGGGGCGCAATCAAAGAGAAATCCGATCATGGTTACCTCATTGACTTAGGCGTGAAAAACTGCCGAGCACATCTTCCATTCGACGCTGTAGACGCCGCAAAAGAATATTCATTAGGACAAGTTCTATACATGATTGTAACAAAAAGTGTGAGCAGTAAAGAAGCAACCACTTTAACATTAAGCGCAACACAAGCAGCATTTGATAAAACCACTGAAAGCATGGGTACATCCATAGATAAAGTAATACCAGGCATGCAAGTTGAGTTTTTAGTACAAAAACAGTTGAAAGACGGGTTGCAAGGACAATATTTCGATGAATGTACCGGTTTTATCAATGATTTATACTTGGCGAAGTCATTTGACAGCGCTAAGAAATACAAAGAGTTTACAGCGATAAAAGCGAGGCTTTTATATGTTCACCCTGTATCTAAACTTGGTTATTTCACTTTAAAGTCACTAAATGAAAAGATTCCTGAAAAGGAAAAGAAGTTGCCTATAGGTGCGTGGATTTTAAGCACTGTGGCAGGAAAAGCCGGATCTGGATTGATTGTTAAGTTATCAGGCGGTCAGAAAGGTTTTATTACGCATAAACGTTTACTAAAATCAGTAAATATGAAAGATAGAGAAGGCGAGGACTTAGCTACACTAATAGCTAACAAATTTCCTGTTGGAGTTGCAAGACATTGCACGATTTTGGATTATAATCATACAGAAAGGCTGTATATTTGCACATTTGAGAGAATAACGGATGTTATGAACGTTGAACAGTTAAAAATCGCACAGACTGTTAAAGGAACAATCAAGGAAATCAACGATCATGGTCTTGTGATTATGGTTGGGAAATTACAAGCATTTGCGCCGAAAGATAATCTATCGAATGTTATGTACAGCGAAAATATTAGGAAACAGTTTAAAGTTGGTCAAGAAGTGAATGCAAAGTAAGTAAAATTTTAAAATTTTATATCTGACGTCATTTTTGAACCGCCATTTTGTTTTTCTCTGAAATGCAGAATTTGGAACTTAAACATTGAAAAAAAGGAAATTATCTTAACTTTAAAGCCGGATCTTCTCTCCTCTAACATTCATCTATCTTCTTATGAAGGATTATCACTCTCTGAACAATATCCAGGCGTGGTAATCCACGTAAAACAAACAGGTGTATTATTATTGTTCTACGGAGGTGTTAAAGGATGGCTACCGGTGCGTAACATCCCACAACTTGGCAATAAAGACGCAAGAAATGAATTCTACCGCGGGCAGATTATCAAAGCGCGTTGTGAAGTCGTTGAAGGTGATAGACTTACACTCACGTTGAATCTTCCCAAAAAGAAAAAGGTACCAGTTGGTAAAATTATTGTTAAACCTAAAATATGCGAAATTACCGATGAGGGTATCTACGTGATGATTGGTGATATAAAAGCATTTGTTCCCAAAGAACAGTTGGCCGTTGAAGGTCTAGGGAAGTTATTACTATCGACGTATAAAGTTAATCAAACTTTGGATGAGGAATTGATTTGTGTGATTGATAGTAATCCGCCGGTGTTGAGTGTGAGGGAATATGTTGTACATAAAAGAGAGCAGTTGAAGATTCCATCCCTGCCGCAACTTGCTGTGAATGTTGTAATGAGAGGCATTTATAAAGAAAAGAATACTATTAGTATTCCAATGAAATTACATCCGGGTGAGTTTAGGATTGATGATAATGGCTTGAAAGCGCTGGATAGATATGAGTCGATTAGTGCGCAAGTCGCGAAACGTCAAGGGAAGGGGAAGATTTTATGGAGTGTTGGACTTAATAAAGTTTTCGGATTTAGTTTTATGGTAAGTTTTTGTATTTAATTATTTTCTTTTTCTGTTTTGTGATAGGTTTTAACTGTTTTTATTGTTTTATTAAGGAAACTGTTAATTACTTGGATCAATATCTTGAGGATATTGCACGTTTGAGAAAGAGGTATTTACTCACGGGGAATCCATTGGTTGATTTGGAAATTGGGGCAACTGTTGATTGTGTTGTTAATCAAGTGGATTTACAACGTGGATGCAGTGTTTCGGTGTTGCCGATGAACTGTCAAGGTTTGGTTGCTAAGCAACATTGTCCAAACAAGCTTAAACCTGGTACTACTGTAAAGGGGAAGGTTTTATGGGTGAATTATCAGTTGAAGTATGCGGGGATTACGCTTAAGCCACAAATTATGCAAAAAATTAATGATAAACAAGGTAATTTGATTGTGATTCATAATTTTTGGATTTAACTTTGAATTTTGTGTTTTTTTTTTGTTGTTTAAAGGTAAAGCTATTTCCAATCTGCCGAAAGAAAATGTTATCGTGAGGATTCTCCATGCTAATCGTAATGTTGCCGTGGGTGTACTCCGAGAGGATTTTAATAGTCAATTGGTTTATTTGCCTGTTAAACTGCATGAAAATGATTTTACGCCTAAAATAGATTATTATGATACACTGATAGACAAAGAAGAGTATTGTAAAGTGATCAAGATGAAGTCGGGTCGACTTTTGGGGGTTACTGTGCCGATGCTTGAGAGTTTTAAGAAAAAATTGAAAATGTATAATACAAAAATTATTACTTTGCGTAATAATCTGAAAAAGGATGAAATTAAGGATAAGAAAAAACAGGTGAAGAACAACAAAGAAGATAAAATGGAAATTAAAGAAGAAGATGAAGGTATTGCTAGTTCTGAAGATATTAAGTCCGAAACTGAGATGGTGACAAGTGAAAATGATTCTGAAGCAGAAGAAGATGAGGATAATGATGATATTGAAGTAGAAGAAGATGAAAACGATTCTGAAATAGATGAAAATGATTCTGAAATAGATGAAAATGAGGTTGATTCTGAAGCAGATGAAATTGATGAAAACGATTCGGAAACGGAACAAAATCAGAATGATTTTGAAATGGAAGAAACAGAAGAAAATGAAAACGACTCAGAATCTGATTCAGAAGAAACTAAAACACTTCCAGCAATTACTCCTGAAATAGAAACCAAAAAGAAACGAAAACTTGTCGAAGAAGAACCAGCGGAACCCTCATCAAAAAAGAAAAAGAAGAAGAAAGCAATTGAACCACCCAAACCTACTAATCCCCTTAAACCAAATAAATCCTCAGAACAACCCGCTGTCCTCTCGGGAATGTCCTCATTTTTCGAAGAAGAAGCTCCAATCACCCCCAAAGAAGAATCCGACGATGAAGACACTTCACTTCAACAAAAGAAAAAACTCACACCTGCAGAACGTCTGCAAAAGGCCAAAGATGAAGAAGCACGTTTGAGGAAAATCGAAAACGACCTTGCTGATTCCTCCCTTCTACCACAGAATGCCGAACAATTTGATCGCGCTTTACTTGGTAATCCCGACGATTCAGAATTATGGACCAGATACATCGCTTTCCACGCACAATCGACTGAATTTGACAAAGCGCGAGCTGTTGCAAGACGTGCTATTGAACGCATATCATTCACAGCGATGCAAGACCGACTCAACGTGTGGTTAGCGTATCTAAACTTAGAGAATATGTATGGTACTAAGGATAGTTTTCAGACATTATTTGAAGAGGCAACTAGGTGTAATGATACTTTGACTATTTATCTCGAAACTATAAAGATGATGGCGGAGATGAGTAAGTTTGTCGAAATGGAAGAGAAGATAAAGAAAGCGCGTGGTAAATTCAAACAGGAATTGCAAATGTGGTTGGAGATTGGTAAAGTATATTACACATGCGGGAAGTTTTCCGAGGCGAGAAAACTTAAGGATAAGGCTTTACTCACGTTAATTGACAAAAATCACGTAAGTTAAATTTAAATTTTGAAAAAAGAAACAGAATCATCACATAACCTCAATTTTTAGAAATGCAACTTCTCGTACAATACGCCATCATGGAATTCGTTCACGGCGAGAGTAATCAAGGTGAAGCATTATTCGAGACAATTCTACAAGCTGATCCTAAACGTGTGGATATTTGGTGTACTTATGTTGATCAATTGATTAAAAAAGATAAAATTGATGTTGCTAGGTAAGAATTGTCATTTACATTTATGATTTTCATTCTTAAAACTTATTTTTTTGTTAGAAATGTATTATCACGAGCAGTAGGACAAAAACTCGCCTACAAAAAAATGCGAACGCTTTTCAAGAAATACCACGCGTTTGAAACAACACACGGCGATGAAGAAACACTCGCACATGTTACAAACCTCCTACGTGAGTATAGTGATAAGTAATTTCATCAAAAACCAATTTCACTTATAATAAATTGTTTAATTTGTACATGAGTATGAAAATATTTCTTTCTCTCTCAATATGATTGCACAATCATATTGTAAATTGTATAAAAAACGTAATGTACACGTTTCGTTGTAAGTATTACGAGCTAAAATTAATGACATTGTCTTCGTCCGTTGAATTCCCACCGGGTTTGTCAAATCGCACATGAATATTCACAATGTATTCGGAGTTGGTGCGTTGGACGGACATGGCGAACGGATCAGTCGGGTGGAAAATATACGCGACTAGCTTACGCGCCATTGGCATCGACCGTGGCGCTTTACCGGCGTAAATTCGAAACTTTAGGAAACCCGAGTCACGTGCGTAGAATCTGATTGGATATTCACCGAATGGTTTGGGCCTTTCCATGGCCGATACCCATTTATCATCGTATGAGAATAAAGATAAGTCTAAGTAGGGTGAGCTGCTGAAACTCTGCGCGCTGATTGGTATTTGCGCTAACAAACGTTTCGTTGCTTCGATTTTTCCGCCGAATTTCGCGTTGATGATCGTTTGTTTGAATCTATGTTGAATCAAACGCGCGAAGATGTTATTCGATGCGCTACACGTGAATTTTACCTCGTTGTGAATACACGCATTGCGAAAACTATCGCTGAACTGTTCGAATAAATCCAAAAGTTCACGACTGATATTCTCATAAATAGCCAAGACTTTACTCTCGATTATATTATAAATGACAAAAAACGACGGTTCACTGTTAGGATCAGTTATTTTCAGTGTAACCATATCTTCACTAGCGTATTTTAATAATAAATGTGTCTCGTCGAGTAATTGCATCTTCCAAATGCGTAAATTTTGAAAATTGTCGAAATATTGATAGAATTTACGTATTTCATACGGATCTTTCGTCTGGGCGGCTATCCTTTGCGCGCGGCGATACAAAAACGCCAAAATGCGATGTTTAAGCGAGTTTATATATTTTTCTCTAAACGGACGTTCGACCGGAAAGACGGATTGAAAGAAATACGCGTCGTCTTCGAAACAAAAGCGGCCGATCTTACGAAAGTCGACGAACATCCCGTCGAGGATTTGAAAGATGTGGACGATTTGATGCTGCACTGACAGGACTGCAAGCATGTCTTTGTAGAGGTAGAGGCCTTGATTGTGCGACATGTGGATCTTGTCGACTTTGAACAGGCGCGTATCACAGAGTTTGCCGTTTTGTAAGTCAATAATATGGATTGAGAAGTCTTCCAAAGGAAATCTACGAGAAAAAATAAATTTTATGTTTTATCTTGTAACAAACACAAAAATATTAATTTTACCTTGGATTTGGTGTTACAGACTCGTTATTCGTGTAGATTTCATAAAAATGTGGCCTGACTGGCTCAGGCAGGAACGTTGCAGACCCGACTATCACATATCGCCCATCCTCCGTAAACAAACTGCATTCTCGATTCAATTGCTCGGTTGATGAACAAATGTTAACAACATGTTTTAACTGCAAAAATCAACATTTGTTAATAATTTGTTTAGGTATTTCTTTAAATTTCTGCATACCTTGAAAAATCTATCAAATATTTTATGCTTCACGTCAAAGTTCTTCTTATCTTTCTCATCTGCATTGTGCAACAGGTCTCCTGCTGCACCAGCTCCTCGATACATGTAGATTTCCACACATGTTTGATCAGATGAGAACGCAATAAGGTACTTTCCGTCAGGACTAAACTTGCGCACGAAACAGGGAGGTTTTTCGACGTTGATAAGCGTGTAATTAGGAAATACGTTCTGGTAGAATCTTCGTGCCGTGTGAAAATGTGTACCAGGTTTCTTGCAGCCAAAGATTTCGCGTTCCGCGAGTCGTATGACGATGTTCTGTGGCTGCACACGACGCGGTTTTGTTAGGGTTTCCATTACGGTTAAATTAAACGTTAGATAAGCGTTGAAAACATAATTATTTACAAATTAAATGTAAAAGTTTTGATAATCAGCTGTTTTTGATGCTTTAAATTAAGCATTCAAGTTTATTCGTGTTTAAGGTTAGATTGTTGTTTGGTTTGCCTACAAATAACTAACGAAATAATTAATTACTACAACGTCAATTTATTTATAAGAGCTATAAATTATTTATAAGCTTTTTATTGTATAATTTTATGAGTTATTACATGAGTTTACATCTAGTTATAACAAATTTAAATTTATGGAGGATGTTTGGTTGCCTATAGTAAACTTCTAAACTTTCAAATAAGTTTACAACATAAATATTATACATTTGTATTCTCATAACGGTAGGAGCGTGAGGTTTTCTCGTGTTGAGTTACTCATTGATAACGAATGCATTAGTCAGCGACACTAGTGAATATGTGTCGTAATGTTTAACAGCTCGCTGCGACGCCCATTCAACCTCAAAACCACTTCATTTCCTTTCCAGTTCGATTCCAAGCAGCACAAAGCGATCAAACTCTCGCAACTTACATTTGTTTAAAACGCGTCGCCATAAACACGCTAATTGTTAGACCAAAACCGAAATAAAAAACCTGCTGCACTGCTAATCAATAAACAAGTGAATAACGTGAGTCGAAAACAATCGAGTGTTGAGCAACTGAAAACAAGGCGCGGGTGAAATTTGAAGTTTTGCAAGACGACGACATCCCGTAGCAAAACACAGCAACAAAGAAGAGTTGCATTAGAAGACGAACCCACACGAAGCGCAGCACGAAAAGGGAAGGAAACAAGGTGAGGTATGCGCGCACATTTTCTGTCGATGGCTCTCGATCGCTTCGATTTCCGATACGAATCGCGATAGCATTTAAAAGTCATGTGCGTTCGCGAGCACCGCGAGATGATATCTTGCCCTCTTGCTTTATTCAGCAGCGCCACATCGCTTTGCAACCGACATTTCCTCCTGCGTGTTGCATGCGTAGTTTTATTTACGTGCGGCGGGCGTAATTTATATGCATTTTGTTTCGATTAAGCGCCGTCTACATCTTATTTATCAACGATTTTTCATTTGCATTCATTTTGTATATGATGTACACGCGTAGAAATGTCAATGTGCGGGCGCGAGAAGAAAATGAAGACGTTCCACACGGTCGTGTTTATAAAAAGTATTAAATACACATTTATAGTGTTTATTATTGATTTTCTTAAATTGTTTTAGAATCCGGCTGTCTGCAGTGAATATTCCGAAGGTTCCCAAGCGAGAATTTGGCAGTATGGCTACTGATATTTCTGTTTACAATTGGAATGAAGGTGCAGGCAGGAGTATTGGGCAAAAAACGTATGAGAAAACAATTTGTGTGATTGAATAATATTTATTTATTGATTGATTTATTGTTTTAGTTTTGTTAGTACTTGCCACTTCCAGCCGAAACGTGTTCCAGTGAAGTATACTGAAACGATGATTGTGCATTTGAATTCGCCGAAGAGGCGATACTTCGAAAGCGTCGCATACGAGGTGAGAATTTATTAATTTGTTTGAATTTGCTGACAGAATAGTCAATAAATTACTCGGAGATTTGCAAATTGTGTGCGTCATTTGTAGATAATGTAAAAGTGCGAGACTTTGCACAGATTAGTCAGAGTATTTAGGAGTTGCACCTTTATTTATGACGTCATGAAACAAAAATGAGGTTAAGGTTTAAAAAATGACTTTTTTCTGCAAAAACAGGCGAATAATGCTTAGGAATCTTTATTACTTGCAATAAATATAAGATTCTCTCAGAAATTGTTGGTTTAATAGATAAATAATTACATTTTTCTTCTAAAATCTTTAAAATTTGCAAAAAAACAACAATTTTTATTGGAATTAACAGGTTTTACATTAACTAAAGATACTTCTTTAAATTTTATTAAAATTCATCTGTAATTAAGAGAAAAATGCAATTTAAATTTTATTTCCAGACAAAAATGGTACCATCCCACTGGAGCCAAACGATGTTCGTTGATTTGCTTCCAGGCCGAGACCGCATCGTCAGCGAAGTGCATATCCCCTGTGATATTTACGTTCCTTTGATTCCTCAAGAGGTAATCACTCAAAACATTGCCGATAAAGTAGAGAGCGTTGACACTACACAAAAAGTAGATGCGCCAACCGAAAAAACTGAATGTACTCAGGCAAAAGTACCCACTTCATCGAAAACTCAAATTCTCGGTAAATATCATAAAAATACCTGCGAGGAGTTTTTAAACGAGATGAGAAAAATGTACTAATTTATACGGTTACTATGGTTACGACAAAAGCATAAAAACTTAATATTTTTAGATTAGATATTTTACATTTTATAGAAAATTAAGACTAGAGACTGCGACTGATCTGCTGGACGAGTTAAACACGAGTGAACGCGTAGTGTACTGCGTGTTGTGCTTTTATACCTGCACAAAGTGGTGGGAGACGGCGTCGATCGCGAAGGGTGCGTGCAACAAGCGCTCCCCCACTCCATCTTTTGACCGCAGGTATAAAAGGGCAGCTCTCAGTGAACAATGCTCTCAGTCGTGTCTGAGTTGTCCAACAGACTAGTTGCAGAGTTCTGGAGTTCTCTCTTCATCAGCACTATTTACGATTAATGTCGCAATATGTCACTAGTTAAATAATAGTATTTAATACTTGAATTTACGTATATCTAATTTTGCTCAGAATATTTTTACTATTTTATTTAATTAAATAATTTAAAATAAATAAACATTGCCAGAAATTAATATTAATTGCGTTACAGGTGAAAGGTTGGAAAGTCTGAATGTTACGAGGCCAAATAATTAATAACGCAAAGAAAGTCAATTTCGTTAATAACTTCATTTCCATTAATTTCCATCAATTGCGACCTGTGATTGACCGACCACGACTACGATTACCGACTGCTTTCACTCATTCACAAACATCATCAAAACTTATCATCGGAATCATCAGAAATCATTCATCAAGAAACTCTACTAATAATTTATTTATAACTTATAAATAAGGCAAGAATAAACCAAGAATTACTCTTACCTTTTTAGTTGTAACAAATTATAGAAATTCACCGTCAGATGGCAGCAGCTACAGGTTGCATATAACCTAAATGTACCTATATCTAAGTTGTCTGAATATTTTGTGTCTTTGCCAGCCGCGATGCACCGAAGTCTTCGATGAGCGATGGCGATCGAAAGCGTAATCGTGAAATAATTGAAATAATAATAGAGATGTTATTGGTATGCGGTGCCTGCGCGCCACGGGCGCACGAAGACGACGATAATGACATGATACAAACCTGAATGCGACCACCATTCGGACGATTCGACGATTTTCCTCTTCGATCATCCTCAACTTCAATCATGAAAGCAACACACACACACATATATACAAGGCATGTATTTAAATTCATCCATTTTTATATTGACGAAGTTAATTTTATTAAGGCGAAGGGTTTTTGATGTGTGCGTTGGCAACACTGCGAGATGGTAATAAAGCAGTGGGCAACAAACGGCGGCCATGCGGAACCGGTCATGACTTCCCGGACATGCTCGCCTATCTGTCTCTCTTCTTCTGGTAGCGCGCGCGCGTGTGTGTTTGTAGCTTGTAGCTGGTTTTGCTCGGGCGAAGCGAAGCGGAACATTATTACGTCGTCCGCGACGGCTCTCATCACACCAATGTCAAGTGCATCAAAAGCAACACACATCGACATTAATAACCGACAACCACAGCTCCGACAGCTCACAACAAGTTGTGATACTAATACAAACGCAGGTACATAAATATAAGAATCATCATCACGATCAACAGATGATGTTTGATGATTGTGATAGCCAACAACAACATGGCTACCAACTACAAACACACAATAAACTCACACAATATGTGTATATATAGTTGCCTATCACAATGCAAAGCATGAAAAAATTTAATTCGTAATTTCAACAATTCCACGAATTTCGGCGTTGGAGCCGAGCGCACGTATTCCATTTTAATTATCGTTTCCAGTTTTTTTTTTTCAACTTGAAATTTACGTAAGTGTATATGAACTTTATGTAAGTATAACAAAAGCGTGTATCGTGAATGCGTACGGCTTCCAGTTTTTGTGCGTATGGTAGATTTATTGTATAATACGATGGAACGAACAGACACAATGTTGCTGGTTTTGTTGCGAGTCGCGGTTCGTTCACACGCCCGCTTTTTAATTATCACGAAACGAATCAAGCCACCGGCACGGCACTCACCGGGCGCAAGAACAATGTGCATTAGCACACACACACACACACACAACACAACGCGCATACTCGAAGTTATTCGTGTGGTAACACTGACGTAGTCATGGCAACACCGCGCATAATACAATAGTGGATTCTGCGCAGTCATTGGGAAAGACAATGACGTCAGCAGGAACGCAACCAACGTTGCACGCTGCTAATACATTGGGAACTAATCGGATTATTACAACGATTGCTTTTGTTTTATGACCTGTTTGAAATAGATGAATGAAAGTACAATTTTTGAATTCTAAAACCTAAAAAAAATCACATACAAAGTGTTAGAAATTATTTTATTAAAAAAATATGAAGTTATGCTACCGGTAATGCAAGATTGAGGTTGATTTACGTACTGCCATGAGCTACAAGTGATACAAGCGTAACAAGTTTACAACTAACAAGTAACCGTTTCAACGCTTCAGCACTCGACGAATCAATCATCTAGAAAATTGTTTATTGCACTTAATACTACTTGGAATCTTGTGCGTTGTGAGTAGACGTGCTATAATTCTGCAATAAAAACGCGAATATTTTCTGCTCGCTTCGGCTGTGTGAATTATCGTGAGTATGATGTATGAGAAGTATGAATATCCGTATCGGTGGCTATGACGGGCTATGGCTATCGTGCGGTAATAACAATTATATCTCAATGCCACGCCATAAGCGTACACACACAGACAATCGCCTCGCAATGTTTAAACTTTGCTTCAATGTTTAACTTCAGGTGACTCAGGCCTGTAAAAATCCAAACAACATTCACGAAATCACTAAATATCCATATAATCAATCGCCAATTGATTATTTTAGGTGTAAAACACCAATTAATTGTGTTTAAACTCAGTTTAAACGTGAATCAAGTTGTTTGGTGTATGTTGGGTTGCATAACTTGGACTAGATGTTGCTGCGTGTGCATATAAAAGTGAAAATCTGTCGAAAAATGAGTGAATATTATTTATGTGTTGAAATTTTGTGCAATCGTTGTTGGCCTGTGTGTTTTCGTGCGTTGCCCAAATTGGCAACGTTAATTATAATTCAGGCGGTCGAAAATTGGCCATTGTTTGGGCGGGCGCGCAGTCGCAAACAAAAGCCAAATGAATTTGTTGTTGCGCGCATACACACACACACGCATTATTGTACTCGCCGGTGTTTAATGTATACACTGCGAACTCTGATAAACTTACATTTCGGTAACCATCAGCCGACAAGCAGCAAAATTATTGTGCGCACGGTGATAACTCGACGCGTGCATAAATTACCTATTTATATATCGTGTGACGTCGCTAAGCGAAGTTATTACCACCCTAGAGAGGGAAAAAACTCTGGTATTTTACATTCGCCGTAATAAAAATAGAATCGACTGTGTAATTATTATCAATTTGATGTGGTGTTTCCTGTGTGCGATGCGTTTCCGACAAGCGTTTTACGATTTTTGGGAAGCAGCGGCACTTCGGCGAAAATCGCGCTTTAATCATACGATATCCATCTGCAGATTGCAATCGTCCGTCGTCCGGCTTTGTATCACATTCAATTTCTATGCGACAATGAGCGACAATAAAACGTGCACATCAGAACGCTTGCACACTTGCACTTGGCTGTTTGTTGCGTAATCGATTTCCTTTGAGCGTCAATGGGAACTCTCTGTCGAGAATGTCCGCGGCTGTTGCGCGCTCATCCACTCATCGACATCTCTTCACTTCTTTCCGCTTTGTTTGCGTTCCGCGATCGCGAGCGCACATTCGTACATTACATTTTACAACGTGGCGCGCGCGTTGCCTTTAAAACTGTTTTTTTTTTCTCCGCGCTTCGTACTTCTTGCTGCGCGCGTTTTTATTCCGCGTCTTATTGAAGTCATTTTCTCGGACTCGTGGCGGTCTTTTTGTTTGTTTCCTAGCGGTGTGGTAATTTCTATTCCGCACAAATTCAATGTGTGTGTGTGTGGTTGCATGCAACGCGATGCATCGACGCGGAGGAGATAGAAACGTGCTAGAGTGTGGTACCCATCCAAAGAACTACAGTTACGTTCGACGAACTGCTAAGCAGCAGGCGGAGGAAAGGTGCACACGGCGAGTGTGTGCAGAAAACCAACAAAACCATTGCTGCACTGGAAAAACTATTGGTGCTAAAATTCAAATACTATAGTTTAATCTATATTTATAGTTTAAAATATGACCGATTGGTGGCGCTAGTATAGTAAAATGACAGTGCAATGTTAAAATTTGCAGTTTTTGCAATGAAAAATTGGTTTTCAACTAAAATAATAAGTAAAACAAAACAAATTGTGAGCTGAAATATAATTAGTAAGACAAGTAGTGTTTTAATCTAGATTTTTAGTTTAAAAACTGTTCGTAGGTGGCGCTAGTATCGCAAAATGACAGTGAAAACCAACAAAATGCTGTTTTTGCAAAGAAAGTTTGGATTTTAACTGTAGAAGTAAATTAAACATACGAAATTATGCATTAAAAAACCTAATAGTACGAAAATTTAAGTTTGGTGGCGCTGGTATCGCGAAATGTTAGTAAAAAGTACATAAATACATGTTTTTACAAAGAAAATTTGTTTTCAACCGCGATAATAAATAAACCGAAACAAATTATGCGCTAAAACAATATTAGTAATGCAATTAATGTTTTAGTCTATATTTTTACTTCAAAAAATGACCGTTGGCGGCGTTAGTATCGCGAAATGACAGTGAAAACTAAAAAATTACATAGCAAGAATGAAAAACAATTTTTTCCAAAGAAAACTTTGTTTTCAACTCCAGGAATAAATAAAACTATTTTTGTTGAATTCAAAGAATTTAAAAAGCTTTCCAAAGCATATAAAAAGACAATAAAACAAAAATGCAAGTCGAAACACAAATCGTTAACGATTACCAGCGTTTTGTTGATAGCTCTTTGAAAATTAAGCGATAGAAAGTGGAAAATGTGCCTAACCGCGTGAATTACATGAAAAGCTCATTAATACTCATTAAAAGCGCAAGCGTGCGAAGCGTAATGTGTGATTTCTCAATTTCACAATCTTCGATTTTAATTTCTTTGACTTTTTCAACTCGCGCCTCGATTTAAGTGCGGCTTGGCGCTCGTGTAATACATTTTAATGCGTGTAATGCTTAGTAAGACCCCGGCAATGCTAATAGTTATTTTTCCTTGACTGTTGTGTGTGTGTTGTGAAACCGTTTCGTGATGTTATAATAATGTTGTTTTTATAATGCGTCTCTTTCTTTTTTCGTTGCGGCTGCGCGCGGCGAGTTCAATTATTACATTACTCAGCCTGGTTGGTGGGTAATTTGTGCCTGGGACTGTTTTCGTGCGTTCGTCATTTGTTGCGCGCGCGCGCGCGCACCTTGTGTGTGTGGTTTTTTTTTTCGTGAGTGCTGCCGATGTTGATGTCGATGTCGATGTTGCGTTTATGTAATGCGGTTATAATTCTACCTGTTCTATGCGCGTCGCCGCGGCCACTGGGAACATCTCAACTTGGACGTCTTCGGCACTGTGTGCACTTTTGTCTTTACCGGTTTCCACACCGCGCGGCCACTACCACCAGAGGGAGAGGAGGAGTGAAGCAGCGTGTTAGATAATTACAATTACGGAATTCACTCACGCACTTTTTTCGGGTGGCTTTCCGAAGCCCGGAGGGGTCCCGGCGTTAGAAAGAGATTTCACCACGTTAATTGCACTTGGCCTTAATTTGCTGGTATTCTGGTGTGTGTGTGAGACGGCGCCCGTCGCTGTGGATGGCACTCAAAGACCACGAAATTATCGAAATCACCCGTGAATTCTTCCAGTGCCATTCGCAGGCGGGCACCAGTTGAAAAATTGATGGTACCACTTTTACGCAACGACGATGATGATGGTAACAACTAATGTTTATGACGTATCGCAAACTGGTGAGTGGTACACCTTTCTATTCGAAGGAGATTGTTGGAGGAGAGGTGAGCTGGTGTGCGCGTCCGCACGCGGTGGTGAGTAAGCCTCGACTGAATTGTCAGCTGCGACGAGGTGCACCACGACGACAGGTAGAACGCACGGTTCGCTAGCTCCGACAGGTTGCCGGCGTTTCTTCCCCCACTCCCCAGCCGCAACATAGGTATACCTGCCGTCTACGTGCACACAAAGCGACTGAGTAATTATCATACCGTCGCAAGTAAGTGGGGTACCACGGGTACCACCACCACCACCTTTACTCACTCGCACAAGAAATAGGAAGACGGACGTTGCACCTGTGCCTCATGGTGTACACCTAAGTACACCTCATGGTGTGCCATCAAGAACGACTTAAACTTAAACAAAAGCTGGTACACCACAAGACTTGATATTAATAATATTAAAGTGGATTTTTTCTTCAGATTGCGCACATTTCCATGTCGGAATTTTTATTTAATTTTTTATTTCTAAATGTTAGATGCGGTGCCGCGCAACGGTACGGAACACGCATTAACCAAATTACCGGTGCCGGTGTGCGTACACAGGTGCGTTTCGTTATTTTTTACGCATCGCGAGATCTTCTTCGCCGGCTCCTTGAAGCATGTCGTTGCGGGTAGGACATTAAAAATTTAAAAACTACGAACAATTAACATTACCAGCACGACAATCGCGAGGTACCATCATCAGTCAGAGGTAATTACCAACGCGCCGAATGATGATCATCTAAACACTCTACAACTGCTTAGAAATGCTTTTATTTTGTAAGGTTTTGAAGGTATGTCTAGTATCTAGATGTGTCTCACCTTCTTACCATGAAGTAACACGTTTAGCAACAACAACACAACGCCGGATTGAGAAATTTCAGCATGAAGACGAGAAACGACTTCGTTCCGGCCGTTCTGGTGCAAGAATGGAAATAGTTTTCCCACAGCCGAGCGAGCGTTTACACTTCTAAGTGCGCCCGTTGTTGTTCTTATTTCTTATGCTGTTGTGTTACACACAATGTAATTGATTTTCTAGAAAATTCACAAGCTAGATATAAGTGGTAGAAAAGTTGCAGTGTAATGGTAGGACTCGTCAGCAGGATGATCCTAGGATAAACCGAGTGCACCAGAGATGAATAACGAAGTGCCAGCGCGTAAAATGCGCTGGAATGCATTCGCGCAGGCCTGTAGGGACAGTTTGCTGACGTGCCGCCGACTGCCATCTGTCGTGTAAGACGGCGAATATCGTTGAATGATGACTTGAAAACACAAAGCATGTTAACATGTTAACATACCACATCAGTATAATACACTTAAGAACAGATTTTGAACAAACGTACAAATTTCAACCAGCTTACTAACGCTGCTTCTTGACTTTTACCACTTTTTGCACGGTATTAAAAGGTTATGTCTGGTGTTTGACAATTAGTTGTGTATAGCTTCCGTTAGATGTCGTTTTCACCAACAAAATCTATGATTTTTATGTAGAAGGTTTAAATCTGTGTTGTTTCATTGATTGTGTCTTGTCAAAAACTGCAATATCGATGAAAGATGACTAAAAAACAAGAAAATGTTAATATGTTGGCATATCACACTAGTATAATACACTTACCAACAGATTTTAAGCAAATTTACTATTTTCAACTTCCTCACAGCACGGTTCTTCTTACTTTTTACCACTTTTGCATGATATTATAAGGTTATGTCTGTTGTTTGACACTTAGTTGTGTATAGACACCGTTAGATGTCGTTTTCACGAAAAATGTCTATGATTACCGCGTAGAGGGTTTAAACCTGCGCTGTGGCATGCATTGTGCCTCGAAACGATGAGAAAACGAGTGGCATTTGGAAGACGGGCGCTCCTGCATGGCTCCTCGAATTCCGAGCATCTTATTAACGCCATGCACGGATACATCACACAAGCTGGCACTCGCGAACGCATCCCATCACAATTTTCTAATTATAATTATTATAATTGCTTGGCGCGCATGTTGCTAAATAGGATGGCGTCATCCACGCATGCGCACACAGGACATCACACGTTTATGACACTCGGGAGGTGATCATAATTCATGCTCATAATGTGTAATAGGTTTAATTGTGGTCAAGAACTACGAACTCTCTCTCTGTACGCAGACGCAAAACAGCCACGCAGGTAATCACTCCGGAATTATTTCATTAGCCACCGTGAGAATTTGTCCGAATTAAAAACGCTCTTTTCTTGTGGTCGCCGGCTACATTGTGCGCCTGCTGGCATTGCGCAATGCGAAGAAAAGCGGCCCGCCGACAGAATGGAAACACGTTTTGTGTCGCTGATGCGTCGAATTCACTCATATCCCAACACCGGGAGCTGCTGCATCGCCATTCATCCGTGCGCCGTCGACTGTCGTGTCTTCTTGACGCTTCTTTTTTTTTTATATTTACCATGACAGATTGATAATAAATTGATTTTTTGAGGAATCGTTTTTAACACGTTTGAGGGGTTATTGAACGCGCCGGAGTGGTTAATTAAGCAATTAAAATGTGCTTTATAAATGAATAAACGCAACGCGCTTTAATTAATTTATAATAATAAATCGTAATGAGCGTCTAACGCTCGTTTGCTCACGATGTAGCTTACAGTAAAGTCGTAATAAGTGAGAAATCACATTGTGAAATTGTATACTGCAGTTGGAAGTTGCACTTTGCAGCAAACAAACAATTGATTGTTAATTTCATGATGTGTAACTTCATATTGCAGTGGAAAAGCATATGCAGCATTAAAACTGGGCGAGATGTACGCATTTTAATTGTGGTTAATTAATATTGCGTTAGATAGTGTGCTAATTAATAGACTACGAGCTGAATAATCAATTTTGTAACAAAACTTTGCAATAAATCTGCGGTTTTTTTCTTTTTAGTTAAAAAACTTTACATATTTGTTTGTTTTGCGAATGAAGTTGCACGTTGCAAGTTGCAAGTTGGCAGTTACATTGTATTGATATCGAAAATAATAAGCTTTGTTTGTATTTGTCGATTATCTGCAACTGTACACTCATGTGAGCACACGTTACGGTTATTAACGTCGAGCGGTTTCAGTGATAACCGATAACCAGAACAGCTGAAATTACACCTACACCTTGCTTGCTTGCTTTTCATTGCATCGTCAGTGACGCGTGTTAGACTTTGAAGATGACACCTGTCTATTAGCCAGGCTATTAAAACTAAACTTTAGGAGGGAGAGGAAGTTGTTATAGTTACAAGATGTCTTTAAATGGTGAAATTTTGTAGTAAAACTTAGGTTATGTCACTTTTTAGGACCTTTAATTCGCATTCTTTCCATTTATCTCAAGAAAAATGTAATATTTGTCTTTATTTGTCTTCAAAATTACTAATTTTTAATAAAATACACTTTTTAAGGTTAGAAACACTTTGGTAAAGTGGTATTTCGCTTTGAAAATGTCAAAAAACACTTTTTGACATTTCTGTCATAGGTTACACCAGTGGCGTAGCAAGTAGTCAATAATTTCATATTCCAACGAAATTTACTTTGATAATTAAAAACAAAATCTATGATTTGTACCTATGTAGAAGGTTTAAATCTGTGTTGTTTCATTGATTGTGTCTTGTCTAAAATTGCAATATCGATGAATGATGACTAAAAAACATGAAAATGTTAATATGTTAGCAGAACAGATTTTGAACAAATTTACAATTTACGGCAACCTCACAGGACGTTACTTCTTATTTTTTACTACTTTTACATGATATTATAAGGTTATGTCTGTTGTTTGACACTTAGTTGTGTATAAATGTCGTTAGATGTCGTTTTAACCAAAAAAATCTATGATTGGTATGTAGAGGCTTTAAATCTGCGTTGTTGCATTGATTGTGTCTTGTCTAAAAGTGCAATATCGATGAATGATCACTAAAAAACACAAAGATGTTAATATGTTGACATACTACACTAGTTCAATACATTTACCAACTGATTTTGAACAAATTTACAACTTTTAACAACCTCACAGCACGGTTCTTCTTACTTACTTACAAAAAACACTTTTTGACATTTCTGTCATAGGTTACACCAGTGGCGTAGCAAGTAGTCAATAATTTCATATTCCAACGAAATTTACTTTGATAATTAAAAACTGTTTTAGTTATGCATTGTATTTCCAACTTAAATTCATAATACATCTTTATATATCTTCAAAATTACGATTTTTCAAAGAAATGTGATTTTTAAGCTTAGAAATAGGTGTGGTTAAGTCTAAAATGTCAAAAACACATTTTGACACTTCTGTCAAAACTTATCCACCAGTGGCGTAGCAAATACACATCAATAATTTCATATTCCAATGAAATTCACTCTGTTAATTAAAAACTGTATTAATTATCATCGCGTGCGCCTTGTTTCCATTTCTTGTGTATCTACTATGTTTATTTTTCTATGAAGAAACTCTTTCCCTGCACTAAACATGCACATTTTCTCGGAATAAATCATCGAGTAAACTTTAAACGGTTAACGATGGTAATAAGATGGAACGCGACGCGCAAGAAAAAAGTTTAACTTCATTCGAGTTGTACGCATACGAGTTCGAATAAAGTGAATAAAAACGCGCTGGAAAGTAGCGAGGCGCAGCCGCACGAAGAGGGTACCGCCATGCAGAAAGATAAGTGCCCTGAGTTTTCGGTCATCCTTGGTTTATCATGTGTGACACCCCATGCCGGACGAGAAATTTCATTTGTACTTTTTAATCGCGCATTTTTTTCTTCTTACAAGGAAAATTTCAGTGTTTAACGAAAACAATTTTTTGTAAGCTTATAATTTCTTTATTTATGGTTGTAGGGTATTGAATAGTATATCAGGAGGTAGATAATTTAATAGAGAATTAATTTATTTTTAAAAAACAACTCTAGATGGCGTTGTTTTGGGGTTATTGCTAAAATAGTGCAACTTTGAATTTTTAACCTCAAAAAAGTTAAAATTGATCATAACTCAGAAACTAATAGAGATAATGGAATTATTTTTGTGTCAATTAATAGTTCTCATCAAGATCTAAAGGACGGTTAATATAATAATTACCTAATTATCTTACTTAACCTGTAATTTAAAGAAAACAATAATTTTTATGCTACGCTAAATATTCACCAATATAACCAAACTTTTCACCTCTCTGCTTTCTTTAAAATCGATTTAAACACATTCAAAAGCCTCAAAAACATTACTTTTGTTTGCGTGCAACTTTTCATGTGTTTCGCTTCTTAATCTTTGCGCGCATCCTAATGAAATATTCCGAGCGTGTTTCGGTTCGTTTCGGTCGCGCGTTAATTCCACATTTCTAATTTTATTCTGTAAACACACCAAAGAACACACCATGAAGCTTCGCGTATAAAACACCGGCGAGACGAACGCGCGGAATAAAATAAAATACATATATACGTAGAAAAATCCAAATAACGAACAAATAAAAGGAATCAAACGCTCATTAGCAGTCGGCGTCGGCGCACACAATCCCAAACGAGAGCACACGCAAACGTGCGAGAGCAAGCGCAGTGTCTTGGCGATGGAAAAAGAGTTCCGCACCGCACACCGGAACACGACGATAATTACCATCCGACCATCCGACTTGAACTTCAACTCACTTCACTCCGTTGGCTAGATAAACAAGAACGCGCGCTCGCGTGGCTGGTAAAAACCAATGTTCCTACTCGTAGCTCTTGCCACGCCGCACATGACTTGACTCTTTACTTGAGCGCTCTTTTTCTCTTGCGCCGCGTTAAAAACGGAAAAATCATCAGCGGTTATGATGAAGATGAGCGCACCGAGCATGCTAATATAACAATGCACGCGCATTAAAGCACTGGTGCAGTGAGGAACAACACAAAGAGGAACAAAAACAGTGCGCGCCGAAGAAAACTACGATTAAGATTAGTTTTTCGAAGCGTTGCAGAGAGCCCGAATTGGGAAGCCAAGCAGAAAGCAAAAACAACGCGAGCATTATTTTCGTATTTCGAGCTTGACAATTGTCATTTTTCTTTGTTTCCTGTCAAACTAAGCAGCGATTTTTATCGCTGCGTTAAATCACCACTGTTAAATTAAAGTTGAATTAAGTGTCTTGTGAAAGACTAGAGACTAAACGATTTTTAAGAGTTTTATGCTACTTTAATCACTTTTTAAACAGCACTAAAGTTTTAGATTTAGTGAAATGCACGAAAATGGTTCCAAAATTCAAAATAAATTTTTTAAAACGCATTTTTACCACAAACAAATAAAAATATTAGCTTTTTCTTCGAAATTTTGTTTGTTTTTCATTTTATAGACAGAATTTTAGTATTTTTTAAAAACAATTTTTTGATTGCTTATAACTTTCTTATTTAAAGTGATACAATATTGATTAATATATCAATTAGTAGGTAATTTAATTGAGAATTAACTTATTAAAGAAAAAATCCTAAATATTGCGTTGTTTTTGTGTAATCGCAAAAATACTGCAACATTCACTATTTTTTCTTACTTTTTAACCTCAAATTTGTCCAAAGTGTGAATTTTAACCTAAAAAAATAAATTTTCATGCTCCCGGCAGCCATTTTGAAAGTGAAACTTATTATTTCATGCAAACCAGCCTTTTAAACGTATAAAAAGGTTTAAATTTATTGAAAAACACTAAAAATTTATAATTTATCTAAAAAATTCCTTCAAAAAGGAAGTCGTTGATGCTTAAAATCCATGAAGCGTCAAAGAAAAGTCATCTTAAAAGCACTTCTTCCTCTCATCCTCTCAGATTCCCAAGTAGCTTTATACAAACAACAAAATTCGTCATTATAATGTAATATCGTCATCCGTTCACCACAAAGCATGAACAACAATTTCTTCCTGACATGCTTCTTCTTGATCATGACTTCTTGAGCAATTCTATTTACAAATATACAGCCACATTACGAAATACTAACATTTATGTATATTTCCTATTAATTTTACTATTTAAATCATTTCTAACACACAGTATACAATGTAAAGAATGAAAAGAAAAAGTCTAATACATGTAGCCAACATAAAAACGTCTAAAACGCCGAAAAAACACTGTAAAAATGCCTTTGGCAATGTGAATAAACGCTGTACAAGTGCGCATTGCGTGCTATTGATGTAACGCTGTAAGAGATATCAAAAAGTGGCGTTATTCGTCCGAGACGAGGATGACTCGCATCCTACAACCATCCGACGATATGACAGTACGTGGACCGCGCGCACGGTAACGAGATTTTAATATCTTCGGATTGCTGGCGTTAGTTTTAGGCACTTTTTATTGTCTTCCATCTTTCTATTCCTGCATGCAGTCTTCCTGCAACGGTTTTTCACCAAATTTATCAATTTACTATGTAATTTTACTAAAAACAAAATTATACTTGTTTGCTTAGTTTCCTGCTTAGATTTGTGAGCTGGGATTCGAGTTAATATGAAAATGATCGCTTGATCGACGTGTGTTTACAGGGAAACACAATAAGTACCTATCTACTGTTATAATGTGGACGCAAAGTATATAATAATGTCATTGTGCGATGATGTGGACGACAATTTTGCGTTTCCACGCTTATTTTGATGAATTTCCGCGGTTTTTACACAGAAATTTTATTTAAAAAGTATTTATTTATGTGACTAATTTAAAAGAATGAAAGTTTTAATGTTTTGCGATGCTTTTAAACAGTTTTCTATCCGTAATGGCCGCTGTAGGACCTAAAAATTGTATTTTTTTGCTAAAACTTTGTAATTGTTGCATTATTTTTGTAATTACACATAAACAACGCGATATAAAGTATTTTTGCTTTCATAAGTTAATTCTTTAATAAATTACCTATCAATTGACATATCAATCAATATTCTACGACTTTAAATAACAGAGTTATAACGTATCAAAACATTATTTCAATAAATTTTCAAAATGTTTGATTACACATGACACACGCAAAATGAAATGTTGGTTGCCTAACTATACAAACTTAGGTTAAATATGATACAGTTTTCTTAGTAAATCTATAGCACTGGACAAATTTGTTGTTAAACTGAAGATTTGGATGAAATGAAAAAAGCTGAAAATCATAGAATAGTTGCACGATGCACGGATTTCGTCACGAATTCATCGATATATCTCGCACGAAACGAAATCATGGCATTCGTGTGGCGCAACCTGAGGTCGCGGTCCGACAGCAAATCGTCGGTATAATATCATTGTGAATCGATTTGGTTGAGACCATGAAACGCATGAAACAACGGAGCGACGCGAAAGAATGGCCGACAGAAAAAGCGTCGACGAGAAGAGGAGCACATCCAGCGTCGATTTGTCGGTGATGAGTTTCTTCAGCATCCGCTCAAAAACGCACACGGTGCGCGCGCGCGCGAGAATACCGAACAAACCCGCAATCGCCGCAATCACAAACACAAAGGAATCGACTTGTGGTCGACCGGCGTCGATGTGTCGACAACTCGCTCGATGAGAAATCGAGAATGATCTAATTCAAACAATAAATTTCCTGAGCGGATGAATGAAAACCGAACATAATTCATCCGATAGCGATTGAGGAAATGTCCAAGTGTGTGTGTGTGTGTGTGTTGGGTGTAAAAACAATCGAAAAACGAAAATTGTTTTGTGGTATCATCATGGCGTGGCGCGGCCATGCTGACGCAACGCGTAATACGGAATTAATGAGCGTTTTGCCCGAAGAAAACGTGTAATTTTCTTCGTCGACTCAAATCTAAATAACTTCCAAGTCATTCCTGCTTGTACGCATACTTGTAGTCATCTAGTCATCCTGCAATTCATTCATAACGTTATTTTAACTATGTAAAGATTACGATTTGAATGTAAAAAACGTCGCTTCGGGGCATAACTTCAACATAACCTATTTCTACCTCCACTGAAAAACCAACACACACCAAGTTGTTAATGTTAATATGGGTTTTAAAATTCATTCAGGTTTTGTTTTTTCGAGGGTCAAATGTCGCCGGTGGAAATTAGAAATGCACGCCACACACACGGCACTGCACTTTGAACTTGAAACAAACCCACGGAAATTGTGAGTATAATTAAATTCATACATTCATCAGCGCCCTCTTGTGTTGTTAACAGGTTATAATTTAAAAACGCGTGTTTTCGTGAGAAAAACCGTTGAATCTGCCTGATGCCGAATTGCGCAAGTCAATTTCATTGCGATCGTGACTGAATCCGAACGCGATCGAATGTCTTGCGCGCACGAGAGTTCAAGAATCGTCCTGCGCCTCCTCCTGTGCTTCAATTTCATCACGCGTCCACCACGGTCATTTCTAATTTCGATTCTCTCCACAATTGGCATACGAGTGCGAAGTGCGAGGTAAACAATCGAACAACACACCATACTACAACGAACAATCAACAATATAAACGAGTACAACTCGAACACTATAAGGTACACAACTATTAGCATTTAGCAGAAACTGCTTTCATTACCTACATTGTTGCACGCTGATTGAAGAATTTAAGATTATAGATTGAAGCATCATCATCGTCTCGGATAGCAGCAGGTACTCGACATAATCGACGTCTGGTGCGCTATTGGGCGATCCGCGATGAGATTCTCGTGCGGTGTGCGGCGCGTAGGAAATAGAGGTGCAATTGTCGCGAGTAATGAGGTAGCCAGTGGAGATGCGCTCTAGTGGAGTGTGCAGAGCAATGGACTCGTTCCGTGCGCGGTCTGCGCGTGTTTCTTCTGGCGAGTCTTCAACCTGTCCGTGCTGTGGTTAGTTGGCAAGTGTATAACTTGAAAGGGTATTAAGGGAGCATTGTTTTCCTACAAAAATATACCAAACAATTAAATATTTTAATCTTTAACGAGTTAAATATGCAAAAAATGAATAATTTTAGTAAAAAAAGAAGAAATCTGTAGGAAATTTAACCAAACTTTGTATTGTTAGGCAACCAACATTTCCTTTTGCGTGTGTTCCGCTTGCATAACGTAAAGTTGTTGTTGTTTTCTTCTTCGCGTTTCTTGCTCTTCATCCACCTGTGCATGTTGTGTAGGTGCCTGCAAACGCACGCCGCACGCAAGAAGTCGACCGACTCCTCGAAGCATGGCGCGATCGTCAAGATTAGACGGTCTACTGACAATGCGTACGCATCGCACCCCGACCGATACTGATCTACAACTAGCGCGCACCTGTCGGGAGCGCGCACCGAGCGGAATGTCTAATTACCGCACGAAACAATAGAAACTCTCGTGCGCATTCAAGCTTAAATCTTAAGCGCGCTGCAAAAGAATAATTATCTTATAGACATCATAAAACTCTCCTATGTGTGTATACTATGTATACAGAATAAAGAATAGAGGATTTCGAATTAAAATTCATGGCGTCAAGTCGATTAACGTTTGTGTTGGGTTATAGGTATATGTTTATTATTTCGTAATTATGAGCTTATAAAAACGAGGGGAGCTAATCGCTCTTCGTATTCTTCCCCTTTGAATTACACTCGTTCACGAGGGCGTCGTGCATCTTCTTCACTGTGGATTCGACGATCTCGTCAACGATTCCGCCCTCTGTGTCGATAAATGCTGCCACTGACTTGGTGATGCTTTTTTCCAGGCGAATCTTTGATGATTTTGATATCAATGCTAACGTTAGTGTGTACATGTCATCGTATCTGCAAAGAAATATAAAAATTAAATTTTAAACTTAGTAATGGCGGCGTGTTATTTGGGTTGCCTACCGTAAACAACCAGAAATTAAAATAATCATATAAATTATAAATAAAATCTCGTCGGTTGATTTTTCATGTGAGATAATTAAATTTAAATTAATTTAATTTTAAGTTTAAATTCGAGTTAATTTAAAATCTTACTTTTTCAAATATGAGCTAGCTTCCCAAACATTCCTTTTTGTGTCTGTTTTCTGGATAGCAACAGCAAAAATCCCTTTCTCCAGATAAGTAGTGTACAATGTTAAAATTCCCATCATAATAAAGTATGATGTGACACAGAAAATCAAAATAGGTCTGAAAAATAGTATTTATGCATAAATAAGCAATTTTATCAAATAAAAATGATAAAATACATACTTTGACAGTGGGAATGGGTACAAGTAATCCCAGATCAATGCAAATCCAGCAACACCAACAGCAATACCACAGATAACAAGTCTGCCATCCATGAGGCGAAAAGATTCATTATAATTGAACTTTGTAGTTAATACCTAAAAGAAAATCACAAGTTAAAACTTTAAAAAGGTATAATTAAACAGTATTACTTCTTTGACAGCATCATCCAAAGCATTCTTCACTGCAGAACCATCCCATTTGTTGATTTTCAGAGGCTGGAATATAAAATTAATAGATTTCCCATTGACATAACCATGTTTTGTATAAAAATCGTACCTTTTCTTCGTCTTTCGGGTTGGTAGGATCTTTAGGAGCCATTTTCAAGCGTTAAACTTTATATTCAAATAGAAATTAAAATTTATTAACTAAGTTTTCTTGATTTAGTTGGAAAATATTGTTGAATACTGATGAAGACAATTCGACACGTCAGAAATTGTTTTCTTTCCACAACGTACACCGCAGCCCGGCGTTTTCGCTGACGTAGACGTTCCAGTTACGCTAGCTGTCACTGTGTGCCGCGCGTTACATCAAAACCTAATTTTTTCAAACGAAAACCACCCAAGAACACAAAATGGAAACTGGCGAACATGAAATGGCACCAGTCTCACTAAACTTCAATAAAACCCTGGATATATTAAAGAACAACATAAAAGCACGTCAATCATTGATGCAATCATATTGTAGCACGCGTGAACCCCCTTTAATCCTGAAACCAACTGGATGGGCCACTCTACCATCAAATATCCTCACAAAAATCTTCCAGTATGTCGATCGTCACCATCTTATTACCTATTGTACATTGGTGTGCAAGTTTTGGCGACGTGCAATCATGTGCGAGTGTTTTATCACTTCGCTTACAATCGCCAACAACGAAGCAAGCCTATCATTCGTCTACAACTTTCTACGAGAGTTTAAAACATTGCAAACACTCACTTTAATCAATGTGCCTGACATAGAAGTGATACTCATGCAGGCACACAAAGTCTGCTCGAATTTGAAGAAGATTTCACTTAAAAACTACAAATATATCTCTTACAATGTCATTGCATACATTAGCAGAGCATTCCCGAAACTGGAAGGATTAAATTTTGATTCTTCCAACTTGCATTGTCACAATATATCAACAGATATAGTTGTGTTTAAGAATTTAAAGAGTTTGAATCTTTTTAATGTCAAAGCAATGGGTTTAAGCACCCAAGCAATACTGGAAATTGTCCTCAACTGCACACAACTTGAAGAATTGAATATAGGACTATGTCCACCATTGGTAAACCTGCAGGATGACGATGTGATGATGGTGATTACGAATCTCGCCGCGAAATTAACATCATTATCGCTGGATTCGCGTCGATTGACAATGCGATCGCTACAAAAACTCCAAAATTGCAAACTGTTGCGTCGCATTTATATAAAGTACGGCGTTAATTTAACCGGCGACTTCTTATCGGAGTTCTGGACGAATTTCTACTCGATTGATGAGTTTGCCTTCACTCACAATTGTATCATCAGCGGTTATGATGTGAGCGCATTATTCCAGAATGGCGTAAATGTATTCATCGATTTGCGACTATTGGATCTGACTTATTGTGTCAAAGTATGCGATATTGGTATCGAGGCGATAGCGGCAATCTGCCGCAAACTACAAAAAATCATATTGAAATCATGCCGGAGTGTAACTAACATAACACCATTGTTCACGGAATGCGCAGAATTGCGATTTATTGATGTTTCATACTGCACAGCATTGCGAACAAACTTTACACTGCCGAAACAATTGGAGGTGTTGGTTATTGACGAGCGTAACGAGCTGATGTATTTTGTAGAAAAGTTTCGGACAATGAAATATTTAAAAATGTATCTGTCCACATCGGAATTTAATGACAGTTTGGAACCATTTTAGATAATAAATGAAAAGCGAGTGTGAATTGAAGAAATTACTTGATGTACATAATAAAATTGTATAATTTGCATGATTATTACGATGATGATGAAGTGCCAGCGGCCTCATCGCCTTCGGGTTCGCCTTTATCTTTGTTTGCGTCCAAAACCCACAAACCGGAATCCACCGCGCGTTTCATGTGATACTTTGCGTCCTCTTCGGGCAGATTTGCGATTGTTTCCTGTAGTAACTTCACGTCTTGACTCTCGAAGCATTTCTTCAACGCGTCTGGAAGTGTTTCAAACACTTCGACTGGATCTAATCCGCCTGGACCTAAACGTGCTTGTCGTTCTTCTTCTTCGGCTTCTTTGATTAACGTCTCCATCTTTTCGGCGGCGCGTCGCTTAATGCGGTTTTTGAATTGTTCCAGTTCGTCTTCGAATGACGCTTTGTATTCTGGTTCAGCAATTTGTATCTTTGAGAAGAACGCGTCTAGACAAGCTCGTGGATCGCAGCTGAGTTGTTTGGCCAGTTCGAGGATATACTGCATACAGATGACTTGATGCGCGACGTGATTCATCAGCTCCGTCTTGCTTTCCATTTGGAGATTTATGCACCAGATGACCAGGTAGTTGGCGGTGTCTTCGGAGACGAGATAATTGTGCGATTTCAGGTACGCTAGGGAATCGTCGTACCGTCGTAGCATGCCGTAGTGTTTGAGTTCTTTTTCGTGATCCTTGATGAATTTCTTCAGGCGGTTTTCACGTTCTTCTTCGGAGAGTTGTTCGTCCTTTGGGGCGGGCGGGCGCGTGTTGATTACGGTTTTGGCGAAGCCTGGTTTGCTGATAGTGTCCACATTCCATGGCATAATCTGAAATGTTTATATTATTAATAGTTTTTTTTAAACGATTTTTCTTAAAAATTTACCTTTTCTTTCTTATGTAATTCATCTTCTTCTTTTTTCAGCTTCTCATCTTCTTTCTGTAGCCTTTCAAGCTCTTTTTTCAACTCATCCATATTATCACCACCTGACTCAAGCTTCTTTTTAGCTTCCATGATTTTTTTCTCTTGTTCGGATTTGATTTGTTTCAGTTTTTCCACTTCCTTTTGATGCTGATCCATCCGTTCCACTCTGGCTTGATGTCTCCATCGAAAGAGTGAAGGTGTGTCAATGTTTGGATGTGTATCATCCTCATCATCTGAGATCTGCAATATTATCAACACATGTTATTTTAATAGAGCATACTTGTGCTATTTCTGAATGTAAATAAAATGCGAATGAAAGTGAAATTGAAACAAATGTTAGGGTTAAATTGCGGAATGTGTGCCGCAAATACACACCTCGATGTTTTTCCACTTGCTGTAATCAACCATGATGTAAATAACAATAATTTCTCTTAGGAATGACCTTTAAGACGCCGAAAATTGGTTATACGCCTTGGTCTTTTTCACTTTTGGAGGTTTTTGAATGCCGTTCGAGAATTTTCTACGTTCATTCAGTGCCGATAGTGCCGTCAAAATGTATACGCTGCACAATTGATTGCCTATAGTCGCATCCAAAACTGTCGTAACCTTAAAAACGCGTAAAACATTTTAGCAGTACCGCAAGGATGAATAAATAAATATTAGTTCTCAGTACATTTTTCTGCAATCTTAGACTTTATATCTTAAAATGGATGTTGGGGAGTTGTTAAACTACAAGGTGAGATAAGTTTAACATCGATTTTTTATACAACTCATTGCTTTACGAATGCTTAACATTGACATTTAAATTAAAATTTTGCGTTTGTTTCTCGTTTTGTTTATTATTCCACTAAATAAGTATTATAAATAGTACCATAATAATTTAATAATACAATATTAATTTAATCAAAGCCTTCGCAAGCTGTAAAACGACCTGGTGAAAACGACGAAGAAGATGACGATGACCGCCAGAAGAAGATGCGGCGTTTGGCACGTGCAAAAGCCAAAGAAATGACGCGTCGTTCATCGCCTACTCCCTCACTTGCAATCGACACCATCACCGAAGAAGAACGTGCCGAAATACTTCGATTTGTAGAAACGGAACACACAGAGGTAACATTTATTCGCTAATAAACTACAACTACCAACTATTCTAATCATATTTCATGTGACTTAGGGTGAAGCACTTGATGAAGCAGCTATAAAGAAAATCGTCCTCAATTTCGAAAAGCGAGCATTGAAAAATCGCGAAATGCGGATTAAATTCCCCGATTCCCCTGAGAAATTCATGGAAAGCGAATTGGAACTCCACGAAATCCTGCAGGAAATGCGCATATTAGCAACCGCCCCTGATTACTATCCACTCATAGTCAAACTTCAAGTCATTCCAAGTTTATTAGAACTTTTATCACATGATAACAGCGACGTAGCTGTTGGTAGTATCGAATTATTGCAAGAATTAACAGATGTTGATATTCTAAACGAATCAGATGAGGGAGCTGAGGCACTTGTTGACGCTCTGCTTGAACATCAAATAATTGCATTATTAGTGCAAAATTTAGACAGACTAGATGAAACTGTCAAAGAGGAAGCGGATGGGGTTCATAACAGTCTCGCCATTGTAGAGAATTTGACTGAATTACGCCCGGAAATCTGCGTAGATGCTGCCAAACAAGGATTACTCCAGTGGATATTGAAGAGGCTGAAGGTAAAAGGTCCATTTGATGCTAATAAACTATATGCTTGTGAAATGTTGTCCATTCTACTGCAAGATAACGATGTAAACCGATCTCTACTTGGAGATATTGACGGTATCGATGTTTTGTTACAACAGCTGGCTATTTACAAACGACATGATCCAACAAACGCCGAAGAGAATGAACTTATGCAGAATTTATTCAATTGTTTGTGTAGCGCGTTGATGTGCATCCCCAACAGAGACAAATTCCTCAAGGGTGAAGGTCTACAATTGATGAATTTAATGTTGAGAGAAAAGAAGACTTCGCGTAATGGTTCCCTGAAAGTATTAGATTATGCGGTGTCAGGGCCACATGGTAAAGATAACTGTAACAAATTCGTTGATATTTTGGGCTTGAGGACTTTGTTTCCCCTATTTATGAAAACACCAAAGAAAAATCGCAAGCGTGTGTTTTCTTCTGAAGAACACGAAGAACACGTTGCTTCGATTATTGCTTCTTTATTGAGAAATTGTAGAGGTGGGCAGAGGCAGCGATTGATTTCGAAGTTCACAGAGAATGATCATGAAAAGGTGGATAGATTGATGGAGTTGCATTTTAAGTACTTGGAGAAGGTGGAGACTATCGATGAACAATTGGATGAGAATATGGATGAGGATGAGAGTTATATAAAGCGGTTGGAAGGCGGTTTGTTTACATTGCAATTGGTTGATTATATTGTGTTGGAAGTGTCGAATGCAGGCCCGCCGAGCATTAAAGCAAGGGTGTTGCAGATTTTGAATTTAAGGAATGCGTCTGTGAAGACCATCAGGCATGTGATGAGGGAATACGCTGGGAATTTGGGGGATGAAGGTGAGAAGGAATGGAGGGATCAGGAGGAGCAGCATATTTTGAATCTTATTGATAAGTTTTGAATATGTGTTTGATTTTTCTTTGTTTTGATACTTTGTAATTCTAAATAGAAATAAAGATTAATTGCTATTTGGCAAAGTATAAAATGGAGTCTTACTTATATTTTGACGAATACGCTACGAAGGTAGCGGTAGATGTGACTCGATTCAGGGCACCGTACAAGGGTAGCGGTAGATGTGACTCGTGTTCAGGGCACCGTATGAAGTTAGCGGTAGAAGTGACTCGATTCAGGGCACCGTACAAGGGTAGCGGTAGAAGTGAGTCGTATTCATAAAATATAAATTGTTTTTGGACATTTTAGCTCAGGAAATTGAATTATTTTATATTTTTACCTAATAGAGAATTTTCTAAGCTTTCATATTCTTCAACCCCTTCATCTGTATTGCTTTTAGTTTACGAGGTATTTGGAATTGAAAGTAATTGGCAAAAATTGAAAAATTTCACTTTTTAGTACTTTTAGCACTTTTTTAAATTATAGTTCACTAGCATGAACTAAAAATCATAAAATAGAATTGTATTAGTTTTGAAGACAGTTCAATTATCAGCGTTTGTGTATAAGGCACTTTTTTTATCGCATTTTGTTTAATTCTTATTGCAGGTACCGCGTCTATTGCAATTCGCGCACAAGGTCGCAGGCTATCGACGCGCTGCCGGCTTTGCGCATCTATTGCTGTTACTTTGCGGAGCTCATGCAGCAGGTGCAGTCTTATTGTGAATTGTCGCATCGTAAATTATATTTAGAGATGGCACTAGCATGAACTAATAATCATAAAATAGAATTGTATTCGTTTTGAATCATATCAGCGTTTGTGTATAAACCACTGTCTTATCACATTCGCCGTGTGAGATGCTACGTGTATGATTCTCGCCGCTCAGTTGCATGCAGCACATTTTAGTTTAGTTCTGATAACATGTACCGTGTCTATTGCAATTTGTGCACATGGTCACGCACGTGCAATCGACGCGCCGCCGGCTTTGCGCATCTATTGCAATTCGCGCACAAGGTCGCGTGGTATCGACGCGCTGGCTTTGCGCATCTATTGCTTTTACCTGCCGGGTTTATGCAGCAGGCACAGAGTCTTATTGTGAATTGTCGCATTCTTGCGTGCGCAGTTTCGGCATGCTATTGATGGATTGCAACTAGTTTCGTGCCGGTCTCTGGCGTATCCAGACGTGTATCGCGCAACGCGTGTCGTTTTATCGGATTTTTATTTTATAAGTTTGCATTATATTCGGTCATAAATCGACTTAGTTGTAATATGCATCTGCAGTGTTTTGCTAATTGTGCGTTTGATGTTTATATTTTAAATTACAATGCTGCGGTTTTAATGTCGGTTATTGTGTGACGTGGTCAGTCGCTAGATCAACCGGAAACATATTCGTACTCGTAAGTAATTTTTATCTGACCATTGCCATTCTCAGAAAGTTTGTTTTCCATTGTATGAAATGTTTTTGTTTTAATTTTTGTATTGAATTGTTGAGGCACTTACATGATGAAACTCTATAATTATCGTAAAATAAAAAGATTTATCGTTTTTAAGAGGGGTTTTGTTGATTTAGTTGAGTCTTATTCGGTGTACTGCAGCGATACTGTAGCGGTGGCGATAGAAGTGACTCGTGTTTAGGGCACCGTATGAGGTTGCCGGTAAAAGTGACTCACATTCAGGGTACCGTACGAGGGCAGCGGTACAAGTGACTTGTGTTCGGACACCTTATGACGATGAATGCATAGCTGACTCTCGCCCATTTTTTTTTAAAATTAATTTCCGCTTCAGATTTCCGCTTTAACTAGCTTATAGAGAATTTTCCGTAGATTAAGGCACCGAGATTTGTTCCTATTTGTTCCTTCTAGTTTACGAAATATTCACAATAAAAGAAAATAGGCAAATATAGAAAAATGTCACTTTTTAGTACTTTTAGTCGCGTTTTTCGACCTGTTACTGTAGCAAATATAATTATTTTATATTTTTCTCTGATAGAGAATCTTCCAATCTTTCATAATCAACAATTCGTTGGTAGCTATCTCTTTTAGTTTAAGAGATATTAATTATCAAAAATCGTCGAAAAAAAAGTATCAAGCACCCCCCCTGGCAATTTTTTCTTAAGACTTAAAATTTCATCTTTCAGATTTCCCTTTTAACTATCCTATCTGATAGAGATTGGTCGGTAGATTAAGACGCTGCGATCAGATCCTATTTATCTCTTTTAGTTTACGAGATATTTGCGATTGAATAAAATGGGCAAAAATTGATAAATGTCACTTTTTAGCACTTTTAGTCGCGTTTTTCGACCTGTTACTGTAGCAAATATAATTATTTTATACTTTCCTCTGATAGAGAATCTTCCAATCTTTCATAATCAACAATTCGTTGGTAGCTATCTCTTTTAGTTTAAGAGATATGAATTTTTGAAAATCGTCGAAAAAAAGTATCAAGCACCCCCCCCTTCCCTTTTAACTATCCTATCTGATAGAGATTGGTCCGTAGATTAAGACACTGCGATCAGATCCTATGTATCTCTTTTAGTTTACGAGATATTTGCGATTGAAAAAAATGGGCAAAAATTGAAAAATGTTACTTTTAAGCACTTTTAGTCGCGTTTTTCGACCTTTTACTATTGAAAATTAAATAATTTTAAATTCCTAGCTAATAGAGAATTTTCAAACTTTCATAATCATCAATCCGTTTGCCGCAAGCGCTATTCATTTAAAAGATATTTGAGCCGCTTATTTTGAAAGTGGCCTAACTCCATTTATCTTCAAATCGAGATATTGAAAGTTTTGCGTTTCAATGAATTTAAAAATATACGTATAAGATACAAAGGAGTCATACTGCTTAAGCATATCTTAGGATGTTAAATTTAAAGTTCCTGTTAAAATAGTGGCAATTATTAAGTAAATAACGTGCGTTTCCTTATCAAGAATGGAGTTGGGCCACTTTCAAAATTAACAGCCAGATTCATTATAAAATTTGAAGATGCCCAAGTCCATTCAACATAATTTAAGATGTTTCAAATTGAAGAAAAAAAACGTTTTCGTTTCACAGACAGCTTCGTGAAGTAATACATTTTGTTTGTTAAAATCTGCCAAACCCCATAACTTCTCAAAAATATTCTTTCTTTCTTCTTCATTATAATTTTTTGTGCACGCATTCCGACAACCACAATCTTTGTTTTCGAAATTTTTTTCATGAATAATACTTCCGGTTTAACTGCAATATCTTTTTCCTGAATTCCGCTTTATCTTTCGCACTTTTTGGATATATGGTGCATCAATCTTTTCTCCATTGTTATTTGAATCTTCATCCTCTGACGAGGAATATTGTTTTATAACTCTTTTTCTTATTCGCTTTTTTTTATTAATTACTATTTCTTTTTCACTATCTGAACTAAGTGGTCTTCTTCGGTTCTTCCTCATGGGTGCAATAATTTCTATAATTTAATCTTAAATTTTAAGTTTTATATTAATTAAACGTACAGGTTAATTAACTAACGCAATTGTCCCAAAAATGAGGTGGACTTGTAAATACTAATTAATTGAAATTACCTTCATCGCTGCTTTCCGACATTATCAATACTACTATAGTAAATACCTTGATGTAACTATAAATGGAGTTAGGCCACTTTCAAACCACACGGGTCAGTTATTCAATTAATTCGGAAAACCTATGTGTAAAAAATGTACCGTATTTTCTCTGAATATAAGCAATCTGAAGTGCGTCACTGATAAATAACATGAAGTTGTACATGTAACCATGGTAACCGGCAAAAAATTGAAAAACGGAGTTAGGTCACTTTCAAAATAAACGGCTCATTTGTTACAAACAATTCTCAAAAAAAATGACGCAGCATATAAGGTATACAGTTAACTACATATACAATAAATTATTTATATATAATATAATGGAAAATTAAATTCCTGTTTTGTCTCAATCTTAAGACATCCCAAAGTCAATAAATTCCTTTCTTATGCCGATAAATATTGAAGGTAAAAGTCGATTTCGTGTATGTCGGTTATTTCAGCATTGTGAAATTTTAGTTTTGTCTTCTCAACTACGTGTTTATCAGTACGTTTGTGTATAAACAACTTTTTTGTTCGAGTGACGCGTGATATCACTGCATACCTGCCTTGTACCCGACTACGCGCAGCGCACACGGCAGTCGTTTCACCGCGTGGTCCGCGAACATGTGTCTCTAATCGCCATGTGTTTTGAGGTTTTAATTGGATTAATCGTCGTGTAATTTTCCGACCATCAGCAAAATATTCGCAATGGGCATCTGTGCCTATTCTGTTTAATGATTTGTGGCGGTTAGAGTCTCTTTAAATAAGAAATAAGTGTCTATTAATCAGTGCGTGCGTTTTCAGTTGATAGAATATATTCCAGGACATAAAATCCCCTCATCAATGCATAGGTAGGTGCGTAATTAAATTTGTTTACGGAATGTTACGCCGGTTCAACTTCAATTGATTATCCTATTTGAGTGATATGAAATTTGCATGCATCATCTTGCAAATTACACATGGTAGCATTTTTATCAGAATTCTTAGTCCCGTTTCCGAGAATAGCATGCATGGTTTATTTATTACAAACACGGATTTAAAAAATAATCTGAGGATTATTAAAATGACAATATTTATGCGGTCGACCACGCTACTTTGCCGTCGGCCGTTTCTTGTTATAACTCGTGAAAGCGGTCTCAAACTTAGTTCGGAATAATTTTCCTAGATGCGGAATTTAATTTTTATTTCTCTGTATCGAAATTTATTGCGAGAAAATTCCGTAACGCGAGTTATATTGATAGTTGTGTGTATACGCACTTGTACTTGTACTCGTTGCGCTAGGAATTGTAGTTTTCTTGTTATCACTCGCGAACGCGGTCTCAAACTTAGTTCGGAATAATTATACCAGATGCGGAATTTAATTCTTTATTTCCCTGTATTGAGACTTATTGCCAGAAAATTCCGTAACGCGAGTTATAATGATAGTTGTGTGTATACGCATTTGTACTCGTTGCGCTAGAAATTGCAGTTTTATTGTTATAACTCGCGAACGCGGTCTCAAATATAGTTCGGAATAATTTTCCCAGATGCGGAATTTAATTCTTTATTTCCCTGTATTAAAACGTTTTGCAAGAAAATTCCGTAACGCGAGTTATAATAGGAATTGCAGTTTTATTGTTATAACTCGCGAACGCGGTCTCAAACTTAGTTCGGAATAATTTTTCCAGATGCGGAATTTAATTCTTTATTTCCCGGTATCGCAATTTATTGCGAGAAAATTCCGTAACGCGAGTTATAATGATAGTTGTGTGTATACGCACTTGTACTCGTGTACTCGTACTCGTACACTTGCACTCGTGTATGTCGGTTGTTTCAACATTGTGAAATTTTAGTTTGGTTTTCTCAACTACGGGCTTATCACTACGTTTGTTATAAACAACTTTTTTGTTCGACTGACGCGTATTATCGCGACGTACCTGCCTTGTACCTGGCAACGCGCAGCGCACACGGCAGTCGTTACACCGCGTGGTCCGCAGTCGTGTTCTTCTAATCGCCACGCGTTTTGAGGTTTTAATTGGGTTAATCGACGTGTATTCTTTCGGCCATCAGCAAAATATTCGGGACAGGCATGTGCGGCTGTTTGGTTTAATGATTTGTCGCGGTTAGAGTCTTCTTAACTCAGATATAAGTGTTTGTTTATCCCTACGCGAGTTTTTAGTTGGTAGAATATATTACAGGATATAGAATTTCCTCATCAATGCAAAGGTACGTGTGTAATAAATTTTTTTCAGGGAAACTTAAGGCGGTGTAACTAAAATTGATTATTCCATTTGAGGAATATTAATTTTGCTTGTATTATCTTGCAAATTACAAACACGTGGTTCCATTCCTATCAGAATTATTAGTCCCGTTTCCGAAAATAACATGCATGATTTAATTATTACAAAGACAGTTTTAAAAATTATCTGTGGATTATTAAAAGACAATATTCATGTGGTCGACCGCGCTCAGTTTGCCGTCGGCCGTCGGCTCGGTCATCCTTTCGCTGAACACGTGAACGTTTTTAATCGAATTGCACTTGTTAGCATCATTAAATTAAGAAGTCTTTTGTTGACGTAATAAAATCTTGTACGGTGAATAGTTCTTCGTTTTCGTAGTCTTCCTATATCTTAATATTTACAAAGAATTAGTTATTTTTATCGTATTTAACGGCAGTAATGCCACGCGCCGTCGCTTGCCGTCTGTTGATTTAGATGTTTTCCATCGGATATTCTATCAATTTATGATGATGCTTCACCCGTCGGTTTAATTCATTAATAAATATATATTCACAATATATTAAAATATAATTGTTTTCTTTTCTAGCATCTGTGTAGTTTCGAAAATTTTCTTTTTGTAACACCCTGTATATTTGTTTTCCTAACCGCACGTAGAAGATTGTCTTTATTTCTGAGTTTTGAATGTTCATTATTTTGAACTTGGGATTTTCTTTCTGGTACACCCTGTATATTAGTTTTCTTTTGTGTCCGTGAAAATTTTGCTTCAACTGTTGTTTTTAGGATTTTCTTTTTTGCACTTTGAATTTTCTTTCTAAAACACCCGGTATATTAGTTTCCCTGATTGTCTAGAGAAAACGCTGTTTGGGTTGTAAATTTTCTTTTTGTAACACCCTGTATATTTGTTTTCATTTTCAATCACATAGAAAATAGGCTATTTTGTTAATTTCATTATCCCGGTAGAACTTTACAAAGTAGTACTTGTTTGCACGTGCGCGGCTATGCAGTTCGTAAGTCCTGCTTCAATATGGCGGCACGTATTCTGTTGACTTGTAAAATATAAACTTGTATTCTATTGTTAATAAATAAATAGTAAGATATATTTACTTCTTTGATTTATGCATACCCGTTCTATCATTACAGGCACAGGTCTCTAAGAGAGTTCACTCTCTCGGAGGATGATCCCACAATAAAAATTGTTAAGGTACTAAACTTGTATTATATTACATTGTGTTTATTAATAAAGAAATGTTAAGAAATAGTATCTCTTATGCGTTGAATGTACCCCTTCTATCATTTCAGGTACAGGTCTCTAAGAGAATTCCCTCTCTCAGGGATGATCCCTCTATAAAAATTGTTAAGGTAACCTGTATGATTTGTGTACTCCTTCTTTCATTTCAGGTAGAGGTCAGAACTTGTAAGAATATTTTTAAGTGTCACCTCTCTTGAGACGACTTAAAACTTAGAAATATTTTTTACAAGATTGTCCTTATAAGGAGTTCCCCTCTCTGGGGTGATCCCCACCATAAAAATTGTTGATATGCCTGATAATTCCGGGGATGAAGCGCAGAGACATCGTAGCTGTAGGTTGGGCCGGGAGCAATGGACGGAAGCAGTGGGCGATCGACCAGAGCGCCGGAGGCGCTGGGAGATCGACCGTAGACTGTCTTATAACGACACGTGCCAAAAAATTTAAAAATTCCGTCACCCCTATTCTCTCTTTCTTCTATCTCCTCCTCTTCTCTACTCTGTTCTCTTCCTTCTGTCTCTACTCTTCTCTGCTACTCCTTGTTCTTCTTCTATTTCTCTGTTCCCGCTCCTCCACTTGCTTTCATATTTCTCATATTGCATTCACTTGTATTTCAATTTCTCTTATATTTCGTTGCAATTCATATATGCAACCCAAATTTCACCTGATATTTTTATATTTGAGAAAAATGCCTTCTGTACCTGAGACTCGAACCGTGTCTGCTGGCATGCCAACAGGTGCTCGTCTCCACTCGACCACCGAGTGTTTTTATTATTGATATTTGATTCTTCTATTTATGTTTTTACTTTATTCAACGTTTTAAAAACAACAACACATCATTTATATGTTGTACACGCTCGACGCACTTATGATTTATATGGAATATGATTTAAGACATAAATCCTGCAAACGGCAATGGGGAAACCAGAAAAAAATATGAAGAGGTATATAATATTACATTATATTTTATTAACAACGTTAAAAATTACATACATTTTTTTAAAAATCGTAAATCATCGACGGGCTCTTGAATCTTCTTCCGACGGCCGACGGCCGACGGAACACGCGCATAGGTGAACCGCCGATAACTCGGCGATTGATGAACATTCAACGCATCCTATATCGCTAGCAAAACCACATTCACATCCAATTTCAGTAAATGCCGTCAATTGTTAATTGAACATTCCGCAATTTATCTAATTATAATTTGAAGAAATAAAACTAGTCGCAATGAAAACGCGCGACTCACTCGACAACCGAAATGGAACTACGTACGCCTGGAGTTGCACACAGCCGACAGCAACTGCACGAGGTCACTATCGCTGTTTGAGATAAAAACTTGTTTACATACATTCATATTCGTGTACACTAGCCCACCTAAGAATACTTTACAATACTGCAACAAAATATGTATTACTTCATACAAACAAACTTAAAATAAAATGAAAGAATGTACTTGTTCAAACAATTAAATTCATTTAGTTAATAAATAAGCATTGGTAAAACAATAAATTCCAGTTTTAAAGTTGGCTTATCAGATTTTGTTTGTCATGGAAACAAAAAATCTAATTAACCACATAAATACAATTTGATGTCTCATAGTTACAGCAAGTTAGACAATTATAACGAAAAAATACACGAACAAAATGAAGATTATAGTTATAATAACAATATTTTGCAGTATTTTTAATATAATCCAATCAAACCTGGTATAATATTAAGTGTAACGACAATTTTGCATATTTTTACTTTAAATATATTAATTTCAGCGTGAACAACGAGCGACTTGCAAACCGTCAGTTGATATTAAATGGTAAACAAAATCTTTACTATTAATTCCACATACAATTTTCTTTTACATTTAATAGTGATAAGAAAGCCAATAAACGATTCACGTACTACGTTTATCATCAACTTGCTGATGTAAAGCCAGGATGTGTTGGTAACAATATAATAAATGCCGAATGGACCTTAACTTCGTTACATTCAAAGCAAACGGTGTTCACGCATCGCGAAGATCCAAAAACTACAACTACCGAAATTACTGTTACTCTTCCAGCACGAATTGCACCACCGGGAAATTATATCTTACAATTGCATGCTGTAGAAAAGGGTGGAGGAACAACAATTGCACAAGTTTGCCGCAAATTACATAAATTTTATTTCTCTTGTAATTTGTATTGTGTTTAAGTGTCCGATAAATTACATATCGGAACCTCCCGTGATAATATTCAAACAAGGACACTTACAATACGTTCTAACCGGTCTTGCGTACACGGTGGACATAACAGATTCACGCTTTCATTTCAAAAGAGAACCAAAAATAAACTGGAGTATTAGGTGCGTATACAAGAAAGAAACTAAAGAAATATGCATGAAGCAAATTAAATGTCAAGATGCTGCTCCAATGAAAGGTCTAAAATCTAAATAATTACATAAATTACACCAATATTTGTAAACATAATTCATAGGTCTTAAATTTATTGGGATTATGAATCCATGCTTCGATGATTTGCAATTTACCGCGATGGTAAGACACGATCAAGGAGAAGTTTCCGCGACACATTATGTCACACCTCGGAAAATATTCAGCTGTAAAGTTGATATAAGCTGTGAAAAAAACTGTGATAAAGGTGGTTCTTAAATGTCCAATCCGACACTTAACGTTGTCTTGAAGTTAAAACCTTCAAACGCTAATTGTTTGGGTTTTAATAGTTGGAGACCCAAATGGATTGTTCAAGGATCACAAAGTACTAAACAGTAATTAAATACATCTATTTTAATAATTCTTATAAATTATTTTAGAAATACCTGCAGATAAGTTAGAAATAATCAACGAAAATAAGCGAATGATTATTCCAAAAAATTCTATGAAGTATTCCGACTCTGTTGCTGTGGTAGCGACTGTAAAAGACAATTTTGAATCGTGGTTCAGAATTAAAACCATTCCGAAAATAGTAAAACCCGATTGTAAAATCACGCCGTCGAGTGGTATCAGTTTAAAGACAAAGTTTCTAGTGTCTTGTACCGCTAAAGACCAACATTTGGATACATTTGGACCATATTATACTGTTTATCAAATAGTAAATGGAAAAAGTACAAAAATATGCATTTTTATATTTTTAAAATCATTAATTTTTCATTTTACTTTTTTTATTAGATAATTTAGTGGTGTCAACTGCGGATCAACACTTTCAAGTGTTACTCTCTTCAATCAAAGGGCAACCTTCACAAACATTAGTAATAGAAGGCCGAGATATTTTTCACAATTCTTTCGAGTGTAACGTCAATCCAATCACGGTACAAATTTCATATTTTATGTTAGAAATTTTAATTTCTATTAAATTTAATTCAAGATTAGAAAAGCTGATCTTTCAAAAAAGAAGATAGAAGAAGACTTGAAAACTTTGAACGAGTTAAGTAAAGAAGGGAATCCCATTGGGCCGCAATATGCGGCTGCTTTACTGAACGAAGTGAATCAACAAGCTGTTGGTAAAGATATTGAAAAAATGGTGAAAGCAAACATTATGAAGTCAATGAACGAAGTAATATTATTTATTACTATAATTTTGTTAAAAATATAAATTTTATGCTCATGTTATTAGGTTGACATTCAAGCAATGTCCACTTACGAACAAATCTCGAGCATAACATCAAGATTTGTAGATGTTGGTCAGGTAGATACAAAGTATAAAGAAAACTTGGCTAATCTTTGTAAACGAATGGGGAGTATACATTTAAAAGAACTACACAAAAATGTCTATGCTAAATATGAGGAGACAACTGCTAAAGCACAAGCCCAGTAAGTTTAGCTGTGGTTATTTATTTTTCAGGGTTGCCAACATTTCAAATTACTCCCGGTTACCATATGAATATTGAATTCTCTTTATATAACTATCAAAACTCCTCATTTTTATTCTACTTCTTAGATTAAATGCTGATTGCGGTGAAAAACTCCTTGAAGAAACCATAGAAGAAGAAAAAGTCGAAACCACTACAATGCCTGATGTAGAGCCGGTGATCAAAGAAGATTACCCTGATTATGAAATGCCTTTTGGCAACCCTGCCATAGATGCTATCAAAACTAGCGGTCTAGATATCATAACAGAAAGTTCCAAAGCAATAGCAACCACACTCAGCGGAGGTGAACAGTATCTTCAAACAACCAACACAACTCAATCATTGATTGCAGTTGAAGAAGGGAAATATATGGCATCTAAACCAATGGAAATCGGCACCATATCCGTTCTCCCATCAAAGCAATTTAAAGACGAAGGAGAAAATTTAATCACTGCTATTATCAGCAATTATGATAAGGACATGCTAACACCAAGTAGCGATCTATCATCAAACATCGTAGAAGTAAACTTTTTTAAGGACTCTAAGAAAATGTCCGGAACAAGTTACAATATACAATTTCCCATTTTAAATGAGAGTGTACCATATGACAGTTATAAAGTGAAAGCACCCAAAGCAGATGATGAATTTTTACAAATTGATAGGAAAATGAACGTGCACAGGCTGAGTTTATACGCTTTGGAGACATGTTTAATAAGGTTTAAGATAGAGAAACATGTCAAACTCAGGGTAATTACACATAATTTAAAACATACACTATATTATAGAATTGTTGTTATCACAGGTAGCTCTAAGTGTTAACCAACGCCCGAGAAATCATCATTTTACTAATAAACCATCGAAATTTACTGTTGATGGAAGCAAAACTAGTAGCTGGACAATTGAAAATCCTTACCCTAGATCTGAAACCGACACCTTGTTTTATGTGGCTGTGATACCACATACTGATATGTTACATGTAAGTTTTAAAGATAAAACATTAACATAATCAACTTTAATACAATTTTTTCTACGTTCACTTTTAAAATGCCACTTTTTCCACGGTTCAGAAACACAAAAAGTGGTACTTTAATCATGTACGGTCAAGACCGTGACTAAAGTACTTTAGTCACAGGCTTTAATCAAGAAACCTTACATTTTCCAGTAGTGTGAAAACAAATTTCAAAATTTAAAAAATAAAAAATTCAAATATAAAAACTAAACGTGGATTTTCAGTGGAAGTGGAAAAAACATAAACATAACGCCGTTAAACGTTACTAAAGAGCCGTTTAGCGCACTTGATACTTAATTTACTATTATAGGATAATCCTGCTGATATGATTCCGTATGAAGTACAATTCACACAAATCGCATGCGTTACCTACAGCAGATCAAAACATAAATGGGTACCAACTGCAGGATGCAATGTATGTTAAAATCTCAGCAAAAAAACTAAATTTAAATTAATAATTAAATTCATATAAACAGGTTAAAGTAACCGGAGGTGATAATGACTCTTTGGTACATTGTATCTGTTCAACAACGTCCCTACACAGTGTTTTCTTTAAACCTATCCCAAATCGCCTCGAAATCCAAATGGATATTGAATACGTCATCGCAGACTTTGTCAACTATATAATATTTATTCACGTGATCGTTGTCCTCATTGCTTATGCAATAGCTTTGGCTTTGAGTATCAAGCGTCAACCGAAAATATTTGGACGTGATAAAATCTTCTTCCTTTCCGATAATCTAAAAAATGACCGGTTTTGCTACATGCTGGTTGTACGCACAGGATCCTTGGCATCTGCAGGCACAACGTCGAATATAATGGCGCAGATTACCGGTACGAAAGGAAAATCCAAACCGCATGTATTAAACTATCCTGATCCAGGATGTTTACTATTACAACGTGATAGTATTGACTGGATGATACTGACAAATGCAACACACCTCGGTGATTTGGAGTCTATTTTATTATGGACTGATGGAATCGGCTTGTACCCCGAATGGTTCTGTCAAGATATTACCATTTTTGATTTACAAAAACAAACACCATATCAGTTTAAAGTCAACACTTGGATATCACCCTTAGAAAAACATTCATATTACATAAGAGTAAATGTTACTCCAGACACAGGAGAAAAAACTAAAGAAAAAGTTAATTTAGTCAAACATTTGAGGTTTCATTACCTCGGAAGGCACACATGGAATATTTTTGTGAAAGACGATGAAGAATTGACTTATCCAGAGAGATTAACAGTGATTCTAAGCATGATTTATACAACTTATACCGTGGTGATTTGGTTACTTCGACCGCCTAGTCTTTCACGAGCGGATTCCTTTGGTTATGGATCATTGCGAGTTTACACTGAAATATTTTGCTTCGTGCTTGCAAGCAGTGTAATATCTAGTGCCATTCACCTAACTATTGTTTATTTCCTACGAAATAGTAAACGAAGTGAATTGTCTGTGGCTTTGGTTGTTGCAATCAAAAGATTCCCGTTCAAAACACGAAAAGTCATAAGATATACTCTAATTGGATGGATTATATTCTGCTTGGCTTATTTGATAATCTTTGGTTTTTGGATGCCATATAAATCAGCATATTTATGGATAATTATTACTTTTCTCTCAATTTTGATGTCGATCATCGTCTGGGAAAATGTATTTATCATTGCTGTTGATATTATAACCTCACATGTTGGCTATGTAAGTCTAAATAGGTTATAATCACATTAATTCACTTGTAAAACTTTTCAGGTGGAAAAATTAGTGTATCGGTTTGATGCAATTGTGATTGAAATCGAACGACAGCGAAAAGTACTCTTTAAAAAGTTTGGAGAAGTGTTGATGCGGCCATATTTCAGGAAACATTACCGGCTGCTAACACCCAATGAATTATTCGTAAATTTTTTTAAATTATTTTACTTTGGGTGAGATTAATTCAATTTTTTAGAATTTACGGCAAACAATTAAGACAAGACTTGAAGTTGCTAGTTTATTCAAAGACATGTGTCTATTTCTTCTTTTCATCGCGATTCTTTATTTGATTTGCATAGTTCAATACGATTCTGTTATCCATCGAAGCAACAGAATGATGCATCGAATGGTCGAGGAGAGTATTTACAGCGACAGAACACATTTATTAGACAACATTGAAAAAATCGAAGAGTAAGTTAACTTAACTTCAAATTTAAAAAAACTAAAAACGAATCAATAATAATTATTTAAGTGTGTATGATTATTTGGAACACGTTATAATACCATTAATCCACCCAACAAAATGGTACGGCAAATGGTACGCGTCTGATGCTGGCCTTTTAGCGGATTTCGCAACAAGAATTTTGGGTGTTGTTCAATTACGACAACAACGCCGTCAACAAAAATGTACTGTACCTGATCCTCTTCAAGTATTGCAAATTCCATGCACTAATGATGCACCAATTTTTGATAAATGGGATCATTATAACGGATCAGACATAACCTCAACAATAGGTAAGCTATTTTAAAACCTCCGCCATTTTGTAACGCGTTATATTCATTATACACAGGACATTATAAAATGTATGACGGAAGTGGCTACATTGCATACCTCGGAAGAACATTAAAAAACTCGAAATTTATCCTTGAAATTCTCCGCGAACACAAATGGATAGACATAAACACAGCCGTGTTGTTTATAGATTTTCTCACCTACAACGCGAATCTAAACATGTTCAATGGCGTTCGCATAATAATCGAGCGATCACCAAGCGGACGATATCGCAAATCAAGCCAAATCTTCACCACATCACTGATTTACACCGACATTTTCTTAGAACTATTGACCGCGTTTCTTTTAATTCTACTCACCATTGTTATTGTAATAATGCTGCTCAAGCGGCTGGTGCAGATTCTGGTCTTCAAAGGAAAATACTTCAATAACTTCTGGAATCTTCTCGATGTTACCTTATCCATTCTCAGTGTGCTTCTCATAACATTGTTTTTCATGCGTAGACAATACACCGCTGATCTGTTAAAAACTATTGTTGAGACTGACCACAACAGATTCGTTAATTATTACCATTTAATAACACTTTCGGAGGCAACCACGATTATTTATGGCATTACACTATCACTAGCGACTTTACGATTATGGAAGTTCTTACACTTTGGTGTTTTGTTTCGAATCATGGAACGTGCTATCTTACAAGCTGGCCCGCACTTATTAGGAATGTTTCTGTATCAAATTATTGTCTATCTTATGATGGTCAGTTTTATTTACCCGATATTTGGAGAGAATATGCACGAATTTAGAGATTATTACAGCGCGCTAGTGACGTTGTACCTCGCGTCAATAAACTTCACTGAACACTTGCCGAATCTCTACACTAGCATGAACACGAGTTTACTCTACCTGATATATTCGTTTTATCTGGTGCTATCTGTGTGTTTCTTGAACTTGTATGCGACAACACTGATAATCAGCTTGGAAGAGAGTCGAATTTATTATTCAAACGGCACCCATTTATATTCAATTCACACTTATGTCTTGGATGTATTTTATTTCTACAAAGAGAAACTCAGAAGGCATTTGGAAGGTACCAGATTAAAGGGTGGTGCATCCTGGGAAAACTTTCAAGTTGATGTTGATAGATTAGTATATCCCAAAGGAGAGGAACATCGATATGCAGATATTATATCGATGAATAAACGCAAAATGAACTTAATGAGAACCATAGCCATAGTGGCTATAAAAAATATGACTAAATATGGCCGCCAAAATAAAGAACCTACAGAACAGGACCTATATTTAATGGCACAGATCGTTGTCAATTTAATTAAGACACAGGATGATCAAAAGGAGAAATTTGCGCATATTTTCTTCAAAGGTTTTGATCCTACAACTGGAAAGTGTACGTTTGTACCGGATACAAAGCTACTGCAGATGGAAATGATTGTTAAAAAATTGTTAGAAGGTAAAGTAGAAGAGATAAAAATCGAACAAGATTTGTTAGATCTAGTAATTCATCAAAGTGGAGATGGAGCGAGATTAACATACATCAACAAATGTCTTGAATTGATAAATCGCACAATTAATCATATTATTGTCGTGGAAGACAAGAGAAAAATACGAGAGATTCAAAGTATTTCGAAAACAAAACCAGAATTGAAAGATGAATTATATGAAGATGATAATGATGATGTTGTTGCAACTAAAGAAGCAACAACTCAAAGTGAACAGAAATGACAGACGGCCATTTTGTAAACGGACGCAAACATGTTTAATAATTAAAATACTTTTAATCTCAAGCTTATGCTATGAAAATAAGTTAATATTCGGGCCCCAAATTTTAATATCACTATCATCACCAGCGCTCACCACTGTTTTCAGGTCGGAACTCATGTCCAATGATAAAATAGCACCTGTTTAAGAAAATCGTTACAAATCATGCAGAATTATTAAGAAAATCACTTTACCTCTATGCGCTTGCACCTCCATCAACATCCTCACAGCATTTATATCCCACACATATAATTTCCCATCAGCAGATCCTAACAACAAAATAAATTCTCTCCATTTTAAGCAGTTCAATGCCGCATTAAAACTTTTCTTATACACCGGCATTCCTGTGTTGATATCCAAAACTTGAAAAGTTTTATCCGCACTGCAACTGATGAGTTTCTGCCCATCGGGGCTGTAACTGATCGCAGTGACCTTGGCCGAGTGCATGTGATATTTGCGCTCTAATGTGCGTTCATTGGCTTGCCAAATGTAAATCTCACCGTCTTCGGTACCTACGGCTAAGTGATCGTCCATCGGATGAAAAGCAACGCATTTTACATGAGAATTGTGGTCAAACGTGTGCGAATGATACTGAATTGGTTTGATGACGCCGTTGAGATTAGAACCGTTCCATACGCACACCGTGCAATCCCCACTACCGGAAACTACATCGAGTGAATTAGGTTTTGAGTTGTAGGCTAGGCACAAAATGGCGTCGTCGTGTCCGGTGACAGTTTGGATTACTTTACCAAAATCCAAATCGTATAAGATTCTAATTGAAGAAAAATTTATTACAAACAACTAATTAATACAAAATATTTAATAAAACTTACATTTCGTTGCCGTATGTACCAATAACTAGTGTATTACTATTAGGGATTTTTAGGCAACAACTTAGTGGCATGTTACCCAGGCTGGCACTACGCACTTGTCGGTTTTGTTTGAGCGAAAACACCTTCATTTTGAAGTCGTATCCAACCGATATCACTTTTTCATTGTCCTCGGTAATAAAAACGCATGTAACTTTATCTTTATGAGATGAAAACGTAGATTTTAATTCCAATTGCTTTGATTGTTTCCAAATATCCGCAACTAAAATTAATTTTACTAATATTATAGGCTACACAAATTAAAAGTTAACTTACTGTTCATTTCTACTTGAATTTGAGGCTCGATTAACATCTGTAGGGGTTTTCTTCGTTTCGGGTGTGGAACTTGAAACACTTGCTTAGGAATCTGCCCAAATTCCATTATCTGCACTTCTAACGTGTGTCTCTCGTTTGGATCAGTAATAGAGTCCAAATCTACGCTACCCTCATAGCATAAATAGTAATACACTACAAAATTCAATACACAGTCAAATAAAACGAAATTTTAGGTAAATTATTACTGAAAACATACAATTTTTAGCTTTCACTGCCTCCTCCCCACGTTGTTTATACCCAAAAATCAAATCAATCCATGAATGCAATGTTTCTGATACAATATCACTTTCAAGAGCATTTCTTAATGTTTGAACAAAATGTTTGGGACTTTCGGCCCACGCTGGAAGTTCAACATCGCCAACTTTGACTCCATTATGGCGGTAACCATAGTTAATCCCCAAACTATTTACCAAAAACGCTCCACCGGCATCAACATCAAAGAATTCCGGGATCAATTCCTTAAAATCTGACATATCCGCCAAGATATTTTTACATAAATGCTGACATGAATTGAACATCCTATCCGGATGATCAAATCGGCCATTTTGAAGACACAACATATAATGCGGATATAGCCTAACCAAATAAAACAAAATAAATCCAGGCGTAGAATAGTGCGAGCCGTACATAAAGCGAGGTTCAGACATTTCTTCATAACGCGCAGCGATTTTATTCGCACGCTCCGGGTTTAAGGCACCGATTGGCTTCGATAAGTCGCGATAGATTGATTTGTCGTTGATATCGATCGACTTCGACGTGTAGTCCAAGAGGATCCACGGAAATACTGGATATTGAGTTAAATCGTTTACAGTACGATCTCCTAAACTAAAATTTAAACAATTAAAGAGAAATCATTACATTTAAAAGTGAAAAATACCTATTGATATATAATAAATATTCATAATTTGATATCACGCCATTTTGCCATTGAAGAGTCATCATATCCTGGTCTTTGTTGGATAATTTGAGTTCGTTTTGTTGTAAAATCATATCGTACAAATTATTCCGCTCTTTTTCATTGAGCAGTGAGATGTAAATGTGATCATGTTTTGAATTGCTTTCATTGAAGTATATTTCAATACCCTGTACATAAATAAAACGGAAAATAAAAATTAAAAAAATAAACAATTGTATTTTCTGGCTTACAATGTGTCTGAGTAAAAATCTCCGTCGGAATATCTGTTTAATACTGTTTAAGTTGATTTTAACCACATGACTCTAAAAGTAAATATTTACTAATACATAAAAGTTTACTTTTTCGTTTGTTTAACTTACAATTTCACAATTATTGTAAGGCTGATAATAAAGTCTCGAATTCGTTAGCACAATCCTGCCGGGATTTACAACCAGCGGCGTTATTTTATTCACTTGACACTCGAATTGGATTTTTTCATACAAATCCATCCAAAGTGGATCAAATTTGATTTGTGCATGCCGCGCATGAACAATTACAGCTATCTATGGAAAAATATTCATAGAATTTAACACATACACATAACAAGTTAACTAAGTGGAAATATTCACTAGTTTAATCATAAATAGATGATGACTCATGACAACATGATAAATGTAAAAAACAATAAAAACTAATAATGTAGACATAACATTTGCATATATGAGTAATACAGGTAAACAACTTCTTTTCAACTTACCATATCTGCTTGTTCAATACTTGGCAGTGTGGCTGCCCTCATCAGTTGAGTAATTTGAGGCAGGCAAGTATTAATTTGTGCATAATTCAAAGAAATTATAAATTTCCCATCATTGCAAAACTTGTATGGAGCTGTGACATTTCCCTCCAACATCTCAATGTATTGTTTTGATTCAATCCTCATGACATTGTCACCATCAATAAACTTGTTGCTACCTTTCCATTTCTCAATGATTTGCACATCTTTGAGTGGTATTTTGATGAGTGGTTTCTGGATGTCTCTGGGATCAAACACCAGAGATTTAGAGCAGAGTTTCAGTCTTCCTTCAGATTTCTTTAGGTCATAGGTTTTTATTGTTGTGTCAGATGTTACCAGAGTTGCACTGAAGTCTTCAAAGTAGATTTCACCAGGCTCCAAGAGCAGCAAGGAGAATCTTGAAATTACAGGCATTATTAGTATGTATTTGTGTGTTGTTAGGTACTGCAGTTGATTGTAAACTGTGTGCTTAAGAAAATGAAAATTATACCTTCCCTTATCCATGACTTTAAGTGCTAAACAACTCGTTTCATTGTTATTACTTTACTGCTGACACGGTGGATTTGTTTCTTTTTCTTACTGTAAATTACACTAACATGTAACCTGAACTGCAACTAAACTACACAAATAAAACCTTCTTTCAGTCACGTCTGCTAACTACGTACTTCGACTTGTTTCAACTGTTGTGTGTTCATGTATCGTTGTTGCTCGAGTTGAGTATGTGCTGTTGCGTGGGGGTTTCGATATTATTCTCGGTCTAACCTATCTGACGTCGGAATTTTGTGAGGTTGGAACACATTTTAACAATATTTTCATTTGGAATTGAATTATCTGAGCGGAAAACACATAAAATGGGCAGCAAGAACATAACAGACAAAGCCTTAAATATTCTACGTATCCTGCCACGTGTTTCCTTGGCTAATATCCGAGATAACCCCGGTTCAAAAAAAGTAAGTCCCTTTTTACAATTTCTACCTAAACTATAACTTATTTGTTATTAAAAGTGCCAAAAACGTGGACGAGGGCAACACGGTGGTGACAAACATGGTTCAGGCAATAAAGGGTCCGGTCAGCGTCAAAACTACATGCGTCTGGGTTATGAAACTGGAAACAATCCATTCTACCTTAGATTTCCACAAGAACCATACTACAAAGGCCATCAGTAAGATTATTCACATCAAAAGTTAGCCATAAACTAATTATTTCTAATATTTTATAGTTTAAGGAGACAATATCCACCTCTAAGTCTAGAAAAACTTCAATTGTTAATTGATACAAACCGAATTGACACCACAAAACCAATTGATCTAGTCTCACTAATAAACACAGGCTTATACAAGATGAATCCAGATGAGAAACACTTTGGTGTCAACCTCACTGATGAGGGTGCAGATCAGTTCAAGTCAAAGATCAACATTGAGGTGCAATGGGCCACAGATTTAGTAATTGCAGCTGTAGAGAAAGCCGGTGGGACTATCACAACCGCTTATTATGATCCACATAGCCTACAGGCAATGTGCAACACCAAACATTTCTTCCAAAGAGGAACACCAATCCCGAAAAGGATGATACCACCGCCAGATGCAATTGAATATTACACAGATGCATCAAAGCGTGGATATCTAGCTGATCCCGAGAAAGTCTCGAAGGAAAGATTCGCGTTAGCACAAAAGTACGGTTATGTTTTGCCCCGGATCGAGGACGATAAGGATTATGACATGTTATGCACAAGGAAGGACCCGCGTCAGATATTCTTCGGTTTGAATCCCGGCTGGGTTGTAAATCTACGGGATAAAGTCATTCTTAAACCAAAAGACGATGAAGTCTTAGCATATTATAATTCGTAGTTGGTATTCGTATTGAAATCATGTAGAAAATGCATCATTAAAATGTAATAAATAAGTTACTTCGATGTTGTTTTCATTTTGAGCGCTTTCATTACCGTTATCCCCAGATCTAATAATTGGACGTATTCGGAGCCGCCATCTTGTAATCTGAATGAAATCAACTGCAATGCAAATTGTTATTTGATTTTTTGTTAATACGAATTTTGTTTTTGCTCTCACGCTCATAAAATAAGGTAAACTATGAAATAATTCATTAAAAACAGCAAAACTTACCCCTAATTGTTGCCCAATACAAGCCTTTTGTTTATCATCCAACTTATTTGATTTAATCATATATTCGTTGAATTGTTCCAGGAAAGTACTGGATGAATACGCCTGATACAACATTTTCTCAATATATTTCCGAAGTTCATTGTAATCCGTAGATGCGCAAGCCTTCATAAAATTATCGACCCATTCTTTTGGAATAACCTAAACAATTTTATCCCATATATTAATTATTATCACAATATTAAAAAATAAACTTACACCAGTGACTTCATAAACATGATCAATCTTAATCGGTGAATATTGTCCGGTTAGTTTGGCACAACTTTGAAGGCAAGTAATAGCTCGTCGCATGTCACCGCCAGAGGTCTCCACCAAAGTATTAAGAGATTCGTCGTTACACTCAACTTTTTCTTCAGTACAAATAAATTTTAATCTTAAAAAATGCATTTTAAAATTAAATACGTGTTGTTTTAGTTAAATCAAACAAACCTTTCATAGATCATAGATTCCTGTAATGGTTTAAACCTGAAGATGGTGCATCTTGATGTCAGAGGCTCTATAATCCTCGAAACGTAGTTACAAATCAAACAGAAACGCGTCGTTAACGTTTGTTTCTCCATTGTACGACGCAACGCGGCTTGAGCTGCGTTTGTCATTGAATCAGCTTCATCCAAGATGACAATTTTAAATGGCGGACATGGTTTTCCACTAATATTAGTAGATATATTAATTGTTTAAAGAATTTGATACAATTAACTTTAAAAACTTACTCTGGTCTTGTACCACTTGCAGTAATCTGTGAAAAAGTCTTAACTTTTTCTCTAATAACTTGAATTCCTCTCTCATCTGAAGCATTCAGCTCCAAGATCCTTTGGCGATACATATCACCGAATAATTGATGTGCCGCTGCTAGAATTGTACTGGTTTTACCTGTGCCAGGAGGACCATAGAATAAAAGATTGGGCAAATCTGCTCCTGACATGCATTGCTGCAGCACTGCAACTGCATCACTTTGTTCCACAACGTCGGCAACTGTCTTCGGTCGACTAGAAACAGTTTATTTACAGCATTTATAACATTAAAGTAAGAAAAACTTACTATTTTTCAACCCATGGGACTGGTGCTTTTTTAGTTGTTGATTTCTTCGTTGATGAACCTGACGCACCGGCAGAATCAGCGGATAATTTACCTGATTTTAAAAAGGCATTCATTTTGTTTATATTTACACACTTAATTACGCATTAACACTAAAGTTTATAACAAAAAACACGAAACAAAACGAGCCTGAGTATATCAACTGATATGTTGATTGTAACCTACAAAGTTCCGGGAAAATTTTACCGCGTATTTTACAACAGGTTCAAATAAGGAACAAAGTTGGTTGCCTACCACACCAATTTCCTTTCGAAATTGCCATTAAATATTTGTTTCGTGAAATCATTTACTCTTATTAATAATAATAATGCTTGGATGAGAGGTATTTTTCTCTAACGTTTACGAAATAAAAATTAAATTTAATATGCATATGACATGACTAGAAAATCAAACGCAGTGGCGATCAGTTCGCAACGCGTTGTTTCCGTATGGTATAATTTAATTATAATATACAAACGTTATTATGTACTGGATAAATCGTTAAATTAATAATTTGATAATTAAGTCTCGGAACTATCAAAAGCCCAGGCACACACCTGCGCGGTCACACAACTCGTGAACGTGTAATTAAATTCGTAATCGTACAATTGTAGTGTTTAAACACGAATAAGAAATCGAATAATGGACGCATTACTATAAATGTCAATTCAATTGTTTTACACCGTTTTACACTACATTGTATTTACAAAACGGCCAAGAATTCCTAGAATTTATTACTTTTACTTTAAATTTAAAGTCGATTTCAAGTCTTTCATTCCATTTGTTGATCCATTCCAACACAGATTCTAAAATATGACGATTGTATGCGAAAAATGTTGAAAATCTTTGGCACAAACTGCAAAATTTTGTCTTATTGTCAATCAGACTTGGTTTCTGTTTGAATCACGCTTGCAAAACGAACTAATTCTGATATGTCTACACCAAACACAACTTAATACAATTTAACAATGTAAATCCATCAGTTGTCTAACTATAGGCCAATTGTTCATTGTTTTGTTCACTTGTTACACATTTGATTATGATTACATTGAGCTTTAGTCACAATTCGTTTGTCATGGTCAATGAACATGAACACAAAACATGTCTTAAAAGAAACACCTTCGATCGAGAGCGTCTTCGAGCTGGTCCAGAGCCTCAACTCTTTTCATAAGTACCAATTTACACTTACAGATGGCGTAACGTGCCTTAAGTTTACTGTAAATGTAAACTAAAGTGAACTTTTAAAAACGAGGACGTTTATATATAATAACTACATATAGAGGAAAGGCTACGAGGGTACTAGGAAAAGATCTCCAACGAGAGATCCAATAAATAAATAATTTGTTTTGTTGAAAATCAGGGAGAGAAAAGGTGAGAGAGCGTTGTGAAAATTTAAGTCGCCGTGGCAGCCGAGGCGGAATGTTGCGGCGATTTTGGCGAATGAAACCGCACCAGTTCGATGACAGTGATCGCCACCTGCACGACACCGCGACCTTCCAACACATCCGATGAGCAACACACCATATTCTGTAACAAAACATTAGGTTAACTTTTAAGGTTATATTTCTGAATGCATACAGTACATTGGGTTCACTAATCGTAATAATAAACACACCCAAGTAAAGCAATAAATACAACCTTGTTTTCATATTTTGTACAAACAATTCAAAAAGAAACGTAAAATAAAACAAACCTTAAGTACTACGAAAATATTTTAAGTAAATTGTACTTAGCTATAAAATAAATGCAGAAAAACCCAACAAATTCACAGTTTTAGAACAAAATTTATGCATGATAATGAAAATAATCGAATTGAAAAGCCCAGTAACGAATTTGTTGAGTTTGCAATATGTAATAATTAATAATTCTTAATCGCTAATAAGTTGTAAACGTTTGTTGTAAATATTTGGAACATTTTTGGAAGATGCATTGAAATTGATGTTGGTATTATTCTAATACTGTTTGTTAATCATAGAAAGCACTACAAATGCCACCTTTAGCCTACTTGTTATTAATCCTTATAGAATCTAGTAATGTGATTGTGTTGTTTGTTCATTTGTTGTAAAAATGACTAGAAAATAACAATACTTCAGATACTTTTCATCGTTTGGCGTTGTTGTAATATTCAATTGTTATTCGTACTTTGTTAGCGCCTGTGAGTTAGGCTAATTTTTACTTTTAAATAGCTACGCGCAAAAATAGTTGCATATCTTCTGTTATTTCATATCAATTCCATCGATTTCAAGTTTAACTTCATTAATACTAAAAAAAGCTGCAATAATACTTGTTGCTACTGATTCTTTCTGCGTTAGGATATTACGAAAGAATCTAATACTAAGCGTTTCGTGTATAAATATTAATATAGGCACTCAATTGTTTCAATTGATCACAAGTATGTTGATATTATGTGTTGTTTTGTTTTAATCTCATTGTTAGTCTAGAATACCTAATAAAGCACCTTCGTTTCTCTTTTTTCGAATAAATATTGGAATGTGGCTGCGAGAAAATAGAGTAGTTATATAAACTATTCAAGTTCAGGGTGTGTGTATAGAAACACCATCATAATAAACGCAAATAAAATTAAAGCGAGCGAAGCGCAATGGTCGCCGAGCGTAATAACGGCGGGAATCTGCTCGGATGGCGGCTGCAACGTCGACTGTAGTTGTGGTTGTTCGTGCAGGAAGCAGCGGCGCTCGATGGCACCGAGCGCCTCGACGGTCGCCACCAGTCTGGGCAGGCCGCGTCCGGCCAGCGCTTCGGTAACGTCTACACTATTGCACAGGTGCTCCTGCAACCAACCACAACCACAGTCTCACCCCATCACTAATTTCCAAACAGGTAAACAAAGAAAAACAACGGAAAGAAAATGGATGCGCACTCACCTCGTCCACGCCGATTTTGCGGCACGCCTCAAGGAAGTTATCGACGTTACGTCTGCATCGTGCCATTGTTAATTTAGGCTAAAATAAATTACAATCACACATAAAATCAACTGTAAATTTGGTTAAATTTATTAAAACTTACAACAGCAGGAGATGGAACGTGTATGGTTGCAACCGACCGCGGGCGAATCTGATTTGCCAAGTGACAGAGTACAACGCCATCTGTTAATGCTGGTGCTAAATCAGCAGGCAGCGCCATTTTTAATCGCGCTTCCAAAATCTAAACAAAATGAAACACAAACAATAAAAACAATGCAAATATTTAAATTAGATCTTTAAGTGTACTTACAGTACGTAGTTGATTAATCAAATCAGTTTCCTCACGAGCTTTATCAATCTCCCGTCGCATTGTAAACGTAATTCTGTCCTTTTGCGCAAGCGCCTCGCCATTACTCCACGGCATGGTTCTGCTCGGTTTGAACCCGTTGCTTCGCACACGAGGACTGCCCGGTTTCGAATTCGAGCAGCCATTTGTAATTGGCACATTATCATGTGTCATTATTCCTAACAATCACAAGAAAAACAAATTTAAAACTAAGTTTTTTCTTAAAAAAAAAGTAAAATTACCTGAGGTAGCTTTCACCGGTGAACTCGGTTTGACATAATCACAAATATATTTCTTATTGTTGTCCAATCCATTGCCGTTGATGTGCGGGTTGCCTGGCGAAGTCTGCGGAGAGGCATAAATAGTATTACAAAGACGCGACGGTTGCACTTTCTGTACTGGTTTCTTGCTGCCCGAAGTATCGTCGAAAATATGTTTCGGACTACTCAGCACGGCGTTTAATGGTGTGGGATCCGACTTGGATGTAGCAAGCGTTGTTCGCGTGGGTTGATGTGTAGGCGTATTGGGTTCAGTTTTATAACCTTGTTCGTCCGCATCTTTCGGCCGGTAGATGGAGCCGATATCATGGGCGCGTTGTTGTCGCAAAGCTTCCTTATACTCTCTAAAGTAGAGAAACAAATTGAATTGTTTTACTTATCACAAGCAACATAATACAACAAATTGATGTTTTGTTCATGTAAATCACTTATAAAACAATATGTAATGACATTGTTAAATTGATTTACTTTGGGTGTGTTAAAATGTCACATAAAACCTACCGATAAGTTTGTATTTGATGCAAAGGCCTGTTTTTATCGTCGATGCCGTTACCATTCGTTATATTGTCATGGCACGGACTTAATCTCGCACTGAAACAATAAAATCGGTTAAAATATGTGAAATTTTCACAAAAACATAAAAAATCTCTGATAAATCGCAAAAACCCACACGAATTTAACATAAAACCACAAAAACCAACAAAAGTACCAGTTTTTGATTTCATCAAAACAACTTCCTCGCAAAATTGACAACCACCATAATCAAAAATAAAATAGTTTGCATAAAATAAATAATTTTAATTCTGAAAACAATAAAAACTCATAATTTCTATAAATAAGACGTGAAATGATGTTCAAACACCTACCTTGAATTAGTTTCCTTATCTATCCTATCTCTCTTATCACAAACATCCTGTTCGCTTCCAGCAACGAACGTACTCTCTTCATACGAACCATCCGGCCCCGGTGAGATCGTCGATGGCGTCGATGTACTCGAGCCATTCATATCCGCCAGGCGATTCATCACCGGCGTGGACGCCGACCAGTGTTTATCCATCTCACTGGTCAACTCCTGCGACCATCGCTTATCATCGCTGCTCGTGCTATAGCCGCTGTCGACGTTCGCGCGCTTATGCTTCAGTCTTTCGGGGATGTGTGTCGGCGGCACCGGTGTACTAGACGCTGATGTCGCATTCGACGAGCCTACTGACCGTCTGCCAGGCCGGCGACTCAACGTACCATTCAAATTCGATGTTATTTTGTGTCCCAAACGAATCGCTTCATTCTCCAGGTGTTTGAAGATGTGAATACGACCGCGTTTACACAACTAAACAATTTATAATTATATTTATTGTAATAAATAATTTATATTAAAATATTAAATTAATACTTACACTAGCTGGTGGTAGCGTAAGTGGATTATCATCGACATAAAACTCAATAAGACTGTCCATATCACGCATCTCGAGCGGTAGGCAACCGATGCGATTCGCCCGCAGGTCCAGCCTGACGAGCTGCAAGTAGGTAATCTCGATCGGCACGCAGAGCAACTGATTCGAGCGCAGAATCAACGACTGCAATTCAGTCAGCTCGCCAAGCCGCGGTGGTAGATGCGTGAGTTGATTGCAAGAGGCGTCCAACTCTGTCAGTCGATACATTCGACATAACTCGTCCGGTAGCGATGTTAACCGATTGTTAGATACCAAAAGAATCTATAAAAACAATACAAAACGCATTCAATAACAACCAATACGTGTATAACTGGTTGCCTAACATACCTGTATAGGTAACTGACAGATTTCTCGCGGTAGCGATGTTAACTGGTTACGGCTGAGATCCAAATAGTTGAGGCACTGCAAACTGCCGACGGTGTCTGGAATATATCGAATTGTGTTGTGGTAGCATTGCAGGCGCTCCAGGAAGTAGAAGCTGGTCACTTCCTCGGGGAGTTCACTGAATCGGTTCTTGGATAAATCTGCACCAGACAAATAAACACCGAATGTATTTACGACATGTATAATTGGTTGCATATTGAAAGTTAGGCAACGTTTGTAACTTGTTATACAACATTTTCGAAGAACCACAACTTTCCTAAGCAATCCACTCTGGAAGTGTTTGTACATACATCTTGTGACGACTATAAAGAAGTCGTAATCGCTGCGTTCGGTTGATTGAACCCATAAATCGGTTTTTTTATTCTTATCCTCGCGAGCGGCGCACACACAACAACCCGGCGCTAATCTTCGCGCACAGCAAACATTTCTTACAATTTCCTCCACGACGCTTAAAAATTCATTACGGCTTCTTGTCGCAGGTAATGATTTAACCAGAAGCAAGTTACTAAACAATTTACTAGTAGTAAATTACCATCAATTACTATTTCTTTATTTTTAGGATTTCACTTTGACATTTGTGAAACCTTTCCAAGGTTGTTTCAACGCAGGAAGCACAAGGAAGAGCGGAGAAACAGATAGCCGTGTGCCACTGTGGTTTGACATTAAAACTCCACCGAGTATATAATTATTTAGGTCAGAGAGCGCGATATTGATATGAAAAAGGTAAAAATAGTAAACGCAATAAACGTAATGTCGTCGAAGGGGCGCTTCGTGATGACCTTTTCAACTTTAATACAAAATCCACGCGCAGAAATAAAATTCAAGGTAGTAGGATGTTGATGATGATGAAACGTGACTTCCTTTCAATCACATTAAAGGAAATCGAATGAGAAACGCGCCTGGAAATTTAATCCTCCATTATACGCCTACACATTCACATCAAACATCAAATATATATCAAGACCAAGTAAAAATATAAAATATATGCAACCATCACGACAATATCGCAATATTAACCTCAAAACGTAATTTTAGTTGCCTATATATAACTTTCCGCATGACTTGCAACTGCACGTGTGATTCATGCCGTAATAATGCGCGCATGCACTCACATTCAAGAGAATAAACTTCTCTTATTTTACGAGGGGTCACACTTTCATATTCTGCGCCGACGACTTGATTGGTACAATTTGATGACAGAGCTGGGCATGTAGAGTAAGCAAGGTTAGTAACTCCAGGCGTATTGATCGCTATTTTCGTCCCCGATTCTTTTTCCAAGAGGGTTCCTGCCGAAAGACCGACCCTTTTCGAGTCTGGAATAGTTTTTGCACTCGCAGCGCAAGTTTAGGATAATACTTGCGTGCGGATCGTAAAAACCGACAAACGCACATGACTATAACCATAAAATGATCAAATTTGACATGATAACATTATTATACGATGAGGAATATCGACTAAACATGAAGAGACTCATATCTAAAGAGATTGATATCAGAAAATGTCAACAACTTCATTAAAACTCATAAAAACTAAAATTTGAATATATTTTGGGAAAATTTAATAATAGAATAGAAAATAGGAATTTATTGAGTTGGTAGCTGCGATATTAAAAGAAAATTCGGAAATTCATGAAGATATAAATAAGAACAATCAACTCAACACTGACGTCACTTCCTCTATGTGACCAATCAGACGCAGGTAGAGATAACACCCATAGGCAACCCAATTTGCAAGTTCTTGCGACAAAATTTTGTTTTCGAGTAATAAATGTCTACTTTTCAAAAAAATTTAAGTCAATATTGATGTAACGATCAATTTCAAGTATAAAAAACACAAATTTTAGTCTAAAATTTAACTTTTCAAGAATTAAACTAACAATTTCTGTGAAAATATCACATTTCCCTGCATAATAAGGCCACTTTTCCAAAAGCACTCACTTTTAACCCTGACATTAATGTTAAAATTAGCTCTAAATTCTCCTCTAGTGTTAATTTTTGCCCCGTTTCGTATGCATCCTACTATCCAACTTGCAGATTACATGGCGTGTGCAATCATGAAGGCACTTCATTAATCATTATATCACCAAGCTGCGGCGCTGGTCGCACGAGGTCCGCGCTGTCAGTGTCTAAATTTAGATTCAGCGTTGGTATCATGCGCCAGCGACTAACGGTACTCCCTCGTACGAATACACAAGAGTTGCATCCGAATCGAAATGAAAAGGCGACATGACACAATAAACCCGAGCCACAAACGAGCCAAAAACTAGAAAAAGTCATTCAACTGAAATCTGAAATCTCTCTGCGTTGTAGATATTTATATTGGTATGAATTTACGATAATGGCCGATGAACACGTCATGCAATTACGAAACGGTTTTAAAAGTCGACAAACAATCCGCAATCAAATCGAATGCGAAGCGTAATAATCCGAAATATTCAATAACACGCCAAAAGCAATAACAATGTTTCATTCAATATGTGTACGATTATTGTTTACGAGTATAATGTATAATGTAGCAATGAGTAAGTATGATTTCATTTCGAACGTGATTGTGAGTGCGCATTGTGTAATGATATAGTAAAATACGAATAGGAACGAATCAAGGTGAGTCAAGTATTAATTCAATTTGATAATCATATTATAACGTCATAAATGAAGAAAAATAGAAAGTTTTCTGCGTCACAAAGATTTTTAAGACAACTTTCTGATAATTATCTTTTTAAAAATAAAAAATAAATGTAAAGTGTAAAGTCTTCAAGAAGTGGAGACCGAAGACGTGTTGAAATTGGTTTTGCGTGACCCGATTCAACGTTGTTGAAGTTAAAAAAAAAGCTCAAGAGTTGTGAGTGTGTAAGAAGGAAAAACAAAAGACGTAAGAACCAAGAAGTGGCCAGACGCGGACACGTCCGACGCGCCAAACGGCCCCCGGACAGGATGATATCTTTACGCGCTTCCTGTCTGAGTGCCTAAGTTCGCATGACTCCGACTCCGGCACGACCGCGACGACGTCCTGCTTTGCATACGAGTACAGTAATACCAGGTTAGAACTGCACTTTAGTAAAACTAACCACAACCACATCACATCAGAAAGTGGAAATGCAGACATGGGACGCAAATTGTGGTAAAATAACGAAATAATTTGTAAAAGTTATAAATTACGCAGTTTTTCATGATCTTAGAAACATTTTTGGTATTTAGTCAACGGAGAAATGAATTTTCGTGAATAAAAATTTTAGATTTATTACTCCCAAGCGATTAGTTGCAAACTCTAAGGATATTCACCACCAAAATATCTCTTTTAATCTTGGGAATAGGAAGATAAGAGATAAAAATGTAATTTACATTAGAAAACTATAAAAACTTACAGTTTATTGCTAAAGTTACAAAAGTTTTACGCAAACTTTTAAGAAAATGATATTTTTATGTCTTTTCATATTCATCGCATCTTTTAGTTCACGTTTTCTTGCGTTTCTATGAAATTTTACTCCAAAATCTACCTAAAAACTAATGTAAATCAAGAAAATACTCAAATTTGAACCCAAGAGTATCTTGACTTAATACAATTCACCAGACTGAAAGCTCAACTCCAACTCCTCATCATGCTTTTGCATATAAACAAAGGATGTAAACCCAAAGTGACAGGAAAACGAACAAAGCAGAAACAATAGAAGAAAAAACAATCGCGGCGCAAGCTCCACAAACATGAGAAGATACATAATACACACTTTAACACACATTGCACGCTATACATCCACATAGTTACACCTTATTCCTGGAAGTATGCTTTAATTCCACACGACACAAAACAAAAGAAATAAAATTTTATCATTGTGAAGACAAGACAACTAATAACACCTTATTAAAATAATGACGAGATAACAGAAAGCTCAATCAATATGCCATTAAATTTAATCATTCAGTGAACATAAAACGTTACCCTTTATTAATTACGTCAAATTTTTCACGGCTGATTACCTCAAAGGTTTAGCTATTAGTAATCCCTTCCCGGAGGTTTTATTTAATCAGTTGCATGTTTACTCCACTACGCTGCTCACTAATGATAAGATAATACCACGAGATAAAATGAAGTACGATGCACTAAGCCTAGAAAAGAGTTTTGCGCGATTATCCAGCGAGTTTATCGACATTTAATGCGGTGTTAAGAGCGGAGGCGGAAAAGTTTCAAGGGCCCTACAATGCACATGTGTTGTTGGCATCGTCTGCCGCCGCCACGCTGTGCCGGGCGTTTATCGATTGCGTCTCGCCGTCTTCATTCATACTCAAACAGCGTGCGCGGGTGTATATTCGACGGGGAATCACCGAATGAAATGAATTTCAACCAAACATAAAAAGAGAAAACTAAATTAACAAATCGGGATGTGATATGATTCCTATTCCAGACAAGTCAAATAAAATCGTGGTCTTTTTGAGCTGGGAACCACGTGTCTGCGTCTGCCGCCGCCAGGCATACACGATGAAAGCGAAACGTGGAATGAGTAACACAGCGCCGTAATCCTGACCACTCTGACCGGATTTTGCTTTGAATACTAAAACCTAACCAAACACACATGCAGTAAAACAAAAAATCAAATGTTTTTAGTTTTACACTCGTGTTTCCTGCCATTCCTGCTATTACTTGAGTTTTGTTTAGGTTAGGATGCACATAAAATTGTATAAGCGTATTAGTATATTAGCGTGACGATGCCGGGCATTATTTCTCCCCTAAATGTATACAACATCGACTAGTATTGGTCTGCAGTCTTTTCCCGTTGTTATTCCTGCACTCGTGCCAGACTCTCGTGTCGGGTGCGGTTGGTTGTGCGTTGATAGATTACCAAACCGACTGCAGTGGCGGACTCCTGCCCTCTTTTTTTCATCATCTCTCAAACATTTTGGGCATTCAGCCATCGGGGAAATGAATCTGCACGAACAGCAGCATGTACTAAGCTAAAATTTCAGACTTACTACTCCCAAGCGAGTAGTAGCAAACTGGGAGAATATTCACCACCAAAATGACTGTTTTAACCTTGAGAGAAGCAAGATAAGAGAAGATAAAACATAAAAATATAATTTACATTAGAAAGCTGTAAAGTTTCATTTTATTTGAAAAGTTTTGAAAGTTCTTGTAAAACTTTTAAGTAAATTATATTTTATGCGTTTTCAAATTCATCGCATCTTTTAGTTCACCTGTTCCCTGCATTTTATTAAATCTACCTGCTCTCCCGACCTTTTTATGTAATGATGTTTTGTGTGGTTAATGCCTGACGTCTGTGCTTAATCTCCTCAATCTTTAACCACCCCAGAAGCAAAAAAATGAAACAAAATTCAAAGAAATTCCAACCTGAAGAAAGAGATCGCTGTTCTTCCGTCTATTTTAGCTTTTCCGGTCATGACAGCTTTACCTTCATTTCGGTTAATCATCTCTGTCAACTTTAACGACTGCATTTTTCAACATTTCAGTTTAGTTTAATGCGACTGAGTTAAAAATACCAAAATGCTCGTATTGATTATACAATTAACCGAAATGCATATTAATAGAATTTACTGTAAAGTTCATTTGAGATTATAGAGAATACAGTGTATTGTGTTGTATTTTGTAGCATATTAAACACAACGCTTGCTGCTATGATTGCTCGTCTAACAGCAGGCTGGGGAATAATGATTTTCGTAATTTGTTTCATTAGCTTCGGGTAATTACGAGGCGTTAGTCACGTTGGGCGCTTGGGTATTACTACAATATTTACTACGGTTATGGTTACACACACCAACCAATGACTAGTAATTTTTTAACTGCCAGGCGCACGTTTAGTAAATGATAATGAACGAAATGTGTAAAAATCTGACTTTACGGTTTAATGTCAACTAAATTATTCAAATCATTCATGGGAAACACCGCACAATAGTCAATCACACCCAAAACTAAAGTTATAACGTGGCCAATAAACACAATATTTACTATGGTTAAATATTATATAAAGTATCAAGTGCGCTAAACTCTACTTTAACAACGTTTAACGTTTTAGTTTTTTTAGTTTTTCTATTTGAACTTTTACTGCACCGTAGAGTTTTGCACATGCGCAAGTTCCACCCCGTGACTAAAGTACTTTATTCACGACTTTGGCTGTCCGTGATTAAAGTACCACTTTCCGTGTCTCAAAAAAGTGGAAGTAGGAAAAATAATTTGTAATACATTTAGTGCGGTGTTATTATGATGATGTTATTCTTGTAAAACTGCATCACGCTATCATGTAGCTACGTTGCATGTTGCACTCTGATAGAAAAACACATATCATGCGATGTTTACTAAAATTACCTCGAAATGTTCAAGCTCCAGTTATTTTTAGCTCGTTTTCAACTCGAGTACACTTCGTGTGCTATCTCCACTACTTCACTATTTGTAGTACCTACGTATAATAATGATGCAAAAAATGACAACAACAAAATTAAAACAAAAACACAAAATATAAAAAATAAACTGATGTATTATTTATGTGTTGTTTTCTGCACGCTGCTCACTCGGAAATATGAATAAATATGTCGCATTAGTGATGTTAGCCAACGCGCTAAAAATGGAACATGACCAGACAAGATGCGATATTTTCCTCTTGTTAATAGAAAACAGCAGCGCACAGAGCGTAATAACATCCTGATGAATTAAAAATGATCATAAATTTAACACAATGTGTATATTACTTAATAAAACTAGCAGTGCGCAATAAATTTCGATTTAAGCCCTAAAAACACTCAGGGAGATTTAAAACTTAGGCAAACGAGCAGAAATGTTGTAAATTTAGTTTGAAAGTTGCCAGTTTTGAAAAAGGGTAGCAGGTGCATTGACACGCCATCCAACAACGTGTAAACTGTTAACTAGAAAACCACCGATGTGCATGCTGCACAAGCAGACGCTGACACGCGAAGGGCGTTTACCCTTATGGAGTGAAACGGGCAACATGCAAAGAAAACCGGTGAAATTACAGCCATAAAACCTAAATATTCATTAGACGTTGTAATTAGGATTAAGTAAAAAATGAATTATACGTTTACTTTCAACGTTTCTCTTAGTTTTTTTTTGTGTTAATTTTGTTTCGTATTTAGAATAAAACCATAAACAAGTTCATGGACTTATAAATTAAACTGTAAGACGTCTTGATTAGCGCTAGCTGCAATGTGTGTACAATGTGATGAAATAAATACTTTCAAGTGTGAGAAAAACTCAGCAGACCTTGCAGATTGCTGCAATTAGCTACTTTTTCTGAATGCTTATTTTTTCTTTCTACTGCAACCAGAAAAAAGCTAAAAATACGATTTATAAAGAAAAAAACACAAATTTTCGTGATTATTTTGTTTGACGTCAATTAAACTACAATCAACTTATTTACCGCAGTAGCCAATTCTTGATATGATATAAATTAGTTAACCGCAAGCGTTGCTACTTGAAAATGTTTGAAATCTGCATCTGTTTGGATTTTAAAACGATGACTCACTGACCGCCAGTTTGTCGTTTGTTTTCACTCAGTTTTCTCGCCAGCGGCGCCCGCGGAGCCTTGGCGACAATATTTATAGAACGTAGAATGTGTGCGCGCAAAACATTTAATTTTCTTAATCATTTTATTCGTAACACATGTCAACTTAAAAAAAATAGATTTAAGAAAAAATTTAATCTGTAGTGGCAAATTGGCGTTCCCAGAATACATTCTCATGTACATGTATCCTACAAGACCAAAGTCTAATTGCTATATAATTGAACGTTGCGGAAAACTCAAGAATAGCTCCAAACAACCGCAAGAAATGCATGCAACGTGCTTGAACTTTGTATTTGTATCAAGTACAAGCAAAAAGCCACAAGGAACGAGGAATCTTCATCCTCTCGGAAATGCATAAAATTATTTCCAGCTTGCAAGCAAAACTTTCCTTCTTTTTTTTGTTACTAGCAAAGCTGTAGGAGTGAAAAATGTTTGTAAATTTAGATTCAAGTTGATTCAAGATACGCGCGTGGCGTGGCGTAGGAATAAATGGAAAAGCAACCACAATACTTAAACGAAAGCGACATTTGTATTCCAAGAATTTTCTTTCTATTACGCGTCGTAAACTATCTCGCTGATTATTCCAGACAATGCTTGTGTCTATTCAAAGCACAAGAATGGCGCATGAGGCATGCGCACGGATCGTAAACGTTGATAAAGTCATTCATTCGCGATTCACATTTGTTCCCGAACGACTTCTCCGTATATTCCCACTTGGCACTTCCTCGATTTCATTGATTTCACTATCGTTCGTTTGTTTGGGCGCAATTAACGCGCCCACGAACAAAAAGCAGATGCATTTCCATTGAGAAATTAGAGATGAAAGAGCCAACAAAAGTATCAAGTGTCTTAAGGCATTGAACTAACAGCTGAACACGCGTTACGACTTTTTTACGCCTCTGCAGTTTATTGTTCCGCGTTGAAAGCAACTTTGATTTTGGTTTTTAACAATTGAATAGTGTAATTGTAACCATGGCAACATGCGTAGTTGTCAACATTCCGACATTTTGTTTGTGTGATAAATAAAACAAACGTTGTTTTCAACCCACGTCTATGACAAATTGCTGAAAAGCAATGTGGAGCAATGTATACAAATGATAACGATGAAGATAACCCATTCCCGCATCCTGTTTTCTTGTGATATCGAAATTTTATCACAATTTCATTGAGTTCATCTTTTCGATATGAATATATGAAGATGGCGTTCTGTTTGTTTTCGGTGTGCATTTGTTTTGTTTTGTAAACTCACCAGCAATGACTGTGTCGCTGAGATTGTACTTGAGGCCGGCTTTCGGGAAGTCCTTCAGCTTGCGATTGCTGAGCTTCAGCTCGCCGCTCTGGTTGGCGTCTTCGAGAATGCGCTCCAGCGAGCGCGTCAACTGATTCTGCAGGTGTCCGCTCGTGTTCGTCGCGAGCACGGCCATGTTGCATGTTCACCGTGCGTGGACCACGACCGGCGCCAAACCAAACAGTCCGCACACACCGAGCGTGTGTGTGCGATTCACTTGAGCAAGGAACGGATGGACGCTCCTTCCTGCCAAGCGCGAACGCTTGCAAACACGCACAATAACGAACTAATCGGCGGCGCGAGCAGAGCGCAAGGCGAGGCGAGCTCAGCTACGTTCGGCAATGTTCGGATAATGTCGTGCATCATCTAGTATGAATAAATCTAAAGCTACCTTCACACTATATACATATACAATACTGAAAAAGTATATAACGTGTAGAGTACAATAGAGTATTTACTTGCTTACACATACAATAGGTTGACTTTAACATTACGTGAATACGTGGTTGCCTAGTCTGTTATCTCTTTTAAGTATTTTTTCATTTCTTCTCTATTCCGTAGATTAATTTCTCGATTTCTACGTGCTCTTGGTTGTTCGTGAAATTGTGAGTAATCTTCTTGAAATACTCGTGCATGTCGATAGCGTTTCAACTCATCCAGGCGATGTTCGACACGCACAGACTCAAGTCTATACTTTATCAAACGTTTCGGTAATCTTATGAAAGTTTTGCGTACAATGCGAGCTGCTTCCGATGGTGGACCAAAATAAAACTCTGGTTTAAATAATTCATTAGCATGCTACAATTAATATAAATTTAATGTAATATAATTGTTAAACGCTATTAAAAATATATTTACTTTCATCTTCTTGAAATGATACACAACATAACCAAATGATGTTATTGTTAAAATCAAAAATTCGATTAAAATTGCAGAAAAGCGGAAATTGACTGTAAAATCATCGGTGTTTCTTGATTTGTTGATAATGGACTTGTCAATTGGAATAACAAGCGTATAATACTAAAATTAATAGTTTTAATGTAAGTTTTATGCAAAACTTTTATACATACTGTTAAAATAATGCATAAAACAGGATAAATTAATACATAAGCTTTCCAAATTTTCATAGGACAATTTCCGGTTACGTATTCATAATCTTCACAAATTCTCTTGACTCCATAGCAGTAAAACAATAAAAAGGACTTCAAAGGAGTAAAATATTAACAATTACATATGAAAATAATAACTTACTTCAACTGCTAGTAGAAAAAGCTGTTCTGCATGAATTTGTGTTATTATAAGCATTTGATTGATATTTCCATTGATAAAATAAATAAAATGCAAGATTATTGCTACAAAAATGCCTATAAATCCCATTATTAAAATAATGTATTGTTTAAATCGACCAAAACTTGGTTTTAGATCAATTATGTTTAATGTCAACATATGCAATTGTATCGACTGTAAAAGAAAAGTTTTTAAAGGTTGGTTAATCATGTATTTGTTATATTATTACACTTACAATTTTAGATACTTCTAATAACCAATGCGATAAATGAAAAAGTATTACAACTATGCCCGGTGTATTAAAGTACGTGAAAAATTCACCAAATACTGCAGTATACATAGCTGGTCCTGAAATATTTAATACATATCGTTGATTTACTATAGGCAACCACCATTACACAAATTCCATGTACCACAGCATGTACCAGTAATAAGTAAACAAAAATAAATTAATATTACCGTGTGGTAGTAATGCACTGCATGATACACCTATTTTCTCAGATAATACACCCATTATAAAATAAATAATAAACATTTGACAAATATTTATCACACTATGAAGTGCAATAATCAATAATGTTGTGATTTCAGCACTATATTTCCAATTTACAAGATATGCTACGTGTGTCATCACTCCCATAGGTTTTACTAATCCCAACTTGAATGTTGTAAACGCTATTGTCATAAATATATCGTAAATATTTACATTCTCAAAGTTAAAGAATATCATATTGCCCAAACATTTCGTGCCGCCATCTTTCATTGCCGCCATTATGAAGAATATATAATTTATAAAAATATTTACGATAAATATTATTAACAAACACTAAAATGTAATAATTAAATGAAATTATTTCAAATAAATTACGTTTTTGTTTACATTTCCTAGAAATCGTATTCCAACAATCAACAATACAATTATAATCCACCATGTTAGCAATAATCCAAGAATTAATTGCCAGTTACCAGATTCTAGTTGGTTTGCTCCAAATTCCCTTAAATTTTATTGTTAAAAATAAATAAAAAACATAAAATTGAATTACCATGTTCTATAAAGTCCGATATATCTGATAGTTTCATTGTAACCATCACAATTCATTCCCAAATAATCTTGAGTGCATGTGCTATTAATTTGACCTTGTTTCAATGCGTTGTAGCAACTTGATACGCCATCAGGACAGTCTCTCATATTCGGATAAAATAGTTTCAGAAACACAGGTAAAAGTAAAAACGCCGTGTTTATTACAGCTAAATAAGCATAAACTAAATTTACAACAAGCATTAGGATACTGAATCCTAAAATTGTTTTGGTTTATTGTTGAAAATGTAAAATAACAATTTATACCGTAAAATATAGGCACCATTCGGTACAACTGAGAGTTTGTTAGTTTTGTGTAATTTCCATAAAACATTTCCAAGCGCATAATGGGCAACACAAATAGTACACATGTTAGAAAATGGACAAATTGATAAATACCTGTGGATAATTCTCGGTTTATTACACGTAAAACGAACAAAATTTGTATCACACACGAGAAAATGTTAACACAACCGACACCAACAACAATCTTTACCCGACTGACTTGCACACGTCGTGATACCGGTTCTCGCTGTTTCTGTTATTGTAAACAAACAATATTCTTCTTTTTTTACTTACCTCCTGATAGTATTGAAGCATAATGCATTGTCAAAGGCATTCCATCAACAGTATTACCCAAAAGTACTGAATATAAATAAAAATCGCGTTGCTTATGCCAGAAGTTAGTAATAATTCGTTCATGAATAACCACTGTTGCTTCTTCATCTTTGCCACGTCTAACACGTAATATGTCCGGTGATAAAGTACCAAAACGGCGTAAATCAGTCACAATATCTGGTTTTCTTGTACATTTACAGATCATTCTGATAACTTAGCAAAAATATTGACAAATATCAGTCATAATGTGACTTAACTTCAAAAATCTAATTTTGTTCTATAGTAGGCGCAAGTTTTGGAAATAATGTACGAAAATTATCATCATCGCCTTCTAAGAATATGCGTCCATGATCCCCACAAGTACATTTATCAATTCGATAATAAAATTTGGAAATATCACGATCATTCTGCGCTTGTCTCCATACATATTGAAAACGCGTTGAAAGATGAGGCAAAAACCGTTTGCGTCGGATTCTGTCCATTGTTAAAGTTGGACCAAAGTAAAACGCAGGTTTTATTAATTCATCCATTGGCTACAAAAAGAATTATTATATATTAATAAATATTATATTTTAATGTTTATAATTACCGATTCGCTCCTCCAAATATAAATGATATAAAAACATGATAATGTAATTATGACTGCACAATCAAATAAAATGATCGCAAGACGAAAATTGAATGCATATTCATCGCTGATTATTAATTCGTTGACGATGGTGTTGTCGATATGGTGCATAAGAGTGTAATACTAAAAATATTAAATTAATTTAATTTAAGATAATTTTATGTAATGAATTAATACATACGGCTAAAATTAGACATAAAAATGGATACAGAAAACTGTACATTAACCAAGCTTTTAATGGACGCCTTCCGGTGGCGAATTGTATGTCATCAAACACGCGATGGGCTCCATAACAATAAAACAATAAAATTCCCTTAAGAAAATATTAAAATTCCATAAATATTTTGTATAAATATAAACTTACTTCAATTGCAAGAAGAAAAAATTGTTGCGTGTGAATTTGCGTAATTCTCAACAAAGTATTCACAAAATTAATAAAATAATTTGAATTGAATGCTATTGTAACAACAATACAGTATAGTCCTATCACAGCAGAAGTTAAACTTTGAAAATTACTTAATTTTGGGTTTAAATCAATAATATTCATGATTAAGAAGTGTAATTGTATGGACTGGAATAAAAACAATTAATTTCAACTAGTTTCTACTAATTTTAATCGTGTTTAAGTTGCTTACTATTTTTGCCGTTTCAAGTATCCAATGTGATAAGTGAAAAACTGGTACAATCACGGTTACAACGTGGAAATATGAAAAGAAATGACTAAATACGGCTGGATATAAAATGGACCTAAAATATTACATTTAAAATATAGGCAACCAATATTACACATATTTCATAAATACAGGACGTTAAAGAAAGTGTTAACTGAAAATATAATTAATATTACCGTATGGAAGTAATGCACTGCAGGAAACACCCGAATGATGTGATAAAATACCCGCAGCGCCATAAATAATACTCATTTGCCATATATTCATAATACCATGTAGGATAATCAGTAATATTGTAGTCACTCCAGTGTTCAACTTCCATTTTTTGATGTATGCTGAATGTGTCATCAATCCTATAGGTGTAATTAATCCCAACTTGAATGTTGTAAACCCAATCGCCATTAATACATCACTAAAGTTGACTATTTCAACGTTAAAAGCAACCATTTCGGTTATACAGTTAGTGCCGCCATTTTCTATGAGCGCCATTACGAATAGAATCATATTCATGGGCAAGTTTATAATATAACACCCCAATAAGAACTAAAACATGTCAAAATTGAACCGGGCCTATACAAGAATATGAAATGTGTTTACATTGCCCATGAACGCCATTGAAACAAACTGATAACAGATTACAAACGCCAATGTTACCGACGCAGCGAAAACTAATTGTAAATTGAAGCCATCACTTTGGTATAAACCCAATTCCCTGTAAATAAAGTTTAAATAGTAATACAATAATAATAGTAACACAACAATTTAGGGCGTAAAATATTAACAATGAGCGGTAGAGTCCTATATATCTTACAACACCATCATAACCGTCACATTTCATCCCTAAATAATCTTTATAACATGTTGCATTAATAACCCCTTGTTTTATAATATCATAACAAGATGGAACATTATTTGGACAAGTTTTCATCATATGTGGAAAAATGAGGTAATTAATAGCGGTTAAAAGTATAAAAGAAATGTCTGTTAGTTGTAAAGGAATGTAGATCAAGTTAACAATGATAATTAACATGCAGAATCCTAAAAATATCATTGAAAAACATTAAAATATAATAAATAAAAAATATTTTAGTTACCGTAAAAGATAGATGATAATTTATACATCTGAGAGTTAGGCAACTTAGAATACTCTCCATAGAAGATCTCCAAGCGCATGATAGGCAACACAAACAACACGCATGTTATGAAATGGACTAGCTGATAAACTCCTGTAAATAATTTAATTTAAAATTGATGTTTATGCAGATAATTTACTTACCACCAGATAATACACAAGCGTAGTATATTGATAAAGGTATTCCATCGATGGTATTACCCACAAGCACTGAATACAAGTAAAAATCACGCTCATTATGCCAATAGTTGCTGATTTTGCGTTCATTAATGATACTTTTGATGGTATTAGTCTGTGGTCTGTTTTTAAGACTTGAAACATCCGTTGATGGCACTTCTGTTCGACACATGAAGGACACGATGCCTCTATTGCCCGTAAGTTTGCAAGGATACAAGAAATTCATGATTAAAAATCAAATATTGCATATAATATTGATTAATCTGATGATGATGACAATTTAAATGTGTATGTCAACTGGTCACATAAAATATTTGCATATAAATATTAATAAATAGAATACAATAAATAATATATAAATAAATATATAAAAAAAAAACGTCAAACGTAAAAATATTAAGTATTCTTCTGAAAACAAAAAAATCTAAACACTATTTGGCATAAAATCAGTACTTTGTCAGCTATTTCCGCTGGCAATGGCGGTATTATCATTATCAGCCTCACCGCTATTCGAATTATTATTATTGTTATTGTTATTAATACTAACTGTCTTAAGAATGCACTTTTTGTAATGCGTGCGCATATTACTGCTCTGCGAGAATGACAATCCACACTTTTCGCATGTGTACGGTTTAAGTCCGGTGTGGAAATTCATGTGCGTCTTTAAATGATGCTTCTTTGTAAAACTCTTCGGGCACAACGTACATGAATACGGCTTTACACCTAAAACATATTTAATGTAGGCAACCAAACATACACGCGGAGGAATGTTGGTTGTATACGTTATAAGCATAAAATGGGTTATTTAGATACCTGTGTGTAATCGCGCATGTAGACTCATGTTGGAGCGATCCGCGAAGCTCTTTCCGCATTCCGCGCACGTGTATGGCCGCTCTCCGGTATGGACGCGCTGGTGCTGCTTGAGGAGCATCTTCCGTGAAAAGCTCTTGCCGCAGACGCCGCACTCGTGCGGTTTCACGCCTGAAAACACCACGCAAACCAATAATCAACGAATTTACATAAATATTTAAATTTTACACAATAATTGCAGACGCAATTAATGAGATTAATTAATGTTACTAGCGCTACAATAGAATTGTGTGTTTATACATTAATTTCACGTCAGAAAAATATGTTAAACTTGAGATAATAATTAATCTTAATCTAACTGCAATTATTTATGCAAAAAATCATCTGTGCAGTTCGGCAGAAGTGACCATCAGAACACTGCACTGCGAGAGATATTCGCAATTGAAAAAAAATGGGCAAAAATTGAAAAATGTCACTTTTTAGCACTTTTAGTCGCGTTTTTGACCTTTTACTGTTGGAAATATAATTATTTTATATTTTTATCTGATAGAGAGTTTTCCAATCTTTCATAATCAACAATTCGCTGGTTGCTATCTCTTTTAGTTTAAGAGATATTAATTATTGAAAATCGTCGAAAAAAAGTATCAAGCAATTTTTTCTTAGGACTCAAAATTTCATCTCTTAGATTTCGATTTTAACTAGCCTATCTTGTAGAGAATGTTTCGTAGATTAAGAGACTGCGATTTGACCTTTCTATCTCTTTTAGTTTACGAGATATTCACAATTGAAGAAAATGGTCAAAAATTGCAAAATGTCACTTTTTAGCACTTTTAGTCGCGTTTTTCAACCTTTTACTGTTGGAAATATAATTATTTTATATCTTTATCTGATAGAGAATTTTCCAATCTTTCATAATCTACAATCCGCTGGTTGCTATCTCTTTTAGTTTAAGAGATATTAATTATTGAAAATCGTCGAAAAAAAGTATCAAGCACCCCCCCTTGGCAATTTTTTCTTAGGACTCAAAATTTCATCTCTTAGATTTCGATTTTAACTAGCCTATCTTGTAGAGAATGTTTCGTAGATTAAGAGTCTGCGATTTGACCTTTCTACCTCTTTTAGTTTACGAGATATTCACAATTGAAGAAAATGGTCAAAAATTGCAAAATGTCACTTTTTAGCACTTTTAGTCGCGTTTTTGACCTTTTACTGTTGGAAATATAATTATTTTATATGTTTATCTGATAGAGAATTTTCCAATCTTTCCTAATTGGCAATTCGTTGGTAGCTATCGGTTTTAGTTTAAGAGATATTAATTATTGAAAATCGTCGAAAAAAAGTATCAAGCACCCCTTGGCAATTTTTTCTTAAGACTTAAAATTTCATCTCTTAGATTTCCGTTTTAACTATCCTATCAGTCCGTAGATTAAGAAGCGATCAGATCTCTTATCTCTTTTAGTTTACGAGATATTCGCGATTGAATAAAATGGGCAAAATTAGAAAATGTCACTTTTAGTACATTGAGCCACATTTTTGCCTTTTTATCCTACCATATTACAGTATATTCAGGAAAGATTCAGAATCAAGTGCCTTGTGGCAAGCTACGAAGCATCGCACAAAGAAGAGACGAAGATAATAGGAAACACTATATATATCTTATTCTCTCGCAAGCAAAACCATATAAACGAATACGTTTGTATCTTTTTAGTGTCGTTTCATTAATTTTGCAATCACAACGATTCTAAAGAGTTTTCGCTTCAAAAAGAAGAATAAATCAAAAGAAATTAATTTTTTTGATAAAAATCTCCCATTTTGAATTTTAACCGACTACTTGTGATACTTTCCCGCAGTTTAAATAATTTCAAGCATTGTTTGAGGCTAAAGAATAAACCAAATGATATTGCCGCGGTAGACATTATCCTACTTGTAGGTAATTTTAAGTTTTACTTTGTTCTGTTCTGATGTATTTTCTGTTTACTTTTACATTTTCCGTTCTCTGCACAGACAAGACTTGTACTTTACTAACATACCTCTGCAAGTAGAGATGTAAATGCAGCAAGACGTTATTAATGAGACACGGCTTTGCGCCGTTGTTGCGCACATTTACATTATCATTAAATGCAAACAACGCAAGCATCTCAAGCGATAGTAAAACGCTAGGAAACGAACCTACATGATACAACTTGACGGTGAATAACGGTCTATATTGAAAAATGATCAAAGATTGAATTTAATTTCGACTAAAATTAATTATAACAATATGCATTCTAATAAGCATCAAATTGATTTATTTACCTTTCAATAAATCAAATAATTCAATCTACGAATGCACTTAATTCTTTATGCATTGATTAATTTAATATTTCCTGCTTTTAACGATTTTTATCGCCTTGATTACCACACACGTGGACGACCAGCCAGAGATGAAAGAATTTCCATCTGCGCGCGCAGCGCATAAAGATGATTTAAGCGTGATGTAAAGCGCCGTTGCACGTGCCGCGGCGACGACACGAACGTTAACGACAAGTCGTATAAGTCTACTTTATCAATCCACGGCGAATCTAATCGAATTGTTAATGTCGTAAACTGTAACTCACCTGTGTGTATGCGTAAGTGCATATTGTAAGCCACACGCTGATTGAAACGTTTCGGACAGTGTTGACATGCGTACTCCTTGCGGTCGCGGTGGATTTTCATGTGGCTGCTTAAGTAACCTTTATCGTTGAAGACTTTGCCGCATTCTGGACACCGGGTGGAGAATTCTTTTGTTCCGTCGTGAATCGATCTGGAATTTAAATATTGAAAGTTATTATAGGAAATTTTGGAAAATTTTAGAGAAAATTTTGAAAATTGTGCAAAACTTGTGAAATTTGTTACTAAAATTTTTGTTATTAATGTTTTAATTGACTTTTAATATGTGGAAAGATATATTATTGGTAATGAATATGAAATTTTCAGAAATTGTGAGTTTAGTTTGTAATTACGCCTGAAAAATATTCAGGGTAGGCAACCCACTATACAACTTCAGTAATGTTGGTAATATACCTTCAAACTCACTCACTTCAGCAGATAACCTAATTCTCATTATTCATAACCTCTAAATTACTCGCATTTCACTAAATAATTTCCAAGAAATAAATTTTATTAAATACTAGCTTTAACCCGCGGCTTCGCTTGCGAATATCTAAAATACTGAAGTTGCTTCCGTACGCGTCTGTAGTCACAGAAGAAGTAACAATGAAGTAGAATGGCGGGAAGTTTAAAATGGCTGAAAGTATAGTCTATGGAAGTATAGTGTACAGTCTCCATAGTGTAGTCAATTGGATTTGATGTTGACGTAGATGTCGGTAATACAGTGTGATAATACAGTGTGATGGTACTATAGTACTTAGGTTTGAGCTTCATTGGTGGAATGCTAGATGGCGTTAAAGTAGTCAAATAGCCAGATGCAGAGGTATCATTGGCTAAACAATTTTTTTTTTATTTAAAAAATATTTTGTTTTATTAAATAAAAAGTAGCCTATAACCATTCAGGGACCACTAAGAATATGTGTACAAATTTTCATGATGATCGGTTGAGTAGTTTTTGCGTGAAAGTGTAACAAACATCAGGACTTTCGCATTTATAATATTCGTAGGGATTAAATATTATTATTAAATATTATTAAAATATCTAGCACACTTTAATGCTCATAATTCATCCACTACAATATCCAAGTTAAGAAGTGAATACTTACTTATATTAAATTAAAAAATAAATACGTAGATTAAGCACACGCTGAACTACTCGCATCGTTGGAGGAGAATTTGATTTATGAGCTTACGTCGCAGTACGCCTGACACTCCTGACAGCGGCAACAACGCCTCGGTGTCCATATCAATGCGCGTGTTCTAATACTCCAAACCATCCTAACCGTTCTATCACATACACACGCTCACGCAGCTCTGGTTCTGGTTCTGGTTCCGTACACCGGGAACGTTTCATGGAACTCGCAAATCGCGCATTTTTCGATATTCTTTAAGCACTTGCCCGACAGCCCGTGCATTTCTAGGCGACCAATGCGCAATAAATCCACCGACGGTGGCACGCACTCATTTGCATTTGCATACCGAATAAATTCAAGCTCCGGCAAAAGCAATCGCGATACCATTAACAGTCGCAAGTTTCAGGTTTCAAATCTTTCACAGTCTTCATCTTAACGAGTACTCTCGCGTAATCCTAACAAATATTTTAATTTTAATTTTAATTTTCTATATGTGGAAATGTGAGTTAAGTATTTTTGATGTATTACTACAAGAAATCATTATTTTTTTAGGTTTGGTTTCTATTCAAGCGCGAAAATAATTTATTACCTTATAAAACGATGATTTACATAATTAAATTACTGTATAGTTGATTCCATTCCAAATAGAGAAAAACGCAAAGTTTTTTTTTGAAGGTAAAACAGCGATCCAGGCAAGGTGATAAATGTCAGTGTAGTTTACTGTTAATTTTACTTTAAATAAACTTATTATAGTAGTAGGTACTTTAATTACATTAGATTTCCTACATGGCAACGTCTTTCACTAACCGGAATTGTTTTTGGTAAGAACAAAGATAATTAATTTCTTTTCTCAAAGAATACCTAAGTAAATAAGTAGTTAACTACCTTACGTGTTAATGTTTACAATTACTTTACCCCCATATGGAGTTACATTCCTACTTATGAGATGTTTGAATGATGTTTATTAATCTTTCACGCCTAAAACAATCAACAAATGTAGGAAAAGATGTTTTTCGGTCAAGCCGTGAATAATATTCATTATCTACGGGCATTATCTACGGGACAAAGCTTGCGCCTGCGCATTTTCAAATAAAAAATACTAATAATTAAACTAACCTCAAAATTTGATGATCTTTCATCCCTACTAATATTATAAATGCGAAAGTCCTGATGTTTATCATGCTTTCACGCAAAAACTAATTAACGGATCATCATGAAAATTTGTACATATATTCTTAGTGGTCCCCGAATGGTTATAGGCTACTTTTTATTGAATAAAAAATTTTATTTTTTAAATAAAATAAAGAAATTGTTTAGTCAATAATACCCCTGCATCTGGTTAGTTGACTACTTTAACGCCATCTAGCATTCCAGCAGTGAAGCTCAAACCTAAGTACTATAGTACCATCTCACTGTATTATCACACTGTATTACCGACAGCTACGTCAACATCAAATCCAATTGACTACACTATGGAGACTGTACACTATACTTCCATAGACTATACTTTCAGCCATTTTAAACTTCCCACCATTCTACTTCATTGTTACTTCTTCTGTGACTACAGACGCGTACGGAAGCAACTTCATTGATTTCTAATATTTATTTGATGGATTCAACGCGAGCGAAGCCGCGGGATAAAGCTAGTTAGTTATATGTCTAAAAATTCTATTTTTCAAACATAACCTACAATATTACAGTACTTAAAAATTACCAACGCGTGTAAAATCTAATTTTCTATAAAATCATGTTAAAATTCAATCATTTTCGAAATTGTAAAACACACAAATTGATTCAATGTGCATTTTAACACTCCAACTAGTCCACCATAACATTCCCCCATCGTTGGCGGTATGCAAATGAAATAATAAGCGCGCAAATCTGCAAACAGCGCCTAACAAGCTTATGCCACTTATGCGCACGAAGAGACCACGGCGTATTTGGCATCGTCGCCGTCGCCGGTGCGGTGCTGCGTTTGATCTCCAATCGCTTCAATAGGAAACGTGCGGAACGTTTTACGACGCTTCGACGCTTAACGTTTTGTTTATCTTTATCAACTGGCATTCGCCAATCGTCCGCGCGCCGAAAAGGCGCACATTGCGATTTTTATGTGCGCCGATGCAAAGTTGTGAAAATGTGCTTAACCCATTCAACATTTACATATTTCAATATTTAAGTTATGTTTGTGGATACTTACCGATGATATTTGTAGTTCCGCAGCTGGCTAAACTGTTTGCCGCAATCATCGCATTTGAATGGCTTTTCCTTCTTGGATTTATCAGAACTTTCAGATTTTTCAGATACTTCAGACGTTGGTTGATCACTTTCGTTATTACTATTATTATTATTTGACTTTTTATTGCGCGGTGATGATGGCGATGAGATTTTTTCACTTTCGGCATTTTTATCACGTTCTTTGATGATTTCCGGTATTGTTTCACATTTTTCAGTAAAAGTTTGATATTCACTGCGTTGCAATGATGTTAAACAACTTGGAGAGCTTCTAGATGGCGACACTATCGTCGAACTTTTAGTGTAATGTGATTTTTGTATCGCAAGATGAGAACTTTCAATATTATTATTCGAATCATTACAAATCTGCAAACAAAAATTAAGAAAAAATTAATTATGCAATAAAAAAACACCCAATATACGATTTCAAAGTCCTAACCTAAAACGCTTATAAAATCTGAAAGTCATTCGATTTTAATCCATCAGTATTAGATGATTATCCGCAAAGTAAAAGAGCAATCAACGTTTGATTGGCAGTTACAAGCGATCGCGACGCGCTTAATAGATTACTTAACATTAAATAAGTTGCAATCCATGCGTGCAGGTCGTCCGATTTTATTTTTAGTATGCAACCCAACGTTCACTTAACGAACAAACGCATAGTTATATTTATCGCTTGATATATCACTAATCTAACTCTCAAAAAAAACACACCGTGACGTTTTCATATCTTCATATCAATCACAAGAATGCATATTATTATTATTAATTGCTCACCGAAAATAATCGATCACTTCTCGGATCTTCCAACACTTCTTTGTCCCTCGGAGTCCATGGACTTGGAATGACCTTGTTGAAATGTCCACGTGAGCGTCGCTCGCGAATCCGATTACTGCGCGTGATCGGAATCAAATCAGGCACGAGTTTCTTCAGCTTAATTTCCAATTCCTTCTTAACCGGCTCCTCCTTCGGTAATCGCTGCTCCTCCAAAGCATTTACCAATATTTTCGCGCAATCATCTTCTAATTTTATCTGCAGCATTTTAATCAGTGCTAAAAACTCGGAAACTTGCGCTAGAAAAAGTGTCACGTGTCCGGTGTAGATGTAATCAAGTATTAACGACATTGTCGTTGCGGCAATGTCGGGAAATATCAACATGGTCGGCTGCTGCGTGGAATTCTCCTGGAGTAAATCCTGCAGGACAGGACTCGCGATCGAGAGGATAATCTTATGCGCGACGAGTTTGAAACCAATGCAGCTGATGATCACGTCGCACGAACTCTCGGTGGCGAGCAGACGCAGCGACCCCTCGCGGATCACGTCTTGCATGTTGGCCGGTAATTGCCGGTCGCAATTAGTTGTGGTTTATGTGGTGGCCATGTCACGTTCTATCTGTAAACAAACAAACATAAAATTAATATAGGCAACCAAATTTACATCAGTAAACATAACCAAACAAAAAATATTGAGTGAATTAATATAGGCAACCAAGATATATCTGAAAACATAAAAACAAATAAAAAATTAATATATGCAACCAAATTAACATCCAAGCACATTTGAAAGGTATGTTAATATAACTTTGAAAGTTTTCTAAATAAGAATATATAGTATATAAGGAAGCTTCGTGTTCTCTTGTCTTTGCGACGACGTCGTCGTCGTTGTTGAGGTCCATATCTGATGGCGAAACGTGCTCGTTCGGCTAACTGTGCACGCCGAGCATTTCACTATTTCATGTTCATCCCGGATCCGCGCGCGCATGTTAGACTTTTCACTTTGCGGTGCGCTGTCAGAAGCTGCGATTGTCGATTGGTAACACGCACGACTACCAAACAGCAAAAAATCAATTTCAACTGAAATTTTAGGTTAAAATGCTTGTTGACGTCATGCCACCGCCAGCTGGACTATTTAACCTCACTTAAAAACTTTTACACTCACGCTGTAATTTTCATTTTAAATTTCAATTTAAAGCTTCGCTCTGCAATTATATACGTGTATTTTGCTCACAGCGAGTGGGTTACATACATTTCGATACATTTTCCATCTGTGCGTAGTGATATTACACTGCATACTTTAAATTCCGCTTTGGTGAACGTTCGAATTTCAAATTAACGATTTTTACGCACTAAACTTGGGTTATGTTTACACATTCGTTGCAACTGACAATTAGTAACCTCAATGCGCGGAATAAATTTACATTTAATTGCTGCGCAAATAGAAATATATTTAAGCTAATGCTTTTCTAGTCGATTTGATTTGATTTGCGATTCGTTCATCATTTCAATTGAAGTTAACGAGACGTAGACGCAGTTCTTCCGCGTGTGTGTTCGCTTTTTGTGCAGTCGAGTGTGTCACGCTCGATGATTCCTAACAATATCGCATGACAATGTCAAACGTTCTGAAGACAGCACGCACACACGCTTTTTGTTTCGTTACATTTTCCATGTTCTTCGCTTTGATTCAATCTTCTGCGATGTGATTTTTTGTGCGCTTCTGTGCTTCTGTTTTCATTCATTGTGATTTTATTGTGTTTGTAATGTGAGACGTAAATGTTATGCGCTGGTGTTTTGCGGTTTGTTTGTTTTGTCAGTCATTTTTGTTCGTTTATCGTTAAATTTAAACGTCTGCGCGCGGAAAATCAGCGAGCGAAACAAACGACGACGACATAAACAACGTATACGTGAGATGGCAGCGGCGCGTTTCGCTCGCTTGCGTTTTACGCCTCGCGCGGAGATTGCGAATGAAAGATGAGGTTTTACTCTGGATATAATAGCGTGGTAGATAGAAATTGAATTATTGCGCGGTTTAGATTGCTTATGGTAAGTATATTTCTATAGAAAATTCGATTTTCTTGAACAAATCTAACGGTTGCATAGTTATTTTATCATAAATCACTGGATTTAGTTCAAACCGTTATGGTTTAGATGGCGCTAGTGTTAAAAATGATTAATTATTAATTACTAGGCTCAAAAAGTTATTTTTTATTTTGAGATTTGTAATGATTCGAATAATAATATTGAAAGTTTTCATCTTGCGATACAAAAATCACATTACACTAAAAGTTCGACGATAGTGTCGCCATCTAGAAGCTCTCCAAGTTGTTTAACATCATTGCAACGCAGTGAATATCAAACTTTTACTGAAAAATGTGAAACAATACCGGAAATCATCAAAGAACGTGATAAAAATGCAGAAAGTGAAAAAATTTCATCGCCATTATCACTGTGCAATAAAAAGTCGAATATTAATAATAGTAACAACGAAAGTGATCAACCAACGTCTGAAGTATCTGAAAAATCTGAAAGTTCTGATAAATCCAAGAAGGAAAAGCCATTCAAATGCGATGATTGCAGCAAACAGTTTAGTCAGCTGCGGACCTACAAATATCATCGGTAAGTATCCACAAACATAACCTAAATATTGAAATATGTAAATTTTAAATTGGTTAAGCGCATCTTCACAAAATATCTACCAATATGTTTAATTTATGAATTAGGCATAAAATCACACAAAAATTGTATGAATTTGATGTATTACTAGAATAATTAATAAATTTTACAAAAAAACATGAATACTTCACGCGTGAAACTAACGCCATCTACATTTCTCTGGCTAAAACACCAATATCCATAAAAACCTACAAAATTCAAATTTTTTCTCTAAAATATCCGCAGAAGGCGATAAAACTCCCAGTATACTAGCATAATTCCTACCAATTTACCTACAAACCACTTGCTATTATTAATAAATATTCATATATGCAATCGCACGCATTCATAACTATTCAAGAGCTTTCGTTTGCAATCTGCACTATATTTATAACTGTATGTAACTATTGCGCGAACATAACTCTAATAATATAACAACATAACCTAATACATATAAACATTACTTGTCATAACCTATAATTTCAACCATAATCTACAAACCACACACACAAAAAATAAAATAAAACTAAAAACGCATAGAATTAATTAATTAATTAATTAATTAAAGATGATAGCGACGTCAAACACACACGATGCCCAAGTGATAAATAGCATGATTGATTGAAACATTGCGCAAGCTTCACACGTCTACTCAACTACCAAGATACAGGTATAAGTAAAACTAAAGACATCGCATTAAACTAATTACTCGTTAATTACAAACGATTAATATCAATTTACTACACATCGACTTATTTTGTTTTTATTTCGGTTTGAATTTGCAAGATATTAAATGTGAATTGCTTGTGCAAGCAAATAATTACTTCATTTGCACACTTTCAACGCCCGATCATAAACGCCAAGATTACAAAACTCGCAAATTATATACTCAAGATTACACTGATTAATACATGTATTCAATCATGTCGGAGAGCTATGATTGCATCCACATCACATGTGATTAACTTTAATTTCCAGTAGCGCGTTTTGCATAAGCATTTATTATTTACACCTGAATGATCCAGATTGAAATTTTATTTCGCTTAAATCTTTTGTAAATTTTAATAGCTACACAAGTGGATAATAAATTGTTGCTTGTTTGCAAGAGACGTTACAAAATGATGTTATTAATCGACTGCAAAAGGATGATTAATGCCTTACAGGTTTTAATTATAAACGCAAATAAATTACTGTTATTGATTGGGTTTCAGCTTGTAATGTACTAAACATAATTGTAGAATAGTTGTGTGAAGGTTAATGATTTATACCAACGTTGAAATTTTCGTTTGTTAAGTATTAAAGTATTTGTTGCAATTTGTGGTTGCGGTTGCGATTGCAGTTGCGAAAAGTGAATTTTTCGGTCTGATATGAACCATGTTGGCGATTTATTTATTCATATTGTAATTTATGCCGAAAGTAAAAGTGCGCGACCGTTGGATTGTACTCGTATTAATAATGCATGCGATGTGTGTGCAAGAAAACAGCGTTTAGTTGATTATGATTATGATCATGATTAAGAAATGATTATTTTTATTGAGAAAATATGCAAGTGAATTTAGGTTTATCGACTGGAAACTATTTCGATCAGTTGGTAAATGCAGATTAAGTGATATTAAGTAATTTTGATAATTTTAATCGGAAATGTTTAATTTTCTGCATTTCTGCGTTAATTATTCATTTTTTCACATTAAATTTAGTTAATATATTTAAATTACTTTCTGTAATTTCTGAGATTTAATTAATAGTGATAATGCAATAGCGATTTGTAAATCTTTATAGTTATTACGGCAAATAAGTAATGCGTTGGCAATTTGATTTATTGCGCAAATGAAATATGAGTATTTCTTTTACGATGCGTGCATATACTCGTACAAATTGCGCGCAACTAAAGCAAATGCAAACGTAAAATAATGGCCGAAGAATGACGCAAACTCGTAAAATGTATGCGCGTTGAAATCTCGGCGATGTCTGAATAGTTTGCGTCATTCTCTTCATCTGAATGTTTTTGAGCTATTTCTTTGCTTCGTTGCTATGCATATGTCAACCATGCAAAAATGCTAATAAATGTCAAGATAGGCTTTTAATTTTCTATTTAAAATTGCGTCAAAGGACACTGATGAAACTAATTTGATTCAAATGAATCTATAAGTTTGTTTTTAATTAAAATATCTTCAAAAGTATTAGATATTCAGCATTGGTAAATATACTGTATTAAAAAAAAATTGTTAAGTGATTACATCCAAGAATTAAAAAAAAATTGGGATTTAATGTGAATTTGCGAATTGTGAATTGTGTTGTGCTGGTTATAAACTCAATTATTCTAGTAAAAATGCCGGTAAATATTTCCTGAAGTATAAATATGAATTCCGCGTCGTTCAGATGTATTCACTTGTGTTATGTCAAAATGATTTTCTAGTAACACAACGTGTACCCCAACAAATTAGCTGAAAAATCGTGCATTAGTTAAAAAAATTTGCATTGCAATTTGAAGGGACGTTGAGATCATAATTAAAACAATATTTCAAATGTTACCATCGATGTCATGTCTTTAAAAAAGATTCTAGCTCATAATTACTACAAATATAAATATTTTTCTTTCTTACACAGAGATTTAAAGACAAAGATAAATTTTCTAAAGATATACTTATATTCAAATTGCGCATCCTTAAAATATTTCCACATTACACGACAATTTGTCTTTAAAACTGTCACGATTTATCCCTGGCAAATGAAAGCAATTCCGCACCAGCACCTCGTAACTCGTCCGCACAATCAATAGCAATAACTAATGCACTAATGCCCATTTCCAATTACATCTCGAGGCGATAATCGGCGATCGGCAAACAAACGCAAAAATTCCAACTAAATAACTCTATGCATTTACATACAGAGTGTCTCAACGACATTACCAAGTAAAACTACTAATAAAACAAGTAAGTATAACCAGAGAATTAGAAGAAAATG